GGGGGGGGGGGGGGGGGGTGGGGGGGGAGGGGGGGGGGGGGGGGTGGTGTGGGATGGTGGTTTTGGCTGTGCGTGCCAGGTGGGGAGCATGAGCTTCGACCCGTGTGTGGTGGTTGTGGTTTATTTCCTCGCGAAGGCTCATTGTCCATGCAGGAGCTCGAGCGAACAGTAGCCGAGTGGGTGTAACTAATCCGTGGATGGATGTGGCTGCGGGCGCGGCCGGTGGAGGAGGACTACCTTACGGAGTACCTCTAGCACATCCCCGCCCCCCTCATCAGCCCCAAAGGCTCCGGGACCTTGCATAAACTCCCTGAAATGCGTTGCGCGTTGCAGACTCAATGCTGCTGCCCACACGCCTCTCAGGTCTGGGCCCCTTGTTCCCCCCCATATTTCGTGTGAGACAAGTTCCTCCTTGTACATTGATGGCAATTAGCAGATGTGCTCAGTCGGATGGTCATTTGACAGCCTGAGCCACCCAATCCCCCGCTTTGCTCAACGCTGTACTTGTAGATTGAATTGCTTTTTGAGAAACCCCACCCCTGGATGCCGCAGGACAATGGCGACCCGATCCAGCGCATTGACTGGCTAGCTTGTATTTTGGAGAGCCACCAGAACAATGGGAGTCGTCGAGGTCGAGTTGGCGCGTGTGACAGCTCATATTCAGGGTGTGGACTTGACGATTGTTGAAGAATCCTGTCTCATGCGCTTGAATGCCCGCCTCCCCAGGAATCCAGACAAGCCGGGATTCAAGAAGCATACACAAACTCTCGAATGAGCTCATAAATTCCTCAAGACATGCCACTGAAAACAGCACCAAGTATGTTGCCCCTTGTGCCCTTGGACGTTTCAACTGTGTTGTGGGCAAGATGTGAAGACCTCAAGGTACCCAGAGGTCCCAGACTCTTTAGTCTCGACTCAAGATATAGACAATGGTTGCCCTACAACACAATTCAAAGCCCCAAGCCAGCCCTCGTCCAGCTCTGGAAGTGATATTATAATTCGGCCTCTTACTTTCTTGAATACTTGTTAACTGGAAGGGAATGCCATGGGAGTGATTACGTGGTACTTTACCCGAACTGTACCCGAGTTACCAGGTTAGTTAGGGCACCAGCACCGGCGGCGCACAAGCCCTCCAGCTCTACCTGGCGCATCCTTTAGCGTGTTGCGTCAGTGGGGATAGTGGCCGACGTTAGCGCTTTTTTCCTTATCGGTTTTCTCGTCCTCAAAATTCTTGACGTCCCCACTTCAGCTTCAACTGCTTGAAGCAGCACAAGTCTTTGATATTGTGCCCAACTGAAGCACAATCGGCTCTAGGGGGGCCAATAAACAAATTCTAGGGAGACTGAAGACGCCCCTTTCATCTTACTACTCATTCCGGATCAAGTTCCCGGGTCACCATGGATTCAGAGCCGGCTAAGATGGCCAGGCAGGCCGAGGACATCGAGGAACCCGCTGCTAAGAGAGTCAAGGTCGATGATGCAGCACCTGCAGACACCACCACTTCTTCGGAGAAGCCGAAGCGGGAAAAGATTCCAGGAATGGCACTACTCAAGGAAGAGTGAGTTTTGCCTCTGGTGCACTTGCATCGGACCCTGTCGCTGACTTTTCACAGGTACATCATTTCAGTCGCAGGCCAGAGAGATGGAGACGAAGCAGCCATTGATGATGATGCTGCCGAGGGGCGCACCGCTCCAGACCCTCGTGATAGCCGGGACTGCAGGGATTCTCGTGACGCCCGTGATGGTGGTCAAAAAGGCCGCCAGAAGAAGAGGGGTCAAAACAAGGACCGTCGCTTTGGCAACTCGGTAGACAAGATCCGGCTCTGCAACACGCGCGCCTTCTCCCCTGAGTTTTCGCCCCAGCACTGCAAATTTGGAGACAGATGCAACCGTTCTCACGACATTCGCAAATATCTTGCAGAAGGTCGCAGAGCGGATCTCGAAACTTTCGACGGCATGTGCCCCGTCTTCAAGGCGCACGGCAAATGCTACTCTGGCTGGAGGTGCCTATTTGTCCGGAGCCATATGGAAGAGGTCGAGCGAGAGGACGGCCGCAAAGAGCTCATTCTCGTGGAAGACCCGGATCGCATGCAGCAGGACGGGGCATCTGCCCAGACGGCAGACGATGATGGTTCTGGTCCCGGTACGGTTAATGTTGTCAGCGCCGAGGTGAAGCATAACCTGGAGCGGAAACGTATCGACTTGGAAACCTCCAACACGTTTATCAAGTGGCTTGACAAAGAATTGCACATCAGCAGACAGAACCACAACAGGAGAATGAATGGCGAAGGTGAAGACGAGGTCAAGGAGGACCTCCGGGCACAGTTCGTCGACCCTCCTCTGAGACCATCCGAGAAGAGAAAGCTTTATTTCAGCCGAGATACCCCTGTACTTGCTCCCTTGACTACGCAAGGTAACCTTCCCTTCCGTCGCCTGTGCGTCGAGCTTGGATGCCAGGGAACCTACTCGGAGATGGCACTCGCGTTACCCATTGTCCAGGGTCACAAGTCCGAATGGGCTCTAATGAAGGCCCATGAATCCGAGATAACTCCTCCGAGATACACACCGGGTCCTAGCGTCGTCCAGGGCTATGACAACTCCCGCGACCTCAAGTTTGGCGCTCAGATCTCGGCGAGCGCTCATTGGCAGGCCGTCAAAGCAGCAGAGGCCATGACAAGTTACCTGCCTCACTTGCGCCTCATCGATGTTAACTGCGGTTGCCCTATTGATCTCATCTTCAAGTCGGGAGCAGGCTCTGCCCTGCTTGACTCGCCAGCCAAGCTCGAGAGAATTGTTCGTGGGATGAACACTGTGTCCAAGGAGGTTCCCATCACCACCAAGTTGAGGATTGGGGTCAAGGACGGGTTCCCTACTGCGAAGAAGAACATCGAGCGTCTTGCCTTTGGAAGCCAAGACACGAGAGACCGCCTGGGTGCTCCCGGCTGCGCGGCCATTACCCTCCATGGCCGTACGCGACAGCAGCGGTACAGGAAGATGGCAGACTGGAATTACATTGCCGAGTGTGCCACACTGATCAAGTCTTACAACGAGAAGCGTGACGAGCTCACCGACACCGCACGGGAGCCCGAGGAGAACACCACGGCCAATGGTGACAACGGACGGTTGTTCTTTCTGGGCAATGGCGACTGTTACTCGCACGTCGACTACTACAACCACATTGAGAACGCGGGCGTCGACACCGTCATGATTGGCCGCGGCGCCTTGCTCAAGCCCTGGATCTTTGAGGAGATCGAGAAGGGACAGTACCTAGACAAGTCGGCCACGGAGCGTCTCGCGTACGTCGAGAAGTTCGCTCGCTACGGCATGGACGCCTGGGGCTCCGACGAGATGGGCATCGCGTTCACGCGCCGCTTCATGCTCGAGTACCTCAGCTTCACCTACCGATACATCCCTGTCGGCCTCCTCGAGCACCTCCCGCCGAGCCTCCAGGACCGCGCGCCGGCGTACAGGGGCCGCAACGACCTGGAGACGCTGCTAGCCAGTCCCAACTACAAGGACTGGATCAAGATCAGGTATGTTTCCAATGGTTTCCAAGGATAGCTTTTTCTACGGGCAGAACTAACATGCGATGCTTAGCGAGATGTTCCTCGGCCCTGCGCACCCTGACTTCAAGTTCGAGCCGAAGCACAAGGCCAACAGCTACGAGATGGAGGGCGAGGGTTGATTTCGTAGAGGTGGAGCGAGCAGTGTCTTGATTCCATTGCGTCGCGCTCATTTCCAAGCATCTTTGCAACGCTGTTCGTAGCAAAGACGAGGGAACCTCAACTTTGTAATCATAGCTTGCAATTGACTGCAAAGGGCTCCTTGTCTTGGAACGCTGATAGTAGTATATACACTGCATTGGGTGCAAAGCCCCAATGCCTAGTTCATCTCCCAGCAAATCAGAATAAAGATCGCTGCATTACTCCGCCGCCGTACTCTCCAGCATGCTGTACTTGAAAGTCTGTTTGAAGCGACCCAGGCCCAAGGAAAAGCGCGCGTTCTGCTGTCCAGATGTAGCATCTCTGGGGCACACAGTTAGATACCGACAAAGTATCGCAATAAAAAAAAAGTGCGGACACAAAGGGCTTTCCGGGTGGTCTTTCCGCCGATGAGGTATAATATATAAACAAAAAAACATATCGCACTGCTACAAGGAACTCCTTTTTTTTCTTCTTTCTCTCGCTCAACCGTACCGTAGAGGCAGTTTCCTATCCAGTGCGTGGAAGGCCTGAGTCCGGGGCGTGAAGGGGACGGTCGTGCCGTGCGGCGTCCGGGGCGGCTGCATCTCCCACTGCTTGGCGGAGGTGGGCGAGCCGCTGCTGTTGTCGTCGTCGCCGCCGCCGCCGCCGCCGCCGTACTCGTCCTCCTCGACGTCGAGGCCCCGGTTGGGCAGCAGGGCCCAGACGGCGAGGCCCGTGTTGACGACGTAGAGGAAGGCCATGTACACGGTGACGGCGAAGGTGCCCTTGGCGAGCATGCAGCTGCGCTCGGCGTTGAAGGCCCGCGCCGGCGCGCAGCTGTGGCTGATGTACCAGGCGACGCTGCTGTGCTTGCTCGGGTCCCTGTCGGCGTGGTCGGGCCCCATCTGGCCGACCATGCTGGCGACGTAGAGGGCCGTCAGGGCGAGGCTGATGAGGCCCCCGACGAGCGGGTACCAGACCTTCATGATGAAGCCGATCATCTTGACGAGCAGCATGAAGAGGGAGATGACGGAGATGGCGACGTTGAAGTTTGTCAGGCTACAGGAGCGAAGCAAAGCAGGGTGTTAGTCTACACCTGTTTGAGGAGGAGGCTCACCGGAGGTGGCCTGGGGGTTGAGGAGGGCGAGGGCGGAAAAAAAAAAAGAGACTCACGTTTGAGACCATACGAATGGGCAGCGGCCTGTGGTTGGCGTAGGCGTAGAGGATCATGTTTGGATTCGAGTTCCATCCGTTGGCGTTGCCGATGCGCCACATGGTGGTCCGGTACATGTCCGGCTGGGCGATGCCGAAGAGGACCAGGATGGGGACGAGGCCGAGGAGCTCGGCGAGCATGAGCCAGTAGATCGGGTTCTTGACCCGCCACGGCCGGTGTAGTAATCTATAACCCATGGTGGTGGTGATGTGGTTGTAATTGAAGATGAGAGAAAGAGTCCCGTCCGTCCCTGATTATTCTTGCCTCGGGACTGCTCGATGCGATGATATAGCCCGTTCTGCCAATGAAGGAAGGTCTCTTCTTTTGCCGGAATAGAAAATCACGGGCTGCCAGCAGTCTGCGAAGTTGCAACCTCTTTTACATCTGTCGTTCAGAACAGACTCGAGATTCGAGACGACTCGCTGGTCAAGACGTCGCAAGCTCTAGTTGGGAGGAGTCGTGGGCCGCTTGACATAGACCTCTCTGTATATAGGCCTTGGCCAACACAGAATCGGGACGGCACTCGAATGGTATTTGAGAGGAGTGAGGAAGAGAAGCACAAGGGGGAGCACAGGTTCGCTGCCGCCCCGAGGCTCTTTTATTGAATCCCATCTATTCAACCCAAGCGAGAGGGAAAACCCCGCCCGGATTCCCTCTCAACCCCCCTGGCGAGACGAGCGAGTTACCGCCATCCTCCTGTGTGCCTCTCCTCCATGCGGCCCTCGCGAGCGGCCAGTCAGTGATCAGATCCGGCCCAGGGACCTGCGGTCGTGGGTGGTGGTGGCCGCCGCCCATTTCTCCCGGCGCTTACAGCTCTGCAGAGGTTTGTCCATCACGGCGCTGGGGCCCCCACCTGGCAGCGTGATGGCGGGGCCGGATTGGCTCGAGCAAAAGACGAGAGGGGGACCTGGAGATGCAGAGCAGGGGTTCGTGGGTGGATGGGGAGGTGTCCAATGCCGTGGGCGTCACGCACAGGCAGGTGCAAGGCCAGGCGTCTGCAGGCCGTGATTGGACGGTGGGTTTCCGTGTCCTTTGGTTCGTTGAATCCCCTTTGGCGCGCATCGCATGTGTGCATCAGCGGTGCGGTTGGACAAGGGGGCCGGGGTGGTAGTTACTTGACCTTGTAGGCGGTAGGTAGTAATGGGTTGGAGGCCCATCGCTCGCTCACTCATCCTCCCCTCCCTCTTCTGTCGCCTCGTGGCACTCGCCGCCCTCCCCCGAGAACGAGGATCAAGACCGCATGGTACCCTACGACGTCCCTCCCTACCACATTCTCGAGGCCCGCCGCGGACCTACCGGATGGCATGGGTCAGCAGCGTTGTGGGTGGCATTTCACGGGCGTTGGCTGTTGGTTGGGGGCTACGACAGGGCCGGCTGATGGTGCGGCCCGCTGTGTCGAACGGTTTTTGGTGGGGATTTGCACCCGTGGACTCAACTCCTGGCGGCTGTTAGTTGGCACATCATGGGAACACCCGACACTATCCAGCACCATCTTGTCGTGTGAAATGCGTGTCGCTCGGCGCAAAACATGCGACACGGGTTGCCAATGTGATGGTTTCGCCTCAAATCGTATCGCCTCGGGGCTGCGCGCCATCTCTCTACTGGTGATTGGAAGCAACAAAGATTGTTCGGGGGTCAGATTTGACAGGGCGCACGCTCTGGAGATGGAGATCAACTTGCGAGCTGGAAGTTCAGCCTATTGGGACGGACAGCATTTGGTGTTCCACAGCCGGCACAGTCAAGCATTGACTGACTGCCCGTCCAGATTACACACCACCATCTACTCGACCGCCGGGTCCCAGAAGGGTATGGAAATCGATCTTCAGTCATCATCCTACGACTAATGCACCTGCCTCCCGAGTGCAACACCACTGTGTTGCAGTGAGTGCACAGTCTTCGTTTCGCAGTAAGCTTTGCGTGTTGCTAAACATAGCATCCATATCATTCTCGGACGAGATGATGCTATTCAAAAAGGGATAGAAAGGTGACTCAAGAATCAGGATTTTGATCATGAGCACTTTGAACACAATGTCCGTCGGGTGTGGGTTGCACATTCATCAGCAGTCGTGGCTCTTTTGGCCTCCATCACCGGATATAGCCTCGTCTTTGCATCTGCAATGCGGAGAGCGAATATGACAGACATCCTTGGCGACACGCTCGCTGACCGAGGCAAGTAACAAGCGTGGTCTTTCAATCCATCTGGATTTCAAGACCTTTTGTTCATGGAGTACAGCACATCGATGCCCGAAGAGTCGAAGGGGCAATGGGAATGCTACCATTACTCCGTCCCAGGTGCCCCCTAGGTACCAAGGTAGCTTTGGGAGGGCGAGCTCCGAGGAATGAGGCGTTGTCAAATGAAGTTTCAGAAAGAGACAAGCTTCTCGCTAAGCTGGCAATACAGGACAGAAAGTGTCTGTTTGCAGCCTCACGCATCTTCGTCTGAACCTCAGCTGCGCACGTTTAAGATGAACTGCCCACCAGGAACGAATCAAGCCTTTCCTTAGTCGGGCCGGTGCAGGGCTTCGGATTTCATTGGGGGCCAATCTTGCATGTGTTGGCTGCGGTGCAGCGGAAGAAGCAATGTGCGGCCCCCGGCGACTCGAGTGATTTGAGACATTGGATGCCTTCATATGTCCCGTCCAAGGAGTTGTCCTGCAGCTCACTCTCTCGCCAGCTGGCAATTGCAGCTTGCATCTGCCGCCCTCTGTGTGCTCTGTGACACGCATTACGAAGAGTGTAGGACCCTCGAAAAAGGGACTGATGGATCATTACGGGTTGCAGTTAGTGAATCGAAGATCCCTTCCCAAAGATGTCTAGCGGATCCCAAAGGTCCCCCTGAGTGGCCTAATGTGATCTCGCTGCGTACCCCGGCCCCCAGCGCCGCGAAATCGACCATCGCCAGTCATGATTGGCTGCTCGTTAAAAAAAGACCGGTCTCGACTCTCCGATCCGCACCCAGCCAGCTTCCTAGCTCCCACCTCGTCCATCTCTGCACAAATGCCAATGCTGATGATTGTCCGTCCAGCAATTCGACAAGGCTCGGCGCGGTCGTTGTTTCAAAGACCTCGAACCCACAGAGGCATTTATCATCCGTGACAATCCACTGATGCTCCAGAAGAGATCTTCCAATCTGGGTTCTAGGCTGCTTCTATGCCTCTTCGCGGGCAGGGACAGCGATCGTCCCGAGCCTGCGGGACATCCAAGCCCATGCATGCTAGTACGTATTAGACGGGACGTTACAAGATGGATTTATTTGTCAACCCAAAGCTTACCTTTCGGAGGGCGGGCTAGTGTCCAAGGTGCTCAGCCCAGTCGACATGGACACGAGTAAGGTCGTGTGGTCTTCACCCGCTACGGGATTTGAGAATCGCATCTCTCCTCCATGGCTCCTCAAGAGGGCGCAACGAGCTCGGAGCACGCCAGAATTCTCGCCTTGTGCATTTGCATTTGGTTCTTCCTTTTGAACACTGCCTAAGTAGGTATGCATTGGACACACCCCCAAGAAGAGCCGAGAGTACGTAGAGCCCAACAAAAAAGAGCAGAAGAAAAAGAAAAAGAAAAAAAAAGTTAGGAACAGGCTCCATCAATGGGCTGGGACATGGGGCACCCGGAGCTAGTGCGCCCACTGGAGCCGGCCCACACTCCCTGGATTGATCTGGCAGTCTTTATTGCCCGCAGCTGGGACGCAGCAGATGGGGATGGAGCGGTCGAGAGCTTCAAAGACCTCGACGCTTTCCCTTGCCATATCTGCACACACAAATGCATCCTCCACACACACGCTCAATACTTTCCTCAAGCTACCTAGGCACCCTACTCGCGTTCACACATGCACCGCAAGCCCCAGCCTAGACAACCTCCCGCCTGACGTTTACACTTTTTTTCCTGCGAACTCGCCTGCTCTTATCAACGACGCCTGCTTGGGACTCGGACTCGTGCCCCGTTCATCTCGTAGCATTGTTGGCCACCATCTGTGCACCCTTTCCTTGCATACTTACACACACACGAAGCGCAGAGAACGGAGCTTTTGTTCGAGGTCGACCTCTGCCTTCGCCCGCCCTGCCCGTGCACCGTAACTACCTGCCCATCTATCCCTCACACATACCTACTTAATCATCTCTCCGAAATCCCAAACAGCCGGACACACACATCTCCACGCACGTCAGCATCTGTCCGGGACCTTGATCCGCCTACCTGCCGGGGTTTGGTTGCAACGCGAGGGCCAGCCTACCCACCCCATCTGCCCCCCTCTCCGCATAAACCTGCCTACCACTCCCTGCCCGCGCGCATTCTCGCCTTGCAGCACAAGACGGAGCAACCTCCGCGTCGAGGCCAGGTCACTAGAGAGAGAGCAAAGAGATCTTGTGTGGAAATTTTCGATCCCTCTTCTTCTCCTTCCTCCAAAACATCTACCGGTGCGGCCGGCTTTCTTTCACGTGCCTGAGGTGCTCTTCAACGTCTCGACGGGAGCCTTCAATGGCATCAACATACCCTTCGGTCCTTTTTATGTGTGTCCGTCTGTGTGAACAATAACGGCTTGAGCTTGTACGGGGGGGACCTGGTCTGCCGGCACCGATATTGCTGCACTTTCCCCCGCGTCCAAGTCCTCTTCATCGTGGACATTTGCGCCGCCCACTCTTCCTCGACGGTCTTCTCTCTTCTTTCAGCTGACTCTGCCTCATTCATGACGTTAGCGGATAAGAGCTTCTCTCGATATTCGGATCAGGTTCATCGTTTATCAACAACAGCACAGCCCCAGGACTTGAAGGCCGCCTCAGTAGCGATCAACCAAACCTCGTCCGCAGCCCCCGCGGCGCCGGGTCCGCTCGCTCATTCTATCCGTCAGCAAGGTAGACAATCCGTCTCGGAGGACGCGAACCGGAAGGCGCAGCAGCTCGCTGACGAATGGGGTTCTGAGATTAGCCGTTATGGTTTGACATCTGCAACCCTCATCCGCGAGCCTCCGGTCGTTCGGAATGCTCCGTCTAGGACCCCGTTCGCCTCTTCCCCCAGCAAACTGCGCCAATCCGTAACCGACAGCAATCCGCCGCCTGTGAGACCGGTCGCGGCTCTCCAGAGCAAGCGCAGCTCCGAAGAGAACGGCCTCGACCCGGGAGCCCGCCATTCGCCCCCCAAGAGAGCCCGCCTCACGGCTCCGTCACAGATTAGCCTGAGCAGTATCCCGCAGACGCCGTCTCCCGGTACCGACCAGGTCGTCTCCCCCATTTTCTTCTCCAGCTCCTCACGGCCAATGCCGATCCGCCCTCCGAGCTATCCTTCTACGGAAGGCACCAGCACCATGATCAATCGAATTCACGAGGGTGACGAGAGGGTCACCACGCATCGCCTGCCCAAGGGCAATGTCAGCTCGGCAGGTACCAATCGTTCATCGAGTACGCCAGGAAGTTGGCCATTTGACAGCCCCGGGACTGATGGACGGGCTTTGAGCCCGAGTCTGCAGCAATTACAGGGCATTGGGGTGATTGAGTTGCTCGAGCAGGACGAACGCCCGACCTTCATCATTGACCTCGCAAATAGTGCTAATTATCGGACGGGTCCCATTGAGGTTTTGTTCGCCAATGCGGCGCTCCGAGCATCACAAACTGTCCTTGATCTGGTGTCGTCAGACACTCTGGACCCCGAGAACAATACTGACTTCTCGCGCTTCAAGGCTTGGATATTGAGTTTTGTTCGAAATAATGAGTCGATGGATGTCTGCTTGCCGTCCTTGTCCTACGGGGGGATCAGCTGGACCTGTTCAACTTTGCGAAGGCGGTATCGCTTTGTCAGTGGGAATAGCAGCGCTGTGTCCATTACGCCCACCTCACCGAGCCCTCCCGCGCAAGCATCATCAGTTCTTGGCCAGAGGAATCGTGGGCCTACGCCTTCAAGGGATCCTACGACCCCAAGGGAACGTTCTTCGAGCGAGACCGACTACTTTGGCGATACTACAGCGCGCGAATCTGTCCGTCGATCACATTCTGTGCCAAGAGATGTCATTGACGTCGATCCTGAGACACCCATACAACAAGAATCAAACCCGGACGACGACGACGACGACGACTCAAGTCCGTCATTTGACTGGACTCGTATCGCCATCAGCCCCTCGTTGCCGTCGCATATCCAGTTTGCGCGCTCCATAGACTGGGCCTCGACTCCGTTAGGACCTATAGAGAACTGGGCGGCCGACCTGCGAAGCATGTCAAACCTAATCATGGGAAGTCCGCACCCTGCTGCGCTGTACTGGGGACATGACTACACTTCTATCTACAACGAGGCATACATTGCATTGGCAGGCCGGAAACACCCACGGATGATGGGCAACAGTTACATGGACGCCTGGGCTGAGATATGGGACGCCATTGAGCCGATCTTTGGCGAAGCCTGGAATTCGGGACAGGCCACCATGAAACACGACGACAGGCTATTCATCATTCGCAACGGCTTTCTAGAAGAGACTTACTTCAGCTGGTCCATTGTGCCGGTGGTCGGGGCTGATGGCTCGGTAGTGGCCCTGTACAATCCCGCGTTCGAGAACACGCGTCGCAAAGTGAACGAACGGAGGATGTTGACACTACGAGAGATCGGCGAGAAGACCGCGCTCTCGCAGACCGTGAACGAGTTTTGGGGGCTTGTACAGCAGGGCCTTGCGTACAACCCCTGGGACATTCCATTTGCGCTCATATACTCCGTGGCTGAAGATTCGGAGAGCGAGTCATCATCAATGCACTCCGGGAGCCTGTCTAACCCGCCTCAGATAGTACTTGAGGGTTCACTCGGCGTTCCTGAGAACCACCACGCCGCTGTGGATTCAATCGATCTTCGAACGAGCGGCGATGGGTTCGCACCTTATATGAGGGAATCGATGGCCCAGCAAGGGATGCCTGTGGTTCTTTCGAAAGAAGACGGAACTTTACCTAGTTCTCTCATCGAAGGACTAGAGTTCAGGGGCTTTGGTGATCCCTGCAGGACTGTGGTCGTGTTTCCGGTTCATCCTACCACTACTGGCGATGCCGTCGTCGGTTTCATTGTGGTCGGCGTCAACCCCCGGCGACCATACAACGAAGACTATCAACTCTTCATCAACCTCCTCTCCCGGCAACTCGCCACGTCTTTGGCTTCAGTGGTGCTCTTTGAAGAAGAAATCAAGCGTGGCCAACGAGCGGCCAGGCTTGCAGCATTGGATCGCCAAGAGCTGTCTCTGCAGCTCCGTCTGCGAACCCAAGAGGCTGTCGAGAGCGAATACAAGTTCACTAGAATGGCCGAGTTTGTTCCTGTTGGGATGTTTATCGCGAACGAGCATGGAGTCATCAACTACTGCAACGACGCGTGGTGGGAGATCTCACGCCACCCTCGATCAGATTTCCGATCGGCAAACACGGTCGAGACATGGATGCAAAGTGTTCGGGACGAGGACAGGGCTGGTGTCGCGGCAGTCTGGCAGAGACTGGTCACGGAGAAGGTTGCCATCACTCACGAATTCCGGTTCAAGAACATACGTGAGGCAGACGGCCACGCCGTAGATACGTGGGCTCTCATGAGTGCCTATCCCGAGAAGACGGAGGGCGGCGAGCTGAGGCGCATCTTTGGGTGCCTGACAGACATATCACAGCAGAAATGGGCAGAAGTTCTCCAGAAGCAACGCATGGAGGAAGCGGTCGAGCTCAAGAGACAGCAGGAGAACTTTATCGACATTACCAGTCACGAGATGCGCAATCCTCTTAGCGCCATACTGCAGTGTGCGGACGAGATCACCAATACCATCGTCAGTCACCGTTCAGAGGACCCGTCGGCGTACGTGCCAGGAAAGTTCAACCTGCTGCTGGAGAGCTGCCTCGAGGCGTCAAACACCATCTCGCTGTGCGCTAGCCACCAGAAACGGATCGTGGACGACATCCTCACGCTGTCCAAGCTCGACTCTCAGCTGCTTCTGGTCACCCCGGTCGATGTTCAGCCTGCTGTCGTCATCCAGAATGTGCTCAAGATGTTCGAGACTGAGCTCAATTCCAACGATATACGGGGCGAATTCCGCATCGAAAAGTCATACCAAGACTTGGATATCGACTGGGTCAAACTTGATCCTTCTCGCCTCCGACAGATCCTGATCAACCTCATGACCAACGCCATCAAGTTCACCCAGTCACGGGAAAGAAGGGCCATTGTCATAAGTCTGGGCGCAACCCTCGACATCGAAGATTCGGCCGAGAGCAGTCGTTCATACTTCCCATCCCGGAGCCCTGAGCGGGAGAATATCACCGACGAGCCTGGCTGGGGCAGTGGGCACAAGATTAAGCTGCATGTCGCCGTGACAGATACCGGTCCTGGCCTTGATGACCATGAGAAGAAGATGCTCTTCCAGCGCTTTTCGCAGACCTCGCCACGCACACACGTGCAGTATGGTGGCTCTGGCCTCGGGCTGTTTATTTCCCGCATCTTGACAGAGCTGCAAGGTGGACAGATCGGAGTCACTTCTGAGAAGGGCCTGGGCAGCACTTTCGCCTTTTATATCAAGAGTCGCATGGTACCGCTGACGCAGCTCTCGCCCTCCATCAAGCCTCCCGCTTCGAGCCCCTTCAAGCGAGCCGACAGTGGCGTGGCTCCGGTAACATACACTGCTTATGCGACCAGCGGAAGCAAGCCACCGACGCCGGTAGCCCAAGATATAGTGCCACGGGCAGTACCAGACATCGCCATGACTGACCCGGACGCATCGGCACCTCTTGACGTGCTGATTGTGGAAGACAACCTGGTCAACCAAAAGGTTCTCCAGAGGCAGCTTCGCAAATGCGGCAACAACACCCACGTCGCGAACCACGGCATAGAAGCGCTCGAGGCGCTGCGTCGCTCTACCTTTTGGAGCCCAGAGCACGCCCATCAGCGACCGCAGCTGACCACCTCGTCGTCGAACCTGTCGAGCGTCTCGGGCTCCTCGGACACGAGCCACGGCAGGAAGAGCGAGCCTGACAACATCAACATTTCGGTAGTGCTGATGGACCTCGAGATGCCGGTGATGGACGGGATGACGTGTGCGCGCAAGATCCGCGAGCTCGAGGCGGACGGCACGATCCGCGGCCATGTGCCGATCATCGCGGTCACGGCGTATGCTCGGCCGGAGCAGATTGAGAATGCCAAAGCCGCTGGAATTGTAAGTCTGGTCTTTTTTTTCAACTCCCCCTTCCCAACACTGCCTCGGTTTCGAGAGCCCCCTTGTGCTAATTGTGTACAACAGGACGATGTCATTTCGAAGCCATTCCGGATCCCGGATCTCATGCCCAAGATTGAGGAGCTTGTAGCAAAATACAACACACACACGATTTCTACGCCAGCTTAGCGGGAGAGGAGGAACGAGGTGAAGGCCCGGATCGGATGTTGCTCTTCCCATGGCGTGGCCACCACCACGCCAGGACTTTGGGGAGACGAACTTTTCTCAAAACTCGGAACGACGTATGATTTCGCACAAACAATTAACTCGCATCTTTTTGCCATCGACGCCATCATCGTAACAGCGTAACCGGCAACCTCATCATACTAGACTGGACTGGTTCTTCATCGGCCCGGAGTTGGTCGGTTTCTTATGTCACGGTTTTCCATCATGTAGGGGCCGTTCGTTGCCCTTTTGTTTCTGTGGCCTCCTTTTTAGCTTTTTTTCCTTATTAGAGTACAGTATGGGCCCGGATCATGTCAGAGCGACTCATCTTAATCAGGGGGCGGCGATTCGGAGCGGGAAAAAGGCAGGCTTTCTCATTTATTGCACTTTTTAGGGGGCAAAGTTGGGATACTTAAAAAACGGGATACACACGAACGGAACGCCGGTTCCAGCATTCAAGGAGTTTTGTACATATTTGTTGGGAGTTGGAACGAGCTCTCTTTTTTTTAACTATGGGTATTATAGCGGTTGTGGGCTGCTTCTTCATCTTTCCTTAGGGAGGAAGAGAGAGTGGAAGAATGTTAATGAAGGAGCAAAGTTGCTAGCGAGGCTCCGGTGATGGCTCTTTTCCTCAGACCCTTACTCATTCCCATCTGTCTCCGTGTCTTGTGTGTCTCCTTGGTTATTTCATGGGCTGGCAATAATCGTGGAAGAAATTCTCTTCCTTTTCACCTGTTCGTCAGGGGTAGGTATCAGGTGAAGACAGGACTTGAATCAGAGGGACCATATCCAGGTAACAGTGCAACATGGAACATCTCTGCCCCGGTCCTCGTTGTTGGGATGAAGAATGGGTGCGCATTTTCAAGACAGTGGCGAAGGAGAAGAAGAGGAGATCTTTAATATCGACCATGCGGCGTGCATGCCCGGGAAACTGCGGAGGGAAGTGCTGAACGGGATCATTAATGCCAAGTTTGGCTCATGTTCAGCTAAGAAGGCAGCAAAATGTCTAATGGATTGAAGAAGTTCAAGCAAGCATATCCCTTGTCTTTCTCCCCGTGGCTGCCAGCCCTGATTACTGTCCTCATCCGAGCTAGCGGGCGAGTGCACCTCATGACAATCTGGTTGACAAGACGAGCCATATCTTTCAAACGACGAACGACAACAGAGATGAGGTATGTTCATTGATCAGTATGTCAAAAGATGTTATGTATCCGTTATCAAGCTGTGTGCAGGTCCAAGAAATGCGCAGCCTCCTTGACTTAGAGAAGGTTCAACCCGGCTGTGCCCAGCCTTGTCGTCAACATCGCCATCTTGACTGCATGTCGTCGACAAAGCCACAGAGAACGTCCCGCCACACGCGGAACAAGCAGCCAATAGAAATACTGTTACCTCGAAGGCGGCGTGAATTGCCGCCTTTGCCTCCTTCTCTTGGAGAGGAATTGGTAGGTACATGATTCAAGCCCCCCTTATCAACGATGTAAATCACACGAAGTAGTTATCAAACCAGCATTCTTCGCAGAGAAGAGCAAGCACGAAGCAAATCTCCATCGACGGAGCCACTTAGTTGAATGTCTCACTCGAGAGTCTCGGGATAGCACGTCACGGCGGCCAGGAATGGGCACCAAGTCGGAAAAAGAAGCATCGGTGGAATGAACACCATGTGCATCGGTTGGAACGCTGGCTCGGTCGATCGTTTTTGGAAATGGGTAGCAGCAGGTACCTACTCTTACTGTATGCTACTAGGTACTTCGAGAGTGGAAATTCCAAATCAGGCAAACCTTCGAACTTGGGAACTGTAAAAAATTAGCTGCAACTCATTACCCCAAATACCGAGTTGTCGATACGTATCGCCAGAACAACGGCACCAGTACGACCAGGACAGGGACAGTCCGGTCATCACACGACCTGAATCCGCCGATTCAACTATGGTCATCATTCTGCTAGGCCAGGCACACAGGGTTGACTAATGGGTAGTTCCGCAACGTGAGGTCCGAAGGACAGAACTCGAAGGAAGTTTACTTGCCACAGAGTTTCACGCCACGGTCAAGTAAAAAGCCGAGGAAACTCTGCTTGCGTACCTAACTCCAGCACACGTTTGAATGCCACCCGGCACAACCCTCTCGAAACCGAGGAATCTCACCTATTACCTAGCCAAGGTTGAACAGTGGCTTCTCGTCCAAGTCTCTCGGCGTCCACTAGCACACCATGTGCGCACACGCATGCATTTCAGCCCACAATCACGCAAACTATCACGTAACTTTCCCCGGCGACCAAAGGGCTGGAAATGTCCACATGATTCAAGAGGCAAAGAAACAGCCCCTCAGAAAAGACAAGTAAACCTAGCAGGTGAGATACAAGAACGATTTCTCTAGACTGATGAAAACGCGACGAAAAAGCAAAAGGGCACTGCCGTAGACCATCACAGAGCAACGCAAGAAGACATTGCCGCGATCTCCGGATGGGCCGATACGGCAAAGGCACTTTTTGAGGTGGGGTCGCGGGGAGATGCAATCGTTCGAGATGATGTACACCTAGCTGTGTCTCTTTCTGAAGAATACGGATCGGCATCGGGACGGGCGGAGGGGTAGTAGAAATGAGAGACATGGCATGGCATTGGCATGGCGCTGGCATGGAGCGAGCATGACCCGAAAGTAGAAACGCGTTTCCCCTCCCCCCCTAAAGTCAAAGACACACAAGACACAGAGACACACACATCGATCGATTTACGATTGACGTATGATTGCCCGCGCAGGAAACGTCCAAGGGATGGGGGGGAGAGACATGCAGGCATCTAACTAGGCAATATAGGCAAAAATTGTTCTCCCTGCCCGCGCCGCCGCCGCCGCTGCTGCTGCTGCTGCTGCTGATGTTGATGTTGCGTTGCACCCGCGGGATGGGGATGGGATGCGGGAGGCAAAAAGGAATATGGGAGGTGCGGTTGAATGATATCAGAGTCGAGTTACCCCAGCTCTCGCCCATGCAAGGTTGGAAAGAGGGCGTATGCGGTGTGTGTGCCGGGTCGGACGCCGTGTGAGGTCTAGGCTCTCCCGGCGGGCGTGACACATGACCGTTGGGGGAGGCGCTGCAGGATAGTTAGGGAGGGTCGGCTTGGGGGAGACCTCGAGGTCATGTACAGCTTCGCGGAGAAGAGGGAGAATAGAGGAAGAGAGCATGTCGCAAGCAAAAGGGTCGTCCCCTTTCCCTTGGCGAATCGGTACCCAGGCAAGGTTTTGGCACAATGGGGCTAGCTATCATGGCCACCGTGCAGCGAAATGCGGAGCGTGCATTGCAGACTTACATGAAATGCAGACGCACCACCACACTCGCAGCACACTTCGCCTGCCCATATACCTACAACGCATCGAGACCTGACTAGACCGACATTCAAAGGCATATATGCAAGTAGATTGACGAAGATCGCTCCTGGGGCGGGCGGGGGGAGGAGCTGCACCACATCATCCAGTCAGTTGATGCACACTCCAAGCCTCGAGCCGGCAAGGTTCCAAAACGTTTTTTTTGACCCCACCACCCATGGGATCATGCGCATGCCGTGCTGGCACGAGATAGGTTCGCCCGTTTGATGCTGATGGATGTGTGGGGAGAGAGAGAGAGGCAGAGAGATAGACGGCTTCTTCCCTCCCTCACCAAGGAAACAAAGGAACGGACGGACAAAAAATCGACATTCTGGCGGTGTACAGATCAGACACCTCCTGTGGGACCGACACCCAAAGGGAACATGGCCTAGAGGACGATCGGTTTCCGAATGGGGGGTTACGGCATTCTCCAAGTGCGTCTTGGTTCCGTACAAGGAGAAAGGATGGAATTTGACAAGATAACGCCCGTCCATCCAGACGAAGTGTACACGGACACACGCAGTTCCTTCATTGGTAACGCTGCGGATAGCTCAGACACTGAAGAGGATTCGGGATTCAAGCCGGTGGGGTTTGGGGCTGGATCCTACATCAAACAGGTTAATCTAGGCAAGACAGGTTCGATCTTTCGTAAGCCAATGGCAGCGCAGGTCCCTGGGCAAACTGGCAGAGCACGTTTCCGCGGTTCGAAGAGAACTGACGCAGAGTTGATAATGCCGTCCCCTTGCGCGGGTGGGCTGCCGTCTCTCGATCTGCAAGACAACTCCTTCAGAGGTGAAGGAGGCCTGAAAAGTTGCCTGGATGATCATCTGAGCGTTGCTTCTGTACGGGAGGTAGCATGCATCACCTTATATGAAAGACAGATGCACAATGATGTACAGACGGAGCAGTAGCAGGCGTTGTGGCTGCCGCTCGAGGTAGTGTCCTTCCTGCATCTTAATAAGGTACAAAGCAGCATGTACTTTGGATACGGGGCAGTCAGACCGCAAAACCAGGCTTTTAATAAGCGATATGCGGTTGGCATGGGATCCCATCCCCGTCGGGAAGATGTGCTCAACGGATACGACGTCGGAACGGCGAGAGCAGGTCCAGGTTCACTCATGAGTGGCATGGAATGGACGAGCTGGACGCACATTTTCCTAGCCGTTACCTACTCCGTAGTCATGTACGCAGTGCAGTTCTCCAGGGGTTGGACAAAAGAGTCCCACGGCTTGAACTTGGACGTTCTGATGCATTGACTATACCGGCAGGTTTCGCATTTTCTTCTTTTTCCCAGCTCGCGTTTGCTACTAGACGGGCCCCAAGCATGTCTGAGACAATCCACCTTCTGATCGAGGCAAGATCTCGAAGACAAGGGTGAGTGTGCCTGGCATCAAAAGAAGGAAAAAACACGTGTGGTCGTTGAGCCGCCCGGCGGCATAATGACCTGGGCTGTGTCCGCTATGCAATCTGGGCGTGTTTCATGCCAAGACATGGCGAGTGCAGTGCAGGTGAGGATTCGCTGGCTGCTCACGATTGGGGTCGTCGTCTGTGACCTCGAGAGAGATTACCTTGGACGATGCTACTGACTCAGCTGGGCGATGGGCAATGCGCATGGGCAAGCCAATCCGCGGCCACGATGGTGCAGCACTGTAGGAAGTCTTTTTGCACAAAGATATCTCGAGCAGGAAGGACACAGGCTCGGCTTGCTTCCGCTCGCGTTTTTCGCCGCATTCTACCCCTTGTCGATACCTATTCACGCCCATGCCTCAGCTCTCCCCTGTCAGCGGGTCCACAGATTTTGACATGAAATACAAGTAAAAAAAAACAAAGTCATTACGGTGGCACAAACCTGACCGTTTCAGCAAAGACATTTGAGGGAAACAAGCCATGCGCCGGGAGAGACGCTAGTGTTCTTTGTCCCTTTCCCTTCTTGTCTTCGCATGCCAAGAAAAGAAGTCGTTCAGACCATGTTAGTCATCTATCGAGATCTCCACGGCGGGCGACGACTTCATGTAACTACTTTGTAACAAGCCCGGTCTTGCAGGTGGATTTGTATGACAGCAGAGTTCCGGATTGATTAAGTTCTAGATTCTTGGTCCTTGCAAAGAAAAACAAAAAAAACAAATACCTGAGTTCGAGTATCCTGCGAAGAGCCGACTGCACAGGATTATTTTTCCATTGTCGTACCTCGTATGGCGCACAATTACGCACACCCGAAGGGACCTTGGTCTGTTTCTTTTCTGGTTAGGTGCCGGTAGCGTCCGTCAAAAATGTCATGGCGACGGACCCAGCAGTTCCACTGGGCGTGGCTGGATGGGGTCAAGCACCAGTGGATCTCGATTTCCTCCCTATCGCCTAGGTACGCGCAAGTACGCCCCAAATGAGAGCAGCATTTCGACGAGAGCGACTGGCGGAGCGGCGGCCAGAGAGGACTGGACCAGAGATGGTTTTTTATTGGAGTGGATCTGTTGGCACAGGCCCGGCGTTGCATCGGGTGAGCTTGAGTGGCCAGCGAGGGCGAATACGGAGGCAGCGTTGACAGTGCTGGTGCATCTGGTGGACTGGGTTGGAATGAGGACGCATGGTAACGAAATTACGGTACCTGCCAGCAAAGCAGCCCCCTATCCGCAATCCCAGAAGCACTTTGGGCGGTCTGGACCCTATCTACAGACCCTAGGGAGACCGTAGCACTGCTCTCGCCGGGTAACTGCTCTTCTCTTGTCATCAAGGGGCAAGGGGCCTGTGGATTGTTGAGGCTGGTCCACCAGCAGTGGGTGGCTGTGAGGTGCGGTATGGCCAGGATGAGCGAGATGGGTTGGATTTGGCAGTGCTGCCGCCGTGAGAATGCGAGATGCTCCGTACATATTGTAGGCCTCGTCCGCTGTCTGCTGTTGTAGGGAGGCAGTTCTGGTTGATAGCGTTTGATGAGGTGATGACCTGATCGACAGCGACTAATCCACATCAAATTTAGCAACGACACGCCAGAGACCAAGAGGCACGAGTGGGCTTATTAGTGGCAGGAGCCTGAGGAGTCACCTGCAAGCTCCACCCACCTCAGCGTTCGGTGATTTTTTATTCAGTGGATTGGTGGGACGCAAGGGCCCGCCTGGCCACGGTAAAAGCTGCTGTCTTGCATTATCCACACCATCCAAGGGGGGGGCTGCCGCACCCGCTAGCGCCCTGAAAAGGGCAAACGTAAAATAAACTGCAAGGTGCAGGAGATGGCGGACGGCTAGCAGCATGCCGGTACTTCGACGTGATGTACCCGCAAAGGCGCAAGGTTGCAGTGTCTGTCGCAAAGCTCTCTCCTCTCCTCTCCTCTCCTCTCCTCTCTCGAGCTGACCTCGAGCAGTTGACCTGCACAAACGAGTTGTCGGTTCGAATGCTGTCGGGCGATAGAAGTACAAATACTGAAGCATCTCCCACTGTTCCACATTCCTCTCCTTGTGATCTTGTTTTCGCCCTAGCGCCCTGGAAAAGGAGGGACTTGAGCTAGACGCTGGGCTACTGCCGAAGGAGGACCCCTGTAGTTGTAATTTCGCCCAGGGTCGGGTAGCGCAAGCACGGACCAGCGATGCACCCAGCAACAACGTCCACTCTCGAGCCAGACTGGCGAACGGGTCGCATGTCAAACCCGTCAGTCAACCTACGGAGTACGGAGGACGGGCAGAAGGGGTCTCGACCGGGAGAAGCACGCCAGACCCTGATCTGACGAGCTACCAGGGGGGATCGTAGGCCAGGTGAAGGAAACGGTCGATCAGGGATCCAGCGACAGAAGCAGCGAGCGGCTGGAGAAGAGAGGATGGATGCTCGTTCACCACCAGCTCTCCGCTGGTCTGGTTGTACTTGTAAGCTGTGACCGCATCTGTATGGTCGAGCAAGACAAGTCGACGAGCAGGGAAGCTGCCGGTACTTGTTGTTGCAGTCACTGGCCATGCGCATATCTATATCTGCCTTGGATGGTATCGAAGCAGGAGTACTTGTACACGTAAGGTCGTTGAAAGGGTGCATTGGGCAGGCAGGTACAAGGGTGATATGTCCAGACCGTTTTGTGCCTTTTGACATGGATGGCAATGATACCGTGAGACGTGAGAGGGAGGTTGCGTGAGGGTGGAAACGGAAACCAAGATAGCTCCCCCTCCCTTCCCCGTCCACTCCCTTTCTTCTCTCTCCCCTGTCATCCCAAGACGGACGAGCTCTCTGTGACAATCTCTGCCTCGCCCATCCCCCATCCATCCCCATCTCCATCCATTGTCCATCAATTGTCCATCCATCCACCAGGACCACCAGGACCACCCGGACCACCACCCAGCTCCAACTAGTTACCTGACCACCCACCCATGTGAAAGGCGGCCAAAGGCGGCAACGGACAAGCAACCAGGCCAGCACCAGCACCAGCCAGCCAGTCCTTCGCTTTCCCTTCCTTTCCCTTTCCCACGCCCACACACCCCCCCCTGTGACGCCTCGAGAGGAAACAAATAAGTACCCTTCCGAGCTCCAGTCGCTGCATTCCTTCTTCTTCCCCCTTCTTCCACTTTCCTCCTCCCACAAAACCAATAGATTATTCTTTTAATCAAATCCCAATCCCGCCGGCCTCACATCTCGTGACCACCAGGGCAATCCACTTCACAACTACATCGAGGCAGTCCATCGTCCACCCACAAACGATCCTGTCCTTACTTTTCTTTGCTTTCCAGTGATACCCAAAAACTCCTTTTTCATTTCCTTTTTGAGATACCCAAACAACATACCCCAACAATCCACCACAATGGCTGAGGAGAACAAGAACGTCGAGGTCCCCAAGGAGACCGTCCCTGCTGTCGCCGAGCCCGTCGCCGCCGACTCTGCAGCTCCCGCCGAGCCAGCAGTCGCTGCTGAGCCCGCCGCTGCCGCCACCGAGACCACCACCGCCGAGCCCGCCGCTGCTGAGGCTACCGAGACCCCGGCCGCCGCCGCCGAGGAGGCCAAGAAGGAGGAGGTCACCCCCATTGAGGAGGGTATCCTCGAGGCCAAGGGATCCTCTTTCCCCAAGTGAGTATACTGAACGCCCCTTTTCTACTAGCGAGGTGGATTCGCTGACACATGGATTTTCCTCACAGGAACTTCATCTACTCCAAGAAGTACTTCTGGTTCGGCGATGAGGCCGTCGAGCCCAAGCACATGAACGCCTACATTCGCGGCGAGAAGGTCGGCGAGGTTGCTCACCACGTCGCTGCCTGGGCCTCGCACACTGGCAAGGGTCTCCTGTTCTACAACGAGAAGCCCAACGACAAGTCGACTCCCCACGGAGCCATCCAGCTGGTAAGAATTCCAACTGTAAAGGAAAGCTTGCACGTTCCGCAGTAGCTAACGACCTCACCAGGCCGAGGCTTCTGAGCCCACCGTCGACGGCACCCACAAGTTCCACCTGACTTCCAAGGGCCACAAGCACACCTTCAAGGCTGCCAGCGCTGCTGAGCGTGACAACTGGGTCGCCCAGATCAAGGCCAAGATCGCCGAGGCCAAGGAACTGGCCACTGCTGTCACCGAGTCCGAGACCTACAAGGCCACTATCGAGAGCTTCAAGCCTGCTCCTCCCGCCAAGAAGGAGGAGAAGAAGACTGAGGAGGCCGCCAAGGAAGAGGCCCCCAAGGAGGCCGCTCCCGCTGAGGAGGCCAAGACCGAGGAGCCCGCTAAGGAGGCTGGCAAGCTCGAGGAGCCCGCCAAGGAGGAGCCCAAGCGCCGATCTGCCAGCCGAAAGCGCGGTTCGATTTTCGGCAGCCTGATGGGCAAGAAGGATGAGGAGAAGAAGGAGGTCAAGAAGGACGAGAAGCCCGCCGAGGCCGCCGCCGCAACCGAGACCCCGGCCGCCGAGACGTCTGCCCCTGCTGCCGAGACCGTCGCTGCGACTGAGGCTGCCCCCGCCACCGATGCCCCTGCTGCTGAGGCCGAGGCACCTGTTGAGGCTGCTGCCACCGAGGCCAAGGCCCCTGAGACCAAGCCTGCCCCCGCCAAGCGGGCTTCGATCTTTGGCAACCTGAACTTCGGCCGGAAGAAGGCCGAGGCCGAGTCTGCACCCGCTCCTCCTGCCAAGGACGCCCCGGCTGAGGGCGCCGCTGTCTCGCAGAACGCCCCCGTGATCCCGGCCGTTGAGACCACCGAGCCTCTCTCGGCCGAGGTTGCCTCCCCTGCCAACGTCCCTACCGAGACTGTTGACGCCACCCCTGCCACCAACGGCGAGACCAAGAAGGAGATGAAGAGCGACAAGCGCAAGTCTTCGCTCCCCTTCGGCTTCGGTGCCAAGAAGGAGAAGTCTGCCTCGTCTGACGAGGAGGGCGACAAGCCCAAGTCCCCCTTCTCCAAGTTCCGTGCCACCATCAAGGGCAAGGGCAAGGCTGAGAAGCCTGCCGAGAAGACCGAGGAGAAGCCCGCCGAGGCTGAGGCTTCCAAGGAGGCCGAGCCTGCTGCTGCCGCCGAGGCCGAGGCCGCCAAGCCCGTCGAGCCCGAGACGGCTGCTCCCGCCACCACCGAGGAGACCCCTGCCGCCGACAAGCCTCTGGCTGCCACTCCTCAGGTTGCCGCTACCGCATAGAATGCGCATTGGCGCCTCAGCTGAATCGTGGTCGCTATGAAACCCGGTCGCATACACCAAAATCACAAAAAAAAAGTAAGACAGTTATAGAGCGAAGTCCATGAACATTTTGAGAGAGGGGGGCCTCGAGCGCCTTCCAACGACTACTAGCCAACTCTCCGGGTTTGGTCGGGAATCGGTTCTGCATTTTCAAGATACCCTGTCAAAGCTTGGTTGGACCCTGATATACCCACTACGTCTTGTTTTTAATAATCGCTGCATTCATCGGTCTTTCCTCTGGAATCGAGAAGAGGCCTAAACAGCCTCTTCTCGGCAACGACCAACCAAACTACAAAAAAAAACCACAACAATGTCTTCGTTATTTCCTCTGCATTTCCCCGCCGCTCTTTGCTTTTCATGTAGTTCCTGCTTTTCTCGTCTTGATACCAGACCGAAATACCAATATCCTTGCAATATCTTGTCTTTGTTTTTTTGATACCCAGTATACCCCGCAAAACGGTCGACGGTTTTGGAAAGCTCTCTTGGAAAGATGTCTTGATTTCTGGACGGGAGGATGAGTTGATACCCTTTGCTTGTGCTCACGGAAGGAGCAAGCATCTCTCCTGAGAACCCGGCGGAGGAAAAAGGGGGAAGGATGAGAAAATACGGGCCCACGAAACTTTCTGGCGTCCCATCAAAGAGTACCTGTGTTATCTGCTACTGGCTTGACTCCGTCTGGGGTGTTTCATGGCCTCTCGACTGACTGCGTGTGTGGTCGGGGGGTGATGCGAGGCTCGAGGGGGATCATGGCAGGCTGGCACGAGCGGGTCGAGCCTCCTTGTAGTCAAGGAGGCTGCTTTTTTAGGATCCATAACTTAATAGCTAATACTACCTCTCTCGCATGTTGAGCTTCGCTTACACTCTCGTTCCCCTATTCTTGTCGATTACTGTGAAAATTTGGTGACTGGGTCCTGTGAGCACGGTCGATGCCAACTCAGCACCTGGACCACATCTTGGTAAATCATAAAGAGCCCAGGAACAGTCAAATTGGTGAGAACTATCTATGGATGGATAAGTAGATAGGTGAAGAGATGGTTCATGGGTCTACAATGCTGATACAGGGAAGTCGATTGGAGCTGGAGATCAGTGAATGAGACTATGTTTTGTTGCCTCTCCTAGTAACATCGACCTTGGAACAATGTCTCGACACGGACACGGCATACTACAAAAGTGCTAACTAGAGTTAGAGTGTACAAGTAGTTAAGGAGTTCCAGCCAAAAATGAGTACAGACTCGGAAGGTATCTCAAGGGGAGAAGAGAGAGTGATACCCCTGGCAACCCCCGTTCCTTCCTCCCCCCCCCCCCAAAAAAAAAAAGAACAAAGACAGCAGAAACAAAATATCCGGGATATCAAACCGCGACGTTCTCACCCCTTTCCAACCCAGTCACACAACCAACTTTCAAAAACCCAGAGCCAGGCCAGGGGGGGATGGGCCCTACCTAGCCTAGCCTACATGTAGTTATATGCTCGTGGCCGTGGCCGTGGCGGCCGACGCCGACGTGCCCAGCAGCGTGAGCGGGAACACCTGCAGCGGCGGCGGGTGCTCGGCGGTGTAGTTGGCCGCCGGCCGGCCGCAGAAGCACCCGTCGGCCGTGAGGCTGACGAGCTTGCACGGCGCGCCGGCCGGCTGCGCGCCCGAGTCGAGGTACAGCTTGACCTCGCGCCGGGGCCCGCCGGTAGGGCAGGCGACGAACTCGCGCGACTGGTGGCGCCGTCGTCGTCGTCGTCGTCGTCGTCGTTGTCCCGCCGCCGCTACCCCGGCCGCTTCCGCTGCGGCCTCGCGCTTCGTGCCGTTGGCTGTGCCGGTGCCGGTGCCGACGACGAGGAAGCCGTCGCCGACCAGGAGCAGCCGGCCGTCGTCGTCGAGGGCCCAGCGGTCTGGGCCGACGAGCTTGGCGAAGTTGGGGTCGTGCTCGTCGTCTGGGAAGGCGCTGCAGACCAAGGTGTCCGTAGGGGCTTTATTTATTTTATTGATTCCAATTTGTCAGCCACAGTCTTTTTCTTTTTCCCCCCCATCGAAATCGGGGGGAGCCATTTGCATATCAAACCGGGGAGAAAGAAGGCTTTTGTAAAAAAGGCAAGAAAACTCACGGACAGCCCAGCACCACTGATCGTCCCGGTCACGGAGGTGGCCGTCGCCGTCGACCCGCAGGTACATGAGCGTGTGGTCCCCGTCGGGCACGGGGAAAGTCCCGTTGAGGGGCACGTCGCTGCCGACGAGCTGGCCCTGCTTGTCCTTGGTGAGGGTGAGGGTGAAGCCGTGGGCGTCTCTGATGAGCGCCTGGAACTCGCAGCTGGGGCTGGTCGGAGAAGGGCCCGAGCATACCGGAGGATGCGTGGCGAGGGCCAGGTGTGTGCCCAAGAGGCAGATGAACCAGAAGAGGAGGATCATTGAGTCGGGTATTCTTTCTTCTTTGATCCCAGGAACCGGACAAAGGAGAGAATATCAAGCAAGGAAAGAGAGGAGTGTATTTGGGGTTTGATTACTCCCAACATACGATTAAAGAGTGTGTGTTGTGATGATGATGATGAAGAGAAAGAGTAGCCATGATAATCCTTCGCATCAGTCACCTTGACGGGCTCCTTTTTAAGAAAATAATCATTGAACTCATCACACCACCGTACCTTATTACTAAGTGATTCAGCACGTCTTTGTGTTCAAGAATCAGCCTGGACCAAGGTATCAAGATGACCAACTGCTGTCACCAAGACGGTCACACTTTGTGGCCAGTACCGGAAGCAGTCGATGACTCGACTCGGTAAGAACCACTATGTGACGATGTTGAGTGTGCGCGTTGACTATTGCAACATACTTAAAACTATCGACTCTTTGAGACTCGTTCTCACCTACGTTGCGAAACATGGCGTGAAACGTGACATAAGGCATGCGCTTTGTTGGTTACAGTCTCGCTCAGCACTCGTGACATGAGTTCTTTCAAAGCCCCTGATGTGTTGGGAGCCAGCAGGGGCAAGTCAACGCAGGCGTGTCATTACTATTACATTTTCATGCCACACCGCAGACCTTGAGTCACGTTTAAGGAGGATCGCTTGAGTGCGGGAAGAAATGGAGAACATAGCTGTTCCTCCGGGGTATCTGTATTGCTATCACGTCTATCGTTTCCTCGACCCCGAGGATATTGACCTCTTGGCCTTTTTCTGCGGCACCTCTACTTCCTCTTCCGAGGGCTCGTTTTCCCCCTCTTCTTCGTCGACTTCGGAGGCATCGTCATCTGAGCTCTCAAGCAGGATGACATCCTCGGTGCCGACTGTCGACTCCACACTGTCTTCATCCTCATCGGAGCTGCCCATCTCACCCGGGTCACTGTCACTGCCAAACCCTTCAAAGTCGCTGTTATCGTCTTCCGCTTCCTCCGGTTTGCTTTTCATCGCGGTGGGTATCGTGGCGCCCACGGAAGTGTCGGCAACGCTCTCGGCGTCATCTCGCTTCCTCTTCTTCATTTCGCCAAGCCGGCCAGTGCGATCTGAATTTTCCGTCTCGTCGACCTGGACCTGAGGTGGCGGCGTGAACCATGGGATCTTGCCCCTCATGAAGTCATTTAGGATGATCCTTGCCACGCCATCGACATCCGGCTCTCCACCCTTGAGAAGCCTGCCGCTTTTCCTCGCCAGAGCTTCGAGGAAACGAATGTGATCGCCAATGTCGCTGTAGTCAAGGTCGTAGGTACGCTTGAGATGTTGCGGCTTGACCTTCTTGAGCACAGCAGGGATGTATTGCGCAGGATTCTCAACCTTCTCCGTCCTCACAGTACCTCTCAGGATAAGAATCTCGGGGGAGGCCTGCTGATCCGGGGGCACGATTCCAGGACAGTCAATCAGGAAGATTCGCTTCATCAGCGTGACATACTGCCAGACTTTGGTCTATCATAATGTCAGCTACCATCTCCAATCTCTTCACTTTTTGAATGAATAACTTACCTCGCCAGGAATGGGCGCCACCTTAACGCTGGCCTTGCCCCTCAACGCATTGATGACTGAGCTCTTGCCAACGTTGGGGTAGCCGACTAGACCAACAGAGATCTGCTTCCTGTCGGAATGCAGTGACGAGAACTGCCGGAGCAGACCAATGACGGAACCCTTGCCGAACGGCTGAGTAACGCTTGCTCGGAACGCCGCTGTGGGAACTTCCTTCTGAAGAATCTTGACCCATTTTGCCTATTGATGGTCAGCAGGTGAACTTGACAAGCTCAGTTACGACCAGGAGAAATTCTCCAAAAAAAAAAAATGTATGTTTCAATACTAAGAAGACTGCCATAAAATAATCCAAGAAGGACACGCAGACTTCAACTCATCACGAAACGGTCAGGCTCTCATGACAGACCCCCAAGACGGAGAAACTATCTGCTCAAGACCCGAAGGTCAAGAGCATCGAGTGCCAATGTTGCTTTTCCAAAGCTGTAACGGACCAGATCTATGATGCACAAATAATGCAGAAGAAGCCCTGACTAAAGCTTTGGGATATGGTATGGAGAAAGGGGGGGGGGGGCAAAGGGAAAGGAAGCAAAGTTATGCTTACAGCAACAGACGTGGGCACCAAATCACACTTGTTCAATAAGAAGATCAAGTGCTTGTGCGGCGCCTCTTCTTTGAGGTACTTTTCGACACTGCGACACCTCGTGCCCAGAGGATCTCGAGCATCCAAGACTGGATATCTATTAGTGACTGGATGACAAGTTGTCCAGTGGAAAGCGCTTACCATGTATGAGAACGTCGCTAGAATCAATGGTCCGATACAACTCGTTCCAGATGCGTTTGCTTTGGCCCTTGGTGAAAATAGGCTCTATCGCAGCGTTGATGGCAGTATCCTCCTCAGCAGCATGGTCTATGGGACCATCCTCGGGACCAGCGTTGCCGCTGAGTAACCTCTGCTGTTCCAGACGGTCTTTGTATGTGTCCAGGTCCTTCTCAGCACCATCGGCCAAGTCAGCCAGACTGCTGACATCCAGCTTGACGCGCTTCCTCGTCGACTTGGAGCCAAAGATCTCGGAGTACGGGCTGCTCTCCAGGGTCATCTTCGCCCTGTGCTTCTTCAGTCCGTTTGTTTCCGAGCCGTCTCTGATCAGGGACATGGGCAGTTTGTTCGACTTCAGAAGGACTTGGTACGGGTCGTTTGCACGCTCCGCCATTGCCTCTCGGAAAGCTGTGTAAGAGGGTCAGCAGACGGATCTCTGGGGGTATACAATGCATGGGGGTATGCACATTTTAGACTGTCCTGGCTGATGACTCTGGTGTTGCCAAACCATTTCCTGTTTGGCTCAATGACCGCCGTCGGCACATCTCGAGACTGGTACGAGGCCGCCTGAATGATCTTGCCGTCCTTGTTACGCTGCGCCTTGCCCTCCTTGAACATGTTCAACTGCTTGACGCGCTTGGCATCGCGGTAGAAGGACTCGCCCTTCACCTTGACGTTGGCCATGCCATCTCCCGTCTTGCCCTGCCGCTGGCGGCGGCTCGCCTCTTTCTTTCCGGTGCCCATAACGGAAAGCGCTCAATCTGGTGACCCGGGGAGAAGAAGGATGTGAAGTGAGGAAAAAAAAGGCCCCAGACTTCCAAAGAAGAGACCACCAGCCCTGAATCTTTGTAAAAAAAAGTAGAAGAGAGGAGAAGGAAAGAAACTGGGAAGCAAGCGGTCAAATCCACAGAGGGAAAGAAAGGATGGGGCTGGGAAGACTGTGTGCGATAAGATGGGAAAAAAGCTGCGATAGCGAACTTTCCCTACAATTTTTTTCTCGACGCCAGGACCCCTGCTGAACAACACACCCCCACTGAAAGCTTCAGTGGGGTCGCTAAATTCGTCTCTGGACCGCCCAATTGGCCGGCCATTTCCGGCAAGGAGCAAGAAAATTCCGGCCTAGTCGTCTCAAGCGAGTCCACTCTGGTCTGGTTCAATTGGCAGGAGCGTGCTGCGGCTCTCGAATATTTTCAAGATCGTCAGTCAATCAGGAGCTCCGGTAGGCAGAGTCTCTCTCTCAATCGACAACCCCGTCGTGCCCCTCCATCTCACCTCCGAACGGGGCATACAACCTGCCACCCATCACAACAATGCCTCCCTCAATATCGAGACAGGGAGTCCTCTCCCTCGCCTCGACGACCTCGGCCTCCGCGATGAGGTGCCTCAGCACCACGCGGCGCCTCCAGGCCGTCAACATCCCGCCCGAGTCGCCCCAGTTCGTCAAGCTCCCGCAGCCGCCCCAGTCCTCCGAGAAGAAGTACCCCCGCGTCAAGGGCCGCCTCCCCGTGCCCCGCGACGTCTTCCACCACCGCACGGGGCACCTCAAGGCCGACCCGGCCGCCTTCGTCGCCCGCGCGGCCCCGGTATCCCTCGCCGAGCAGCGCGGCGACACCCCCAAGTCCGACGTCGAGGCCCAGCGGCGGCGGCTCGCCGAGAGCCGCCGCCGGTCCCTGGCCTCGGGCATAGAGGGCCTCTGGCAGCGCAAGCAGGTGCGCGAGAGGCAGGCGCGCGACGCCGGGCGGGCCAACTTCAACCGCAACCGGCACGCGGCGCTCTTCGCCCCCGAGCGCGCCGACGACGTGCTCACGCGCGCGACGGTCCGCAGCTCGACGGCCAAGCAGACGGCCGTGCTGCCGGACCCGGACCGCGCCGCCCGCGCCGCCGCGTCGGCCGAGCGGACGGCCGCCATCGCCCTCGCCAAGAGCGAGGCCCGCCGCGACGCCCTGCAGCAGCTGTACGTCGCCGCGAGCAAGTTCATCGTCGACGAGGCTGAGCTTGAGAAGACGGTCGACAAGCTCTTCAGCGAGAGCTACTTCCGCACGCAGGGCAACCTGCTGGGCAACATGGGCGCGGCCGACAGCGTCTGGGACACCTCTGGTGCGCCGGCTACGGTCCAGAGCATGGTCGCCAGCCTGTCCAGGACGTCGAGCAAGGTTGTCGACTCTGTGCAGACGGATGCCGACAGGACGAGGAAGAGACAGCTCATCATTGCCGAGACCCTGACCGGCGGCAAGATGCAGTAAATGGCTAGAAACGTGACTCAATTTGAGGGGTCAGTCTCTATGTGTATGTATGGGAGGAGCAAACTGTAGTTAAATGTATAATATCTGGACGGGTTCACCATGTATGATCCGGCAACCAACTCTTGCATCAAGCGCAATTTTATCTGAAATCTACTTTGCTTACTTGCCCACGAACTTGGAGCGGTCAACGATTTGTGCCTATGCGTGTGATGCTAGGAATGGCTAAAAGATTCATGTGTGATACGACTGAGAGACGCTATGTTGATGAGATGCTGGAAATATCAAACCCGACCTACAACGCCAAGTATATACGGAATAAAGCACAGAAATGAAAACCCGGGGAGCGCTCTATAGCAGCTCTATGTAGAGCGACGAGTACGGAACTCGCTCTCATGCACCATACAAATCCTCCAGTGACATGGACTCTATCCATCGATTGAAGCAGCAACATACATTATCTCTTCTCGACCAAAAGAATATGCATAGCTCCGTAGGCTAAGATGATGAAGACCACACCAAAGATGCCCAGGTTTCTGACGTCAGGCCACAGAGCACCGTTGTCAAAGCCGAAGGAACTCAGAATGGCGGACCCTGGTACCGAGATGTCCAGTCCGTACTTTTGGTCCGTCAGTGTAAGGTAGCGGACCTCGTTGACAATCAGAGCTTCGAACGCGTAGTGGAAGATCGACAGCCACTGCAGCCATACCGCAGTAGGCGGGATCTTGTTGTGATTCAGCAGAAGACCGGCGAAGAGCAGGCTGAAGAGCATGACGAGGCTGCCAATGAGGTTGGCAACACCGCCGTCTTTGCAGACGATGCCGATAAAGAGGCAGATAGCTGCGGCCGCGAGATTGAACAGGACAAGGACCGAAATGAAAGTGAAGAAATGCTCGTAGTCAGCCACAAGACCGGTCATGGGGTACAGGATGGCACCCATCAAGATTGGAGGAATGATTCGCAGCGGAATGATGTCGAAGAGGACCTTGGCTGCGAAGTACGTGATAGGTGCATAGTATCCGTTGGCCCTCTCGCGGGTGAAGAGAAGGCGCTCGCTGGAGAAGACTGTGAGACTCGTGAGGGTGCTAAAGCCAAAAAGAGCCAAGACGAAAAAGAAGAGGCCCAGCCTGTTCTGGAAACCAGGGATGTCGTCGGTCAGACCGTAGAAGAGGAAGCCAGAGAGGACCGCCAGAAGGATGGCGATAGCGTAATGAGTCAGCATCAACATTGGATTTCGGTACAGGTTCTTCCAGGTCCGCTGGGACAAGATGATGAATTGGCGAAGGTAGCCGACACGAGCGTAGCCCTTGCCAACCACGCTGACGTGAACGTTGGGTCCATCAGCAGAATAGCCGTTAGCATTTCGTCCATTCGCGCTCTCCGCAGCGGCGATGGCTTGCTGGATCTCGTCATGCGTGCTGGAAGCGATGTCGGACTGGTTGAAGGAGGACACCAGGATGTCCAGGTCGGTACCCGAGATAGCAGCAGGGGGTGTGTCATCAGGATCCTCAAGGATCTGCGGCGGCACTACGCCTGGGGTCTGCGCGGACAACTTGTATGCACCAATCTCTTCCTCTGTGCCGGACGAGTAAGAAGCAGTATCGACGGTGTTCTTGCGCCGCGTGAAGAGCTCGCGCTCTTGACGCGCCTTGACAGAGTCCCGTCGACTCGGCTTTGGCCTAGAGGATGAAGAACCTTCCACACCGCTTTCCTCTCCGATGCTTACGCTTGCGATCGACTTGACAGCCCTAGTACTACTCGGGCCAACACTGGCAGCATCGGGGGCAACCGTTCCGTCATCAAACGAGGCAACGTTTCCAGCGTGCATAGTGAGATCGACGAGGTAATCAGCGATGTTGAAGCCTGGGGGACAGGCATAGCCGATTTGGTCGAAATAGTCTTGACACTGGGCGAACGGACCAGAATAGACCGTCTCTCCCCGAGCGAGGAGGACGAGCCTATCAAAGAGGGCCACGATATTGGACCTTGGCTGATGAATGGTGAAGATGACGGTTCGCTTGTACGTCTTGGCGAGCGTAACAAGACACTCGATAACGTTATAGGCATTGTAGGCATCGAGGCCGCTGGTAGGCTCGTCAAGGAAGAGAATGGAGGGGCTGGTAACTAGCTCGCAAGCAATACCGACCCTTCGCTTCTCTCCTCCAGAGATGCCACGGCCACGGCCTTCCTCCGAACCAATAAGCGAGTCTCGAATATGGTGGATACCCAGCTGCTTCTCGACTTCAAAAACTCGCTGCTCCTTGGCGGCTCGGCCCATATCGCGAGGAAGGCGAAGGAGAGCACTGTTGAGAATGGTCTCGTGGACGGTCAAGGTGGGCAACATGGTGTCTTCCTGGTCGACAAACCCAACCACGTTTTTGTAGTCGGTATCGTTGACCTTCTCACCATTGACGTAGAAATCACCGCCAATAGCGCCACGCTTGTTCTTGCGAGCAAGGATGTCGAGGAAGGTGGTTTTACCGGCGCCAGAGGCTCCCATGATCGCCGTGACCTCGCCAGGCCGTGCCAGACCTTGAATGCCAGAGAGGATCTGCTTGCCGTTGAGGCGGTAGGAAACGTTCTCAAAGAAGAGTGAGGCAGGTTTGTGATCAGCCATGAGCTTGAGACCCTCGTCGTCTGAATCATCCAGATGGATGGCGCCATACTTAAATTGTCGTCGAGAAAGATACCAGACAACCAGGATGACGGCAACGAGGAAGAGCGAGCACCCAGCGATGACGCCAGCGATGAGAGGAGTATTAATCTTGGGGATCGGACGTTCGTAGCCAGGAACCTCGGTGTTGTACAGACATTCTCCAGAACGGCAGGTCAAGAAGATGCTCTGGTCACCAAACATGTCGCTGATGAGTTCATCCATGTTCGGCTCTTTGAAGGCGCAATTATTAACCCCCCCGGCCTCCTGGTCACATTTGAAGGTAGCAGGGCCTTTGATCTCTTGGTCGAGGAAGTCGGTAAGATCAACAGATCCATTCTCTCCACAGAGCATGCGATCCGGTATGCAACTGCACTCGATCTTCTTGCACTCATAGCTCGTCTTGTTGGCGTATTCATCGAACGAGGCGCTGGACTCGCACTCATCAAGATGGCAATAGAATGATTCGCGGTTATCAACCCAGACTACCACCAAATTAGCAAAGGTCCCCTGTCGATTCAAATCGGAAGTCACACATACATTGAAAGTCGCAGTCGCCGTCCTCCTTCTTGCAAGTGAAGGTGACCTGGGGGACTTGATCGCCGAGTAGGTTGCGAATTTGTTTATTCGTCACATCGCACATTTGGTAGTTGTGCTTGACGACCTCACCCATCTGGTAGCAGACACCGCCTTCGCCAGTCTTCATCAAGGCGTCGCAGGCCTTATCTTCGGTGCAGACATTGCAGTTAAGACCGGTCCAGCCAGGTTCACAATCGCAAGTCGGTCCGTCGCGCATGGGTCGGTCTCGGCCTTGCGCAAGCGAACCGCACACTTTACATCTCAGGGTCAGACTTTCTCGTTCAATATTGATGGTTGAAGGAAGGTATATTCGTATACTGACAGGGTTCGAGGCAGTCGATGCCAGCAAATCCCTCGGGGCATTTGCAAGTACCATCGTATTCACTACATTCGGCGTATTGGCCGCAGGTGAAAGCGGGCAAGAGGCAGTTGAAACTGGGCAGATTGGATCGTCAAGGTCAGCATGGTTCGAGGGTGGACTTGGATAGATCGTGATGGCAGGCCGACTCACCATGGCGGACAGTCTTTAGGCCGGTCTGCCATGAGCGCGAGTTGCGCCCGCATCATGTCGGCCGATGAGTACTCTTTCAAGCATGATGCCACCGAGAACAAGGACAGCGCCCCCACAAGGAGGGCGCGGTGAAGCATCATCCCCATCGAGCGGGACAGAGATCGCGACTTCGGTGTTGTGCCTGCTGTGACAGAGCGGCTATCAGATGGGTGTGTATTCGGGAGACTGGCGTCCGAACCCCACAAGCTATCCTCTGAGCGCAGCGGATAAGCTCAGGGACCAGAAGCTTTGCACCAGAACTTGGCGCAAGTGGCGTCTTCGGCTCGGGGCAGGATGGGTGAGACAGCCCAGTGTATTCCAAGCACAGTAGACGTTTGCGAGGTGTTGCGTGAGGAGGATGGAAGCGGAGGGGATGATGAGGATGGCTGGGAGAAGCTACGGCGATGGACTTGCCTAGCTGAGCATGTGGGGATGGGGGGAGAGATGAGGAGAGCACGCTAGAGGGTGCACTACGGCTATCGCACAGCGCAAACCCCGATACCCCAGACTATGGTGGGTGCTGTATAAGTAAAAATAAACACCGAATTTGTCATCACAGGGACTTGTGGTCTAGTGGTATGATTCTCGCTTAGGGTAAACCTGAGCACAACCTTGCGAGAGGTAAGCATCATTCTCCACTGTGTGTTTCCAAGGCGTAAAACTAACAAATCCCAGGTCCCGTGTTCGATCCACGGCAAGTCCCCAATGCTGTATATTTTTTTTGGTCTCCCCAATCAAGGATTCTACTAGACACAACTTGTAGAAAGAAGAGTCTAGGTATAGTGAAATGATATCGCTACTAAGGACGATGACCAGGGGGAAGAACCATTGCGGCCTCCCTTGGGGGGACCATGTGCAAGACGATGGAAAGCACACTCTGTTGCTCGTGCTTGAGCTGATAGACAGCTTTTTGGGGGCAAAAGAGATCCGATTGACCATCACTTGTTAGTGCTCACCTCCGTCGATCGTCCCTTGTGTCCTCCCGTCATACCCCAACCCTCGCGACTCGAGGGTTGGGGTGGGCACCTCAAGGCAAAACGGGTGGTCGGATTATCAAGCTTTGTGGGATCTTCGCACTGGTGCCGGCACATCATGCAGGACCGGGTTTTCTTGATGACCCTATTGCTCAGAGCCGGGCACATCGGCGCTATGTAGACGCATGCTTCCCCAACTGCATGTAGCTCCTGTTGGGTGTTATATCCGGGTTCGAGCCGGGCTATCAGATTTATTTATATCCAGAGGCTCCCCGAGAACAATGTGCAGAGAAGGACTCACGTCCCTCCCCCCTCCCCTCCATACTGACTTGTGATATAGGTCTGTTGCACATGGAGACAGACGACATGGGACGGTCGTCGCGAGACCAAGAGATGCAGACCAGCTCTGGGTTTCATGGTCGAGCCATCATGTCGCAGAGCAGCAGGGAAGATAGCATTGGCCAGGACAAGAAGGCCGATACAGATATCGAACCGGAAGCTTCTGTCAGAGGCTCGGAGGATGTAGAAGCTGCTGCTGTCCCGACTAAACCATGGGCAGCAGCCTCTCCTCCCCCTCCCGCCCTGTCAGATGTCCCCGACGGCGGTCTCGACGCCTGGCTGCAGGTTCTCGGATCCTGGGTCATCATGGTCAATACCTGGGGCCTGGTCAACAGTTACGGGGTGTACCAGACCTACTACGAGACGGTACTGCTCCCCTCCCAGACCTCGTCGGCCATCTCGTGGATGGGCTCCCTCCAGGCCGCCCTCCTCATGGTGCTGGGCGTCGTCTCGGGCCCGCTCTACGACGCCGGCCACCTCAAGCTGCTCGTCCGCGCGGGCCTCTTCCTCATCGTCCTCGGCATGTTCATGACCTCGCTGTGCCGGGCGTACTGGCAGGTGCTCCTGGCGCAGGGGTTCTGCGTCGGCGTCGGCATGGGCCTCGTCTTCCTGCCCTCGACGGCCGTCATATCGCAGTACTTCCGCCGGCACCGCGCCCTGGCCCTCGGCATCGCCTCGAGCGGCAGCCCCGTCGTGGGCATGGTCTTCCCCATCATCTTCACACACCTCGTGGGCTCCGTCGGCTTCGGCTGGGCCACGCGCGTCATCGCCTTCATCCTGCTCGGCCTCGACGTCATCCCCGTCATCTTTATGCACCCGCGCATAGCAACAACAACGACAGCAACAACGCCGCAGCACTCACCACTGCCCGAACCGGCGGAGACACCACAGCAGCAGCAGCAGCAGCAAGAGAAGAAGAAGCTGCCCCCAAAAAGAAGACCCCGCTTCGACCCCTCCGCCCTCCGCGACGTGCCCTACCTCCTCATCGCCGCCGCCAGCTTCTTCGCCTTCCTGACCCTCTACGTCGCCTTCTTCTACATCCAGCTGTACGCCGAGCAGCTGGCCCGCGCCGACTCCCACCCGCCGCCGTCCTTGGCGCCCTACCTCGTCACCCTGCTCAACGCGGGCAGCGTCGTGGGCCGCATCCTGCCCAACGCCCTGGCCGACCGCGCCGGCAGCCTCAACGTCCTGCTGGCCTGCACCGGCGCCAGCGCGGCCCTCGCCTACGCCTGGCTCGGCACGCGCGGCCTGGGCGGGCTCGCGGCCTTCGCCCTGCTCTACGGCGGCTTCTCGGGCGGCGTGCTGTCGGTGCTGCCCAGCGTCGTCATGGCCATGACGCCCGACCTGAGCCGCCTCGGCGCGCGCATGGCCGTCCTGTTCCTCCTCGGCGGGCTGTCGGTGCTCTGCGGCACGCCCATCGCCGGCGCGGTGCTGGGCGGCGCCAGCGAGGCCGAGTGGAAGGGCATGATCGGGTACAGCGCTGCGGGGTTGACCGTCGCCACGGTGCTGCTTTGTGTATCGCGGGCTATATTGTACAGGAAGACTGGCAAGATAAGGCAGTGATGGTATTCGGAAAAGGAACGCACTGTTGCGTTTTATACAGCGAAAAATTATAGAGAGGAGGCCAGACTTGGAATATAAAAAGGATGACGATAGCACAATCGCGACGAAATTGTTGTCATACACAGACCAGCTAGCGTCGATATCGGATGGGGAAGCTTGACAAGAAGACACACACTCTGCATCCAGAGTGTTTGATTAACGTATTCTACTAAAAAGTGTACATCGATTTTTTAGGTTCGCTCTCGCCCCTGAGGTTATGCCTCCACTGTAGCCTTCTCAATGTGCTCCTCCTCCTCCGCTGGCTTCCCCTTTGTCGCTTCCTCATCCTCAGCCACCGGCGCAGTCGCCTTGGCGTTCTCACCGTTAATGTCCAGTTGCTCCATCTCCTCGATCAGCTTCTCGACAGGAGCGGCAACCTGTTCCTCGTTCTGAGAGGGAGCGGGCTTCTCTGCACCCTCTGCCTTCTCCACCTTCTCTTCTTCCTTCTCTTCTTCCTGCTCTTCCTTCTCAGCTTCCTGCTCTTCCTCAGCTCCCTCCTCTTCCTCCTCAGCCTTCTCCTCTCCCTTCTCCTGCTGTTGCTTCTGCTCGTCCTGCTCTCCTGCCTTCTCGGACTCCTCGACCACGTCAGAGCTCTCAATACTTTTCTTGTCCGTGGTGGGCTCGGAAATAATATCTAAAGGCGCGTCTCCCGAGCTCTCAGCTTCAGGAACAGCCTCGACCGGGGCGGCGGGCCTTTCGTCCAGCGTCTCGGCTACGTCCTGCGAAGCGTCTGCCTTCTCTGCTCCAGGCGCGGCAGCTTCGGCAGGCGGTTCTCGAGGTAGCGCAACCTCGCCCTCTGCCTCCTTGGCAACTCGGATCGCAGTCTCGGCGGTCGCAGCTTGTTCAACAACAGGCGCCAGGTCTTCGGCAGTCGTGTGGCCCGTCGCGGGCGCGAGGTGACCCTCGGCTTCCCGTGCAACCTTGACAGCATCTTCGGCAGTGGCCGCCTTCTCCGCAACCGGCGCAATGGCCTTTGCTGCTGACTTGGGCGCTTCCTTGGAATGGCCGGCGGGAGCAGACTTGACCACAGGCGCCTTTGTCGTGCTCGCGATCTCCTTCTTATGGGCCGTTTCCTTCTTCGCGACAGGGTGACCATCTCGAGTGGAGGGCCGCTTCGCCGCAGGAGCAGTCGCCTTTCTTGGAGGCGTCGGGGGGTGCAGTGATTTGTCCGCAGTCTTGGAGGCAGACGCTTGTGTGGGCCGCATCATCCGGGCGAGGAAGCCTTCATCAACCTCCTTTTCTTTCCGAGTCACCGGGTGATCCTTGGCCTGCGGCTTTGGCGGCGGACCAAAACTAGGCCGCGGTCGGTTGATCGTCGAGCTCTGCCTCTTGAGGTTCTTGGTGCCCGTAGCAGACAGAGTCGTTGAAGCGATGCTTGCCCTGCTAGGTGATCGATTCGAGTGAGAGGCCGCATAGCTCCCCGACTGGCGGGAAAGCGATTGTCGAGGAGCGCCTGTCCTCGAGGCTGATGCTGCCGTATGTGTGGTGAGTCCGGCGGGCAACCTCACCGGTCGCGTCGGTGACTTCGGCTTGGGTTTGACGAAGCCGGTCGAGGACGGGGATATCTCGATTGCCGGGGGTCTACTCGATGATGAAGCTGTCGCTTTTGTGGCAGTGGAAGCAGGCTTCGGGGTAGATTGCTTCTCGGGGTGGGAGGCTTTCTTCTCGGTTGCCTTGGGCGGGAACTTGGGAGTCCTGGGGTGGGCTGGGCTCGTGGGCGTCTTTGCGACAGTAGGCGACTTTGTAGGTGGTTTCGTCGTGGATTTCGTTCCAACCGAGGCCGGAGCAGGTTTGGACGCAGTCTTACTGGCACTTGCAGCCGGGGCTTTCTTCTCTACTTTCTTCACGGCTGTGCCATTTTGGCCATTTTGGGCTCTGCCAGCTCCCGCATCGGCCTTCTTCTCCGGAGCTGATATCGATTGGCCTTCCGCCTTGTCCTTTGTGGCAACCTTGCCAGCTGTTGTTCCTTTATCCGTCTTGATCTCGACTTGAGCAGTCTTGCTCGCTTCTGCTGCCTTGGTCTCGGGGGCAGGTTCCTGGCTCGCGCCGGCCTCCTTAGCGGGAGACTGTGGAATCGGATCCATGGTTGGTGTTTTTCCTCGGTCAAGTCTCTCACCAAAGAGGTTGCCAGACTTGAGAGGGAAGACGGGTGGGGTCTCTCCTTCAGTTCCAGTGCTGAGTTTCCGTCCCGTTGAAAGGGCAGAATCGGTACTCGTCTCGCGTTGCAGGCCGATTCGACCGTCCTTCTCGATGGCCACGAAGTTGGTTCTGACTTTGGACAAAGGTCGGGGGGACTCTGACGTATTTGCTAATGATTTTAGACCCGGTTAGCTTCCCAGATCGGCTAAAAGTGGTTCGGATTTGGGCAGAGATGTCAGGGGCTCAGGCGCAGTTGAGTGTGTACGAGGAATGCAGAGACATTTGCGTGAGTCAACATCTCTGGAGGGGAAGCAATAGATGCTCACAACCGATGGGGATACAAAGATGGGGAGGGGGGGGGGAGATAATTACGTTGTCGGTGTTGTAGAGGACCCGGTGATCTTCCGCGGTCTGGTGGGCTCGACTCCCCTTTCTGCTCGAACATAGCCCGAAGATTCTTGACGCCGCTCATGATGGCAACTCTGGAGGCTGCCTTCCGCGGGAAGGGAGCGGTGCTAGGGATATCGCAAGTGCTTCGGGAGCTGAAAGCTGCGGAATGTCCCGAATCTCCCTCCACTGCCTGCAGGTAGTCAAGGAGGAAAGAGCCGGCTCTGCTTCTATCGCTGATCGCGGTCTCTTGAGGATCGTGCGATTTGGGGCACGCGTGCGCGCCTGGCTGGCAGCTCTAGCTGGCCCCCTTTTTATCTGGTGGCACCTCAAGGGAAGCTCCGTGACTGGTGACTGGCCCGTTTGCCCTGGGCTAGGTGGCTCTGCGGAGCAGTTTCTGGGTCTTCGCTGGGGTCGTTTCGCTGAAGGGGTATCTAGTGTATCGACGATGATCGCACGCAAATGCTCGCAAAATCAGAAAGACAAGGCCTGGAGGCAAAGCCAGAGGCTGCGAGGTGTCCCGCAGACGCGTCGCGCACAATAGTTCGCCTTGGTTTCGCCGTGAGATTCGGAATAGTTCGTGGTGGGAGGTCGAGCCTGGGGTGCGCGCTGGGCCGACTTATTTATTTCTGGGGTGTTTGTTTAAATTACAGGCCTCGTTTTGGCAGTGGGTTTCAGGGGAGCTAGCATCCATGAGGTGCAGCTTGGACGCGAAGCACACCAGCCCAGCACAAAGGCCAGCCCACGTTTACCGCAACTGCGAGTTGGCAACTTGTTCAGATGAAGTCCAAGTAAGCATCAGAAAGCAGCATGGCCTTGTCATCTTAAAAAGCCCTGATATACCTATCATTGTCTGGAACATTTCACACTACCCAGCCCATCTCTCAAGGTACTTGTAGAAGGGCCGCTCCGCTAGAGACAGACTCCCACCACTCACCTCCACCTCCATGCCTTAAGACAACAAGTGGCCTTCTCAAGCTCCTGGATGAACACCCATGATCGATAGTTGCCTCGGAATTACCGTCGACCCTCCCTGCCCATCTGCCATCCATGTGGCAGCAGGCAGTCAACCCTGTTCACTGTTTGTGGTTGGGGATTGATGCGTGTGATGTTTCATGTTAACCCATTGAGGGATTGTTCATGCGGTCCCAGACACCCCCAGTCTGCGAACTTGTGGTTACTTGTAATCTCTACCACCCTGGCAGACCGCTCATCCCCGTTCCTGATAATGAGCTAATCTGACCAAATCAAAACATGAAAACTTCAAGAGATCTCGTGTGTATGGATTCATAGGGCTGCCTGTTGACGACCCCGGCATGTAGAGTTAGTAGAACCTCGATGCCTCAAGACACAGACAGGGAAATAGGGGTCAGGATGCTGGTAACCCGTCCACGGGTACCTGGCCTGGGGAAGGGACCCACTAAGAGAAGAGTCCTGCAGGGGAGGGAGGGCCCTGCAACAGCTCCCTCAGCTTTCCAGACCCCGCCAACGTTTAGCGGTTTTGAACCGCCCAGCCAGCTCCGATCCCCGGACCCGAGTAGCCGCTGTGATTGGGCAATGCCACCCTTTTTCTGCCGGCTACCCAAGGTACCATACTTTTTTTCTTGAAAACCGTCCGACCAAACTTTTTCGAGTGATATCTTGTTCACGTTCTGTCGCTTTGTGTGCAATTGAATCGGCAATAATGGCTGCTCGCACTCTTCGCATCGGTGAGATACTTTTCTATGCTCCAGACACGGACGGACGCTGCGTGAAAAAGGGGCCGTCGAGAACTAATCTGCCATTCTGCGACGAAATCCAGGCCTGATCCCCGGCGACGGTATCGGCAAGGAGGTCATCCCCGCCGGCCGCCGGGTCCTCGAGGCCCTGCCCGCCAGCCTGGGCCTCAAGTTCTCCTTTGTCGACCTGCAGGCCGGCTTCGAGACCTTTGAGAAGACGGGCGCCGCCCTGCCCGACAAGACGGTCGAGGTCCTCAAGACCGAGTGCGACGGCGCCCTCTTCGGCGCCGTCTCGTCGCCCTCCAAGGCCGTCAAGGGCTACTCGTCGCCCATCGTCGCCCTGCGCAAGAAGCTCGACCTCTACGCCAACGTGCGCCCCGTCAAGACCGTCGCCACCGACCCCAAGGCCATCGACATGGTCATCGTGCGCGAGAACACCGAGGACCTCTACGTCAAGGAGGAGCGGACGTTCGACAGCCCCGACGGCAGGGGCAAGGTCGCCGAGGCCGTCAAGCGCATCTCGGAGCGCGCCTCGCACCGCATCGCCGCCATGGCCGGCGAGATCGCCCAGCGCCGGCAGAACGTGCGCGCCGCCGGCGGCGCCTCGGTCCACGCGGCGCCCATGGTCACCATCACGCACAAGTCCAACGTGCTGTCCCAGACCGACGGCCTCTTCCGCGCGACGGCGCGCGCCGCCCTCGAGGACCCGCGCTTCCGCGGCGTCGCCATCGACGAGCAGATCGTCGACTCGATGGTCTACAAGCTCTTCCGCCAGCCCGAGTTCTACGACGTCATCGTCGCGCCCAACCTGTACGGCGACATCCTGTCCGACGGCGCCGCCGCCCTCGTCGGCTCCCTCGGCCTCGTGCCCAGCGCCAACGTCGGCGAGGGCTTCGCCATCGGCGAGCCCTGCCACGGCAGCGCCCCGGACATCATGGGCCAGAACATCGCCAACCCCATCGCCACCATCCGCAGCACCGCCCTCATGCTCGAGTTCCTCAACGAGGAGCAGGCCGCCGCCAAGATCTACGCCGCCGTCGACGCCAACCTCGAGGAGGGCAAGTACCTGAGCCCCGACCTGGGCGGCAAGGCCAAGACGGAGGAGGTCATCGAGGACATCCTCAGGAGGCTGTAAATGGACTAGAGGGATGTATGAGCATGGTTTGGAGCGATCACGAGTAGATACCGAAAAAAAAACAGAAGTGCTTGAATACCCCTGAATAGATGACGTTTTGTCAATCAAAGCCCCCGTGTCTGGCTTACTTGACATGTGTGCTCTCAGTTGATGACCTTTGGGAGCTGCTAGTGATGTACAGTCTTCAACACAGTCCTCTCCAATAGCTTTGACAAGGGGAGAGAGTGTACCGGTGAGATCCTGCGTAGCGTTAGAGCAACAATCGTGGGCAACACTAGGTAAGCAACAACAGAAAAGACGTGTTTTATCATTTTCAACTTTTTTCATTAATTTCTAATTACTTGTATGTCCCCTTTTACTAGACTTTTACCGCGAGCGAAAAAGTTTACTGGACCACGCATTTGGCAGGCAGTCCACAAGGTCCCTCGCCACTCTTCTTCTTCTCCTTGACAGGGTGTTGGCCATCCTGAGCGGGCTGAGCAGCAGCACCGCCGTTGTCCGTCTTGTTGGCCGCCGTAGTAGTCGTCGTCGTGGCTGCGGCGGCCGGAGCAGCAGCAGCCTTCTTGTCGCCATTGTCGCTGCCATGGAGTCACGCGGCGCTGCCGGCGGCGTACTTGGCGGCCGTCTCGTAAAAGTGCTGGCCCTGGCACTCGGCGAGCTCGAGCTCGCGGGCCGAGGGCTGGCGGGACCCGTCGGCGCCGGCGATGGTGCCGGCGCCCCAGGCGGAGCCGCCGCGGACCTCGTCAAGGGCGGCCATCTGGGCGAAGGCCTTGGCGTAGCCAAAGGGCACGTAGATGATGCCGTGGTGGACGAGGGTGCTCAGGGCGTTGGCGGCCGTCGTCTCCTGGCCGCCGCCGAGCGAGGCCGTCGACTGGAAGATGCCGGCCATCTTGCCCCAGTAGCCGCCCGAGGCCCAGATCTGGCCCGTCTTGTCCCAGAAGGCCTGATTGTTTTATATATTGTGGTTAGCGACTTTGTGAATTTTTACAATGGTCATTGTGAACAACTAAAAAAGACAAGACAAGAAAGGAAGAAAGGAAGGAAGGAAGCTTACCTTCCACTGGGCGGGGAAGTTGCCGTAACGGGTGGGGATGCCGAGCAGGAAGGCATCGTAGCCCTGGAGGACAGTCGGGTCGGAGAGGACGGGGACGTCGGTGGGCTTGGGGGGAGCGTGCATCTTGGTGAGGACCTCTTGGGGCAGGGTCTCCTCGATCTGGTACAGGTCGGCAGAGCCGCCGGCCTTCTCAATGCCGCGCTTCTCAGCCTCGGCCAGCTGGCGGATGTGGCCGTACATGGAGTAGTAGACGATAGCGATCTTGGGAGCCATCTTGAGCTTGTAGCTGTGGTGAACGGGTAGGTGGGTTGATGGGGAGGGAGAAGTCTGAGAGCAGCAGTCTGTCTATGAGATCGAGGTGGATGGATGTATGTGCTTGTACAAGTAATCTGGAGAAGAGAAGAAAGATCGGGTGGTGGGCTACCAGCAGCTAATATATATATGTATATGTGTGTGTGTGTCTGGACACCGGGGCAGGAGGGGTGGGACGGGTCTCAGACAGCTGCTCCGTACCTACTTCCTCCACAAGACAACAATGCAGATCGTAGCTTCTGATGAGACAGTGACAATGGGACAGGGATGAAGCTTAATTGTGCTGTGTGCTTCGTAAGAGCTTGCCATCGGGGCGAGCCCGAGCTACAAGCCAAGTGTGGGTTTCCCTACTCCGTACGTACTCTTTTCTTCCGTCATTGCTCAGATAATCATCTGTTAATCATGACTAGCGGGGCATCAAGCTCTGGGCCGGCGTGCCAAAGACGGGGCCTTGCACCGTCTGGGATGCGCTCCGTCGATGGGCACTACTTGTAGGTAAACCATCAATTGCCGCCCCAGTCAGGATACCTATCGGGGCCCAGTCCAGTAGTAGGGTGTGATACGAGAGCATTGCTTTGTCTACAAGTAGAATTTCGTTCATGTTGTGCAGCACACACCGATGGATGATCCATCCCGGCCAGCTCGCAACCCGATATCATGGCCGGCCTGTAACACGGGCAATGCTGCAGTGCAGACGCAGCATTATCGTCGTGCACGATCACGGGGTAAGCAAAGGAGAAACATGACTCTGGATGATCCAACAGGAGCTCCCCCCTCCTCTTCGTCCAAAGCCAAGCCCAGGGCCCGGTCGGCAGGTAGTCTACCTTGATCATCCATTGGCCCCGCCACCCGGCAGGCCAGAGCGAGCAAACACCAGCACTGATGGGCTTCGACTCGCCTCGACCAAACAAAACATGATTCCGGCAGGGTGTGTGACTGAGGTCGATGCCTTCATGTTGTGTTTCCCCTTCCCTTTCGTCAGCGGTTTGAAATCGGCCGAGTACCTACCGCAGGGATGATGGGTAACATCAGGGGGTGTCGTATCATGTATCATTCATTCATTGCTCAGCCAACCGCAGCTCCTCATGCCAGCCACAGCTGTCCTTAGCCGTGTTTCTGTTCTCGCTCGATCCGGCGAGGGGCAGATGGGGCTCTTGGATTAAACTCGAGCAAACCACCCGCGGCCCCGCCAGCCACACGCCGGAGCGGTCGAGAGAAGAAGTGCTTGGGCGGGGTGGAGCTGCAGAGCCTGCTGAATAATGATGACATGAGCTTCCGTAACCTTTTGTGCGAACAATTTCGACAGCTAGCCTCGCACATGCTGACCACGCCTCCAGTGACTTCTTAGTCGTCACTGACAAATTGGCAGATTGGCAAGGCCTGCTTATCATCAATCAAATATCGACGGCGAAAGAGAAGGGATCGTCAAGAATTGGATGGCCATCTGCAGGACGGGACTGTTTGCCAGGTACGTGTACGTGTACGAGTACTTGTACAGTTACTTCCTTCATACCTCCCTCCTTCATACCGAGGACAGCACCTCCGTCTCCACTCCCGGACATGTCGTGATTCTGCGCAAAGTCTGTGCCCAAACACGCTCATAAGTGGCCAGACTGCCTACTGGGAAACTGGAGAGAGAGAGAGAGTCTCAAAGGATGCCCATACGGGAGGGCTATGCCCAACCACCTCGTCAGCACTCGCGCCCTGAACAGTGCGAACCAGCAAAGTTGATAGGCCCATGCATCTGCAATTACACCGAAGCACCACAGGTGCATGCATGCAATTCAATGCCGTGGTCCGAGGGCCACCGCTTGAGGCCGGGTCCAATGGCATCGGGTAGTAAAACCAACGGCCTCTCGTTTCTTTGCGACCGTCCGCCTCTGCTAGTACCGGACGACCCAGAGTTGACCGCAAACAGGGTCCTGTCTCCTCCTCGGGTTTGCTTAGGCTGCTCGTAGGGCTGAAAAGTTGAACCACTCGTTGCCATGCTTGGTCCGGCAAGGAGACCGCGCCGAGGGGGTCCACGCAGGTAGATTGCCTAGTGGTTCTTGGCTTATATGCCATGCCATGATAGTATCAAGACGCGGAGCGTAGTTCAAGGTGAGATGGACGCAGAAACATAAAAAGACGAAAGCAAAAGGCCAGAAACAAGCCAAGCGATTATTTCCAAGTTCGTCTTTGTTACCTAAATTGTACTATACGAATCTTCACCTTGACCTCTATGTAGCCAGCCACCTCTATAATACACTTTTATAAGCTTCTTTTGTGTACATCAAACCCAGATGCGTGCAGAGCCCCGGGGGAAACGCAGAAGAGACGAGATCGTGTGAGCATTATTGCAACATGTATGCTTGTTCTCGGGGGGCCACGTGAACCGATTTGGTCCCTATGTGGTGTAGGTATATCGTGATGCAGCGCTGCCGGCATTCTCCATCAAAATCAATACATCATCGTACAACAGCCCGCACCAGGCCGGTCTTCCTTTCCATTCAATGGTGGACGGAAGGGGCTCTCTACTTGGTGCGCTTGGCCTCCAGCTCCTTCTGGTACTTGGCGACAAGCTCCTTCCTACAGGCAGGGTGTTAGCAAAAAAAAAAAAAAAAAAGATCATCACGATTAGCTACACGCAGTACGGGGGGGTTGATCTTACTGGAGCTGCATGGGCGCAGGGGCATAGTGGCTGAACTCCATGCCGAACTCGCCCTTGCCCTGCGTCGCCGCGCGGAGGTGGGAGCTGAAGCCGAACATGGCGTTGAGGGAGCAGTCGGCAATCAGGGTGAAGTCGTCGGGGCCGATCTCGGTGTCGACAATGGTGCCGCGCTTGTTCATCAGCATGAGGATGTTGCCCTGGAACTCGTTGGGCGCCGTGATGGTCGTCTTCATGAGGGGCTCGAGGACGACACCGCCGGCGTCGTCAAAGGCCTTGCGGAAGGCCATCTGCGTAGCCAGGGAGAAGGCGTAGTCGGACGAATCGGTGACGTGGGTGGCACCGTCGTTGACGACCATGCTAGCGCCAATGACCCTGTGGCCCAGGAGCGGGCCCTTCTCGCAGGCGAGCTCGAAACCCTTGCCGCAGGCAGACAGGAACTTGTCCGGAATGGTACCGCCGACGACCTGGGTCTCAAAGTGGTTCTTCTCGGAGTCCTCGGGATTGGGCTCGATCCAGCCCATGACGCGAGCGAAATCACCGGGGCCGCCGGACTGGCGCTTGAGCAGGAAGTCGTAGTCGGCGCGGCGGGTGATGGTCTCGCGGTAGGCGACGCGGGGCTGGCCGGTCTCGCAGTCGCACTTGTACTCGCGGCGCAGACGCTCGATGTAGATGTCCAGATGCAACTCGCCCATACCGGAGATAATGGTCTCCTCGCTCTCCTCGTCAACGTGCAGACGGAAGGTAGGGTCCTCGCGCTGGAAGCGGTTCATGGCCTTGGAGAAGGCATCCGCATCGCTGCTGCGCTTGGGCTTGATAGACAGAGACATGACGGCATCCGGGACATACATGGAGCTCATCGAGTAGGGCAGCTGACCGTCGGTAAACGTGTCTCCAGAGGCGCAGTCGACACCAAAGACAGCGCAGATTTCTCCAGCACCGATCTCGGCAACGTCTTCCATCTCGTTGGAGTGCATGCGGACGATACGGGGGATGCGGATCTTCTTGCCGGTGCGCGAGTTGTACAGGTAGGTGCCCTTCTTGAGGGTGCCCTGGTAGACACGGATGTAGGTGAGCTGGCCGTAAGGGTTCTCCTCAAGCTTGAAGGCAAGGCCAACGAAAGGAAGCGAGTTGTAAGGGATCAGCTGGACAGGCTGCTCGCCCTTGGATCGGTCGAGGGCCATGTTGTCAACTTCCGCAGGGTTAGGAAGATAGTCACAGACAGCGTCGAGCATGGGCTGGATGCACTTGTCGGCGAGAGCAGTTCCCATGAGGACAGGGGTGAACTTCCTAGCAATGGTAGCACGGCGGATAGCGGCCTTGATCTGTTCGGGAGTCGGGGTCTGCTCGTCGAGGAAGATCTCGGCGATCTCGTCATCGACATCGGCAAGCTTCTCAATGAGCTCCTGGCGCTTCTCTTCGCAGAGCTCCTGAAGATCAGCGGGGATATCGTCAGAGACCTTGATAATAACACCACGCTGGCCGTCGTTTCGAATAGCCTTCATGTTGATGAGATCGACGACACCCTCGAATTCCTTCTCGGAGCCGATGGGAACCTGGAGAGCAGCAGCCGGGATCTTGAGCTTGGTGTTGATCTGCTCGACAGCCTTCCAGGGGTTAGCGCCCATGCGATCCATCTTGTTAACGAAGCTGATGCGGGGGACGTCGTAGCGCTTCATTTGCCGGTCGACCGTGATTGTCTGACTCTGAACACCGCTGACCGCACAGAGAATCATCACGGCACCATCAAGAACGCGCAGTGCACGCTCGACCTCGATAGTAAAATCGATATGCCCCGGAGTGTCAATCAGGTTGATGTGGTATGTCTCGTCCTTGCCGTTCTCTTTCTTCTTCCAGTCGGCAAAGGTTGCTGCGGACTGAATGGTGATACCTCGCTCCCTCTCCAGCTCCATGGAGTCCATCTTGGCGCCGACCGAATCTCTGCCACGGACCTCGTGGATCGCCTTAATCCGGCCGGTGTAGAAGAGGACACGCTCGGTACACGTGGTCTTGCCGCTGTCGATATGTGCCTGTTTCCGAATTAGCCTACAGGCGACTGTACCGTTGAGGTCGATCGGGTGCATACCGCGATACCAATGTTGCGCACTCTCGACAACCGATGCGCCTCCTCGGGGCTCATGTTGGCGGCGACGGCCTCGGCGGTCAGGTTGGCAGCGGCATCTTGCGCGGCCTTGAGTCTGTGGAGCATGAATGTCAGCCTTTGAGAAACTTCGTGGCAGACCAATGCCAACTTACGCGGCTTGCGCAGCATTCGCCGCGCCGAGCTTGGAGCTTCCGCTGAACGCTCTCCTGGCCTCGAGCTGCACGGCAGCCCATCTCGCAGAGGCGCCCAGGTTGAAATGGCTGGCTCTATGGCTCTCACCAAAGAAGTGACCGTTCGCCAGAACGGTCACAGTCCGTTGCGCCCTCATCTTGTCGAGTGCGCCTCTCGTGGGACTTCAAGGAGTGACGAGAAGGAAAATGAAATGAAAAATTACCAAACGCCCTAGCAAAGCTCGAAAAGTCGTATGGCGATCGAATGGTCTGAGAACTTTCTGTAAATTTTTGGACCCCTGTCCCACGGTCCAGGCCCGGCCAATCAGCGGTCGCGATAATGAATTGGGACGGGTTCCCGACGGGCGCGAACTGGGGCCTCCATGCTAGCTTCTCGTGTCTGCATCTGTCTACTCCGTACTTGTACCTGTAGCACGACCAGGAGACTCTTAAGTGCTGGAGGGAGCGACTTTCCAAGAGAAGCTGGGCTTGTCACTCCAGACTCACTTCACACTCCAGACGGGTCTCTGGGCCTCTCATATGCACAATGTATGTCTATTCTGGAGATACATCTACTATTAGACAAGCGAAACCAACCATGCTCTAAACAAACAAAGGCCGTTATGCAAATCCTCCAGTTTACCCAGTGCGACGGCAAGACAAGAATGGGTATCGTCGAGTTGTCTTTTAAACCGTGGCACAAACGCCGTGGGGAAAACAAATCGCTATTATAACACACAACCGCAGAGTCTCAAAAGAGCAAAGAAAAGAGGATGAGGGTCCCTACAAGAACTCCTTGGCTCCAGTCCAAGGCTCTCGTCAGAGGAGCACCGTTCTTGCGACCACCGGTGCCCTCAGAAAATCCCGAAGCTGCCGCAAACCCAGGCGTGGTAAGAGAGGCTGGCGTGTCGGTTACTTGCGCTTGGTTAGGTGCAGTGGTGGCCAAGGGGATCGTTGCGCCGAGGCTCTCAAAGGCGACAATGTTCGATGCCGTGGCATTGAAATCCGTAGGCGCGATACCAATCTCGTTGTTTACTAGGTCGTACACCACATACGCAGAGCGCAGAAAGGTATCTCCGAGCAGAAAGGGGTCGCTGCTAAAGTTTTGTATGCCGAATGAGCAGGCATCCTCCCCTCTATACGGTCCGGATGAGAATGATGGTGCAGGTCCGCCATTAATGCTCAAGACCAGCTCATCCATCCCGACACTGATTTTAGGCCCACCAGGCCCGGCGAACTGGAAGGTGAAGTGGCCTTTGCTGTTCGCCATCCGACACGGAAGCACAGCCATTCCGATGTCGGGAGAGTAGACAGCCCCAGCCTCGCGCCAGATCTGTCGTGCGAGGTCAATGGGTAGATACGAGAGAGTTGTACCTGAGTCGAGAACGACGGGCATGGGGAATTGCTGGGAAGAGAGAACATCGTTCCCGCTAGTGCTTTCGGCCGTCACTGATGTCAGAGCGACCTGGAACGATGTGAAGGCATTTGTCTGGGGATCTTTGTAGATGTTGATCCGCGTCAGGTTGCCTTTGTACTTTGCGGTATCGATCCCTCCAAACAGGACGTTTCCACTGCTCGAGTCTGCATTGTCGTGGTTAGCAAGGTCCAAGGGCGCCGGCATAGACCGGGGCACTCACCGAGATCGTTTAGCCACAAACTGTATGCGTTTGTCTTGATCAAGCCTTCATTGACCATTTCGACTGGCAGGTTCGGATAGGCGCTCGACGCAGATCGTGTGCCGGCGACGATGGCCTCGTTCAGGGCGTATCCCACACCTATGAGGCCATAAGGGATATCTGTTTTCCTCCCCAGGCCCATGGTCAAGTTGTTCAGTTTAGCACCAGCAATCTCAAAGACGTCTGTAAAATAGTCGCCGCTAGAACGGCTGCCATCAACATAGGCAATGCTAAAGGCATCCTGTCCAACAACGGCAAAAGTTGAGGAGTTTGCGGCGTTGACTGTCTCGTGTTAGACACCGACATTAGAGAATCTTGGGTTGGCAATCGACTTACACGTGCCAAAATTACATCCGTCAGAATTGGAGCTGGTTGGCGAGGTCCTTTTGGCGCAAACGTTGGCCGACTTTGACGGAACCCAGACATCGCTGCTGCCAGTGTCCAGCTGCAGCGTGAGTTCCTGGCTTGGTGTTCCTACTTTCACAGTCGCGAAATAGCCACCCCTGGTCTGCTCATTCTTGATAACTTCCTCAAGTGTTGCTCCGGCCCTCCTCACCAACTTGTTGAGAATGTGCCTCTTTGAAATATCCCATTGGACCACGCCATTGGTCGCCGTGGCTGTTGCAGCAAATAACCAGCTCGCGACTGCGATGACCGCTTTCATTGCGGGAGCGGGTACGTCAAAGCGGTTAATTTCTGAATTGGCAGGGGTCTTTGACGGGTTGAATGCGAGATTGAGAGTGAAATGATATCAATTTAAACGAGGCTAGGAAGAAGCAGCGCCGCAGACGAGCAAAGAGGCAAAAATTGCAGGAGAACCCCAAGAGGGACGGTCCAAGCCGTCGTAAGTAAGGAAATCAAGAAAAGTCGCGAGGAAGCTCAACCTGAAATGCAACACAGGTTCATAGGAGAGGCTACGGTGAGGAAAGCCAAGAGGAAGCAGGGCGCCGAGAGGGATGCAGAATGATGCCAAGAGGATCAAGTTGGGAACTAGGAGTCTGGGCAAAGCAGAAAGCCAAGAGATCGGCTTTGCCCGGGGTAACGGGCCTCCAGCTCAATCTTTTGGACCCTTGTCTGCGTCATTCATTACCGTACTTGAAATCCATGGGATTGCACGTTTCAGAAGCTTTCGCCGGGGGAGGGACGCCCCGAAGGGCTGGGTGCACCATGTGTTGGTGAAAACTGCCAGTACACGACGGAAATAGCTCGCTGATGATGCGGCTTGAAACTGCTTGCGCAATGGTATGGGTCACGCACCCACTGCCGCTGCTCTTAGCGTAACTCTGTTTTCGTTGTGGTACGGAATGCTCAGGTACCCGGGGACCTTGAATTCGTAATGCTGGGCGCGACTTGGGGGAATTAGCCATTGCGAATTAAAAGTCTTGGGGGGCGCCTCCAAGAACATTGGCGGTGGATTTAGCGCCCGAATATCTGCCCGGCCCAGCTTCTTGGTTCCCCATTTCGATATCACATTCATTGCATTCGATGCCGGGAAAGCCGTGCCACGGCCAACCAGTATTCCTGACCTTCCAGCTTCACAGAAGATTGACTCCGGATGGGCACGTTCTTGTTCTTTAGGCACTGCTTCCACCCAGGCTTTCCATCCCTGGCAAACCTGGGTGCTCCAAGGACCAAAAGAGGACACCTGACAGCACAAGTGCAGCCCGTAGGTCGCCGTCCACGCGTCGCCGTGGGGCAAAGGCGCCTGCTACCTAGCCCTCGCAGTCTTTGACGCCTTGCTCTGAAACGCGGCCCTCCAAGTCGACCGTCTCACTTGCATGACCCGGTTACCGGCCATGTCAGAGAAGCGAGCTCGGACCACATACTTGCAGTTCAAATATTACAGAAGGCCTCACAACAAGTGACATTCCCTCGTTGCAGTATTGCTTGCATAAGCGGCTTCCGTGCTAGGACAATACTAAGCTCCATCACCACAAGACCACAATGTGTAGATATAGAGCCTCTCACGTACTTATAGGTACCTGAATGGATGACCAACAGGTCCTTGGGTCAGACGAAAGGGACTTCAAGTCATAATCGGCCCTATAATAACTTTTTATCATAAAAAAAAATAAGGATCAATTCGACCAGCTCCTATACATATTGTATGAAGGAAGGGCAAAAAGTTTGGGACTTGCCGTGGATCGAACACGGGACCTGGGATTTGTTAGTTTTACGGCTTGGAAATGTACAGTGGAGAATGGTGCTTACCTCTCGCAAGGTTGTGCTCAGGTTTACCCTAAGCGAGAATCATACCACTAGACCACAAGTCCTAAGCGTACCGAAATCTCCTCGAGTTCCGACCTATATACCAAATAGTTCCGGTACTGGGTGTTAAACCGCCTGGCAGCCTCCAAAGGCCGGTTAGAACCCGAACACATCCAGCTCGATCTTGAGCACACAATTGTAACGTCAACATGATCACAAGACATCGCTGGGATCTTCCAGCTTTGCCAAAAGCAACGCAACCCGAGTCATTCTTTCGGTGAGACTTTTGTGGCATTTAAAGACTGTAGCTGCCGGATCTGGTCCCATCCTTCGCGTCTACACCAGCATGCCCTTCACCTCCCCATCTCCCCCTATACACGACAGTCAGACATAATGCCAGAAGCCCACGACGTCCCTGTCCTCATCGTAGGCGGAGGCATAGTCGGCCTGTGTGCCTCGCTGTTCCTCTCCCACCAGGGCGTCAAGTCGCTCGTCGTCGAGCGCCACGCCGGCACCTCGATCCACCCGCGCGCCCGCGGCGTCAACCGCCGCACCATGGAGCTGTTCCGCGAGATCGGCGTCGCCGACGCCGTGCGCGACGCCGGCGCCGACCTGTCCCCGAGCATGGGCATCTACCATGGGCGCTCGCTCGCCGAGGTGATCGAGCCGCTGAAGCGGTCGGCGGCGGCGGCACCGGCGGGCGGGCGGAGAATGCCCGGCGCGGCGTACTTTGAGTGGCTCGGCCCCGCGGAGGGCGCGCGGGGCACCCAGGACAAGGTCGAGCCCGTGCTGCTCGCTGCGGCGCGCGAGCGCGGGGGCGAGATGCGTTTCCACACCGAGTGCGTCGGCTTTGACCAAGACGAGAACGGCATCACGGCCACGCTGCGGGATCGCACCACCGAGGCCGAAAGTCCTGTGCGCGCGGCGTACATGATTGCTGCCGACGGGGCTGGGAGCCCCGTGCGGCGAGAGCTCGGCGTGCCGACGACTGGCGCCGGCAGGCTCGGGTACCTGCTCAACATCCTATTCGAGGCTGACCTCGCCGAGCTGGTCCGCGGTCGCGAGTTCAGTCTGTGTCTCGTTGACAGGCCTGAGGTCAAGGGTCTGTTTACTTCCATCAACAACTCTGACGTCTGGGTGTTTCACCTCTCCTACATCCCCGGGCCGGGCAGCCATGCAGAGGACTTCACACCCGAGAGGTGTCGAGACTTGATCAGGATCGCTCTTGGCATGCCAGACGTCGACATCCACGTCAAGAGCATCCTCCCTTGGGAGCCAACAGTGCGGGTAGCGGAGAGCTTCCAGCACGGGCGTATATTTCTCGCGGGAGATGCGGCTCATCAGATGCCTCCGTACGGAGGCCAGGGGGCGACTTCTGGCATCGCAGACGTCCACAACTTGGCCTGGAAGCTTGCAGCAGTCTTGAACAAAGAGGCAAACAGGTCTTTGTTAGCCACATACGACGCAGAGAGGGTCCCCATCGGACGGCTCGTGTCGGAAGAGTCAGGGGCCATGGCTGATGAGCATGGTTTAATCTCGACGTGGAAGAGTCTTCCAGCCATCTGGGCTTTGGTCAAAAGGATGCCGCGATTGGCCGGGTACGGATACAGCTATACCTCGCAGGCAATCAATACGGAGGATGCGACACCACTGTGGTGGAGGGCGATCGGATTGTTGCCGAGCCTGAGCTACATTATCGGTATCGACGGGCAAGCGGGGACCCGCGCGCCGCATCTCTGGGTCTCCTTGAAGGATCGACGTATATCCACGCTTGACTTGTTTGGGAAAGGTTTTGTCGTTGTAGCTGGCTCAGAGGGAAACATGTGGCAAGAGGTAGCTCCAAGGGTGGCGGCTACTCTTGGTGTCCAGTTGGCGTCATATCGCGCTGGTCCTTCCGGAGACCTCGTAGCCCCATCGGGACGTTGGGAGTCGTTGGCAGGAATCACCAAGAACGGCGCGCTTTTGATGCGCCCAGATGGCTTTGTAGCTTGGCGTTCATGGACAACCCCTCCCAACGCCGAGAGGAAACTTGAGGAGGTCTTGAAGGGGGTGCTTTGTCGGTAGCCTGTATAAATTACCACTCTCAGTTGTCGAAAGATGCAGCCTTCGACTTGATCATATCTGACGGATGTGTACCCAAAAGATAAGCAGTCTCCCGAGGCGATGATTACCTGGAGCCGCCTCCGAGGGGTCACTGTGTATTGTATCCGTGTCCTCGGCAACATAGAGAGCCCGCCATAGCTCACCATTCTAGTGCCGGTCGAGCTCTGGATCCAGACTCCTGGGGCTTCGCAGGTGAATTGGGCGTCACCTCCACATGTTGAGTCTCATCGCTTTGCAGGACGCCACGATCAATGCTCCACCTTTGAACCTCGGTTTCAACAAGGGCTGACCACTTTCGAAGCAGTGGATGTGAGCCCGCTACGTCGGGAAAGGTCACATCTCCCTCAGCACCACTCGCGACTTGGACGTCATACTTCCAAGTGCCGTCAGTGTTCCAGTAATCCGGGCTGTAGATGTTCTTGGTGCTCAGCTCGTCCCTTGCACTAGTGAGGAGGGCTGCCGGCGTAGGAGACTGCTCAGTTCCGGCTTCGGCATCTAGAACAGCGCCAGCAATCCCTTCCAAGATACCCAGGAGTTCACCAGCGCGCAGGCCGATGGTGGCGCCCAGGCCAAACCCCTCGTCGAACCCGGCCTGCACGCTGCCGGCCTTGGCGGCGGTGATGCCGTCGCGGTACCCGGCTGTCATGTGCTCCTGCTGCAGACGGGGGATATCTGATGGGTGCGGCCCGGAGCTCCGAGCCAGGCCTGCGGCGGAGTCGTTGTGCGGCTCCAGCATTGGGGACGATGGGCCGGAGCCGAAGACATCGTCCAAAGGATCCGGAGCAGGGCTTTCAATCGTCTGGTCAGGCTCTGCGAATGCGCGCGGAAAACTCATGCTGGGATAGATGTCCTCGTCGTGAGGGTCGGTGCGCAGAAATAGCATGTCGTCCTTTGAAATGTTGGTATATATTTCAGGCTTGCCTTGAAGTACTGAGTGCTGGGGTAGACAGACGAAGTGAGTCGAAGAAATCGGATTTCTAATAGAATTTTGAGTTGGTCAGTTGTGCCCCACAGCCAAATGCACTTGATATGCTGCGACTCGATATTTACCTCCGTACAAGGGATGGATTTAATTCTCTTTCCTTTTCTTATTTAAGAACCGGGAAAAGTTCCAACAGAGATGGGAATTCTGGATGCCTTAAATCAGTGAACTGAAGTGGGCATACGAAGCAATTGCCACCACGTCGCTCATCCAAATAAATGGTGAAAGATGATATCGGCACCGAGACATACAGTTATGGCACCACGGCGGGACGGCCGACACAATGCATTGCGTGTGCTTTTGTTCTGTATCTAGGTAAGAATAAAACGGTAGAATAGAACAGGTACTCTTTTACTTTGTCCTTTGTTAAGCATCTGGTGGATCTCACCGATCCATTCCGGTCTCAAGGGTTCGAGCCTCCAGTGTCCTACTTGAAGTATGCGGTGTAAGCTACGCAACTGCTGAAGATAATGCATGTTGCCTTCTTCGAATCTACCTCTTCTTTACCTTTCGTCCTTGAACCCCCAAATTCAACTTTCTAGGCATGCGTGTCACTCAAGCTGGCGATCTGTGAGACAATGTGCTGGTGCGAAGACTGTCGTGCTCCCTAAATGACACTTACTTTGGATCACTTTGGCCCAGACTCTGGTCTACCGAGAAGAATAAAACGGCATAACATCCCCATTTCTCATCATGATATGTTTTCTTCCCATTTACCTTGTCTTGCGTGGCACCCACGACGAGAGTCATGAATGACGGGATCCCTACCGAAGGACTGATGGGCCTGGCTTCTCCATTGCCCATTATCTCAACTCCCTCAAACTTGCCTAGTCAAGAAAACGGCGCCGAAAAGGCTACCTTGATCGTCAGCATAGTCTTTGGTATCATTGGATCCATTACTGCCTTGCTAGCGCTTCTTTTCGCCTATATACAGATCAAGAGGCGCCGCCGGGCATGTTCGTTCGATCTTCATTGGTGATCGAGAACAGGGACACATCATTCTCGGTCGTCATGGGTCAGTGTGCAAAGATGCAGCCCTCCCTGCCTGGCATTTGTGCTTGTGCTCTGTGCCACTTTGCTGATCTGATCTAGTACATACTTCAGTTTGGTACTTCGTTCCTGAGGCTTGAGCGTTGTGTGGCATTTTCTTGGGAACAAGCGATACTGAGGACGTGAATGAACGCAGCGGGGAACAAGGGCCCCGATATGCAAGTCGCACAAGCTTTGGGTTATAATCTTTGATATGTATATATACTTCTTCGTGAGTGTGTCCCATGGTTCAGAATTCCAGACGGAAACAACTCCTTTTGTATATCTAGCCCCTTCTGCGCTCCCCTTTTAGCTGCGAATCCCCTTTCTCCCCCTAATAACATCCACAACTTCCGTCTCGGGCTTCAGATACGGCTCCACCGTCCCCCTCACCCGCGTCCTCTGCTCAAAGGCATACGCCATGCCGATCAGCCCTTCCTCGCTGAACCTCTCCCCGACGAAGCTGATCCCAAAGGGCAGGTTCGGCCCCTCGGCGACCAGGTTTCCGAACCCGTTCATCACCACCGTCTGGCTGGCCGGGTACTTGCCCAGCGGCACCGTGACGACGGGGGCGCCCACGATGGCCGCGAGCGGCGCCGCGAAGGCGGTGGGCAGGACGAGCGCGTCGAGCGAGTTGTTCCTCAGCGCGCCCGTCACGCCCAGCGGGCCCGCGAGGTACCTGTTGCGCGTGTAGTTGCCCCAGAACTCGGGCGTCTGGTTGCCCCCCTCGCCGATGACCGGGTCGGCGACCGCCTCGTCCCACAGGCCCGTGTCGCGCTTCGGCCACATCTCCAGGGGCTCCCGCTGCGTGAACGCGCGGACGGACTGCAGGTCCGTCACGTTGTGCGGGTTGGTCGCCAGCTTGGCGAGGAAGCGCTTGAGCCCGGACACCAGGTCGGCCTCGAGGAGGAACGAGACGGTGTTGCCGTCGATGAGGTCGGCGCCCGGGAGGACCAGGTCGTCGACGAGGGTGGCGCCGGCCTTCTCGAGGAGCGGGAGCGCGGCGTCGAACGCGGGGATGAGGACGCCGCGCTGGGCGCTCGTGGCGCCGGCGAAGAGGTTGCGGGGGATGCCGATGCGCTTGCCGGCCAGGCCACCCGTGTCCTTGCACGCGCCGACGTAGTCCGGCATCCTGTCGAACGGGAAGTCCGACGTGTAGTTATCGTTCGGGTCCGGCCCCGCGATCGCAGATAGTATGTACGCCGCGTCCTTGACCGAGCGGGCCATGGGGCCCACGGTGTCCTGGTGCTCGGACAGGGGCACGACCAGGTACCGCGACGTGAGGCCGGACGTGGGCTTGATGCCGACCAGGTTGTTCATGTTCGACGGAGACAAAATCGAGCCGCTGGTCTCCGTGCCCAGGGCGGCCAGCGCGAGGCCCAGCGAGCTGGAGACGCCGCTGCCCGAGGACGACCCGGAGGGGTCCTGCCGCGGGTAATACGCGCCCTGGACCTGGCCCCCGTAGGCCGACCACCCGTTGCTGGTCCGGTAGCTGCGGAAGTTGGCCCACTGGGACAGATTCGCCTTACCGAGGATCACGGCGCCCGCCCTCCTGAGCCTGGCCGCCACGGTGCTGTCCGCGGGCACCCTGGCGCCGAGCAGGGCGTACGACCCGGCCGTGGTGTTCATCCCGCCGTCGAGCGCCGGGTCGGTCGCGATGTTGTCCTTCAGCAGCAGCGGGATCCCGTGCAGCGGGCCCCGCACCTTGCCGCAGGCCCTCTCGCGGTCCAGGGCGCGAGCGGCGGCGCGGGCCGCGGGGTTCAGCTCCGTGACGGCGTGCAGCTCGCCGTTGACCTCGGCGATGCGCGCCGTGTACGCGTCCACGAGGTCGACGCTCGTGAAGAGCCCGGCGCCCAGGCCTGCCACCAGGTCTTCCAGGCTGGCATTGATAAGGGATGGGAACCCCCGGCCGTCGATGCTTGTTGCACTATCACTATCGGGGTACAATGGCCCCGCTGCCGCCGCTGCCGCCGCCGCCGCCGCACCGGTGACCGGAAAAGCGGGGCCGTGACTGGGAAATGCGGCCGCCGAATGGCAGAAGAGGAGCAGCCAAGGGATTAGCATGGCACAAAATACAGGACGCCCCAAGAAGGAGGGTGTGCTGGGCTTGCTGCTTCGGAATTATGTTCACTGCTGGCCTGGTCCATCACTGATATAACTACCTATCCATCCCAATCTCTGCGGCGGGCGGGACATGCACGGGTCTGTAACCCCGCCCGGGAAATGGTTGCACGGGCGGCGCAGCGGGAGCCATTTTAGCAGGGTGGGGGGTTGGTCCTGAAAGGTGTGCCATACTTTACCCAACCTTCCTGCGCTCGAGCTGCAGTGACGTTACTGCAGCTGGTGCCGAGCTCGCCGATCTATCAGTGGCCAAGCATGTAGTCCCTTCTGGGCCTGTAGCCACAAGCACACGCACACAGACACGCAAGCCCCCATCGAGACGAAGCAACTCTCTTCTGCAGGTGCTTCGGTGATAGTGATAGAACATGCATGCTGTTACATGCGTGATGCAACGTAACCCGTTGCTGTCTCCAATCGAGACTGTATAAGTAATAATTCAACGCCATCCCGCGTCCGAGAGCGTCCGAGAGCGGGATGGATAGAGAGAAAAACCATGGAACTCAGAATACTTCTTAGTAGAAAAGGATATCCGAAGAAGGCCAAGAGGGATGATCAGGAAGGGACACAGTCAGAGGGAAACAGCCCTAGACTTTTACAGACCTCCGCCAGTCTGACGAAATCCAGAACGATCCCACAGTGCCACTGTGATACAGTTTGCATCAAGGCACAGCGGTCAATTGCCAATTGTAAAGTCGCAATGCTATCCTTCTTTGAGTCTAATCTGCAGATTCCTGTACTTCTCTAATCATCAAAACCCTGACTTATCGGAGGCAAGAACTGCACCAGACACTTTGACTGGACCAAGAGCCCATTATCTCTCATCCTGTTTACATAATTTGATTATATGCTGGAAAGGAACAAGACGAGCTTCTCAACTTCGCCTCTCCAGTCCGCGGCGGAAGACCCCAACTCATGAATGAATGAACGCAAATAGGTATCCGTAAATATGTCAAATGCACCCGAGTACAATGCGCCAAGAAAGCAAAAAACATCTTGTATCCTGAAGCCCCATGGAGCTCATCCTCGCCGCAGCCGCTATCCCCCCTCGTCACGACTCAGTATATGCCATGAATTATGTGCAGTATGAGATAAGAGAACCTGGGGCATACTTGCCCAAATCCTCGCTGACGACTGCCATATACATCGGGCAGCCGCCGGTAGGTACCGCCCATGTGTCTATGTACGTGTGTGAAGACGACGCAGTGGTTGTGATATGAATAAGGAATAAAAAGCAGCAGCTCATCCAGGGCTCTCCTCAGTCTCTGGGGTGAGCGCTCGACGGCTCGACGACGATCTGCGGCAGCGTGTTGAGCCGCAAGCTCGGCAGGCGAGGGACAATGCCCGAGGCCCGACGCGAGTGCGAGCCCCCTTCCGGCTGCTGCTGCTGCTGCTGCTGCTGCTCCTCGGGCGCGGTCTCGGCCACCAGGTCCGCGACGTGGGCCGACAGCCTCTGGTTCCTGGCCTCGGTGGGACCGGGGTAGTCCGGAGGCGGCTCGGGGTACGGGCTGGCCGTCCGCGAGTGCGCGGGCGTCAGGTCGTCGAGGGAGACCTCGTCGTACCCCGGCGGCGAGTGCGGGGGGATGTCCGCGCCGCCCAGGTCCGCCTCGGCGGCATCGATGATCTCCGGGCTCGAGCCGGCCAGGCTGGCGCGGCGGGGGGCGGCGCTGGTAGAGACCCGGGGCGTGTTCGCGCCGGAGCCGGCCCTCGACCTCGCCGTCGTCGCCGTGGTCGTCGTGGTCGTCGCCATCGCCGCCGCCGCCGCCTCGGGCCCGAGGGTCTCGTCGTGGGAGCTGCGCGTCGTCTGCAGGCTCAGGCCCGAGCTCCTGCGCTCCGTGCGCTCCTGCGCCATGCTCGCGGCGTCGCTCAGCAGGCCGACCCTCTCGCTCTCGGTGCTGGTGGCCCGGATGCGCGTGCCGTCGTGGCGCGCCACGCCCAGGTCGTGGTAGCTCACGCTGCTGACGGCGCGCTCCCTGCGGCCGCGCGCGCGCGTGTGCTCGGCCCGCAGCTCCGCGATCTCGGCCGTGTTGGTCGTGGCGGCGCTCCTGGCCTGGTCGCGGATCCCCTCGAGGGTGGCCGTGTCGCCGCGCGCCCGGGCGTCGCGCCTCTGCTCCCGGCGCTCCTGCCTCTCGGCGAGCTGCCGGCGGCGGGCCAGCCGGATCTGGTACATGGCCTCCATCTCCTCGTCGCGCATGCTCTCCTCGTCCTCGGCGGTGGGCATCTCGACGACGATGTCGATGCCGTCGCGCTCGCCCTCGCGGCCGATGACCCGTTCCTCGTGCGACGCCCTCGGGTTGTACGCCGGAAGGGTCATGACGGACCGCACACTCGTGTTGCGGTCGACAGCAGCCGATCCACTTCTACTGGGTGGTGGCCCCGAGGCCCGATTCTCGCCCCCTGGGTTCCGCTCCCGCATGTTCGACCTTGTCGAGTCCAGCGCCGCCTCCATGGCGTCCTCGTCTCCTTGGGGTTGATAGCGGCCCTTTGTGCCAAGGACGTTCCAATTCCTCCATAGGCGCTTTAGGAAGGGAGTCGGTATGTACTTGGGCTCCGGGTGGCGTACACGGATGACGCGGATCATGATGACGAGAAAGACAACGGCGATTATACCTATTATGACACCTGCGACGATCTAAAGCATTCGGGTTAGCGGTCGTGTCTGCGAGAAAGGGAGAAGTCGTCCAACGTACGAATGTGATGGCACGCTGCTTGTCCTGGTCCCGAGGTTCCGAGGCTGCGTCCCTCCATTGTAGGCCGGGTGCCCGCGCACCGATGCTTGCGAGATCCTTCCGTAGGTGCATCGTGACTAGCTATTATGTAGAAATGTCGTAACGATCGTCGGGAGTCGAGGAAAGCAAAAAAAATACTGGGTAGGCAATGAGCAGTGGTGCCGCCCTGGTCGTCTACCTCATGATAGTGCAAGTACAAGGTCCGGAAAAGGCCGATATCTAGCAAGCGATAAGGTATGTCGTCGAGAGTGAGGACGAGGAAGAGGATAGATCCAGGCAGGTCACTCAGACGGGTGCTCAGTCGAGACTCGAAGCAAGTTCGCATTCGTGTGGCCAATTCCCAGCCAGCCAGCTGCTTATGCGGCGAGATATAGGCTAGGCTCGGGATCCAAAGCTTCGTAGGCACTCCAAGGAATTCGTCTTGTCTTCTCGAAATATCATCGCCGCCGCCCCGGACAGTAGAGAGGAATAGACGTCCGGTCAAGCAGGAGAGGAGAATGGGGAGAGGAAGTAAGGTAGGTAAGGGGAGGAAAACAAGATCGAGGCGAGGTCCCGATCGTCTCTGCCCGGAGGCAGGGCTCATCAATGGGCGCGGCGGGATGTGGTACGGATTACGGAGTAGGTACACAGCATGAGCAAGGAACCGCACGCAGGCAGGCTTTCACAGGCCTCAGAAGGATCGGCCGTGGGCGAAGCTACGTTAGTTTCCAAGCAGAGGGTCAATCTGGGTAGAGGGTCAATCTGGGTCCTCACAGGTCCGAGGTCTGGGATGCGCTAACGAACTCGCCAGGGCCAAGATCAGATCCCGGTCCCCAGCAATAACTACAAGTACGTAGTTACACGTAAACCTCCAGCCGGTGTCTGTCTGTGAGTTGTACCTTGTCTTATTAGCTGAGGAGATCAGCAAGCATGTCTTACCTTGGCCGCCTGCACACCCGTCTCTCCCTCTTCTCCTTTGAGCAGTACGTTTGAAGAATACAGGTCAAGACGGAATATTTGCAAAATGCAACCATAAACGAACGAACAAATGGCTAGGCGAAACTGCAATCGCCACGGGGGGAGGGGGGGCTCACCTTCACCCATCCATCTCGTCCATCCACCCACCACGCCGCGTTTAGGCACATGTACTCCCACCCTACCTACCACTTGAGGTGTCTCTTGGGAATTCGGTCTTCCACCCCTTCTCACTCAGCATCAGCATCAGCACCAGCAATATCAGCACCAAAAAATAAGCCCCGCCGGCGCCATGTCTTTTCCCTTTTGGAGGCAAGTCGCCTTCGTCCAACACTCACACCGGGCCTGATAGGATGGCGATGCGCGGAGCAGGGCACGCACGCACCTTGTTAGCCTGATGCAATGCATGCTGATGCTGGCACAACGACAGATGCCGCCCTTGAAACTGCACCTTTTTATCCTCGAAACATGCCCGCGGTACCTCTGACCTTTTCCTGCTCCTTCTCGTCCCTTTCCTCCCTCGGTGGCGCTGCCCGTGGCCGCAAAGATGTCCAAGGTGAAATTGTAGGATCCCCCGGCTGTCCGCAGGAAGGTGAATCCAAGAGCAGGAAGAGGCTCTCTCTCTCTCCTCTTGGTCTACTTGTACAAGTAGCATGGACCATACCCACAGGCATCGTTCCGTTCCCCACATCCGCTGATGAACCGCTATGCTGGCGTTTTGGCTTTTTGCGCTCACTGTGGAGTATCACGATGGCTTGTGGACGAATTCTATTGCCGGTCAATCCCTCACTCTCTCTGCTCAGCGAGGCTGCTTCCATGCATGCTGGACACTGGAGAGGGTATGTTTGTTCATCGATTCGGCCTGGTCCGAATCACTGCAAAGCACCACCTCAACAGGGCTCATCTACGGACCAAAACAGCAGATACCTGGCGAGAAGCAAAGCCCAGGCTCCCGGTCTTGGGTCAGGGTCCCCTGCTCCCATGCTACGGAGTACTTCGTAGGGCCAGCCACCACACTGCCACCTCGTAAGGCACATCAGCACCATTTTTACCCGCTTTCCTCCTGGCGGTACCCTGGCTGCCTGGCCTGGGTATTTAACTACCCTGGAAGGAGAATGAGGAGAGAAAAAGCGGCGGCACCGCCTTGCCGGGCCCTGGGGTCAATGTCATGGACCAGACGACGTGTGCACGCTAGAAAGATGCGTACATTGTTTGCGCAGGTCCTATCTCTGCCCACGACCACCCAAGACACGGAACGCCTTCTTGGGGACTTTTTACGAGGTTCTTGGTGTCAGACAATCAAATACCGGATCTAACTAACTATTGCTCGGGATGAATAATCATTCATCTCCCCTCGGATCCGTGATCTGGCCAATCGCGTGCTCACGCCGAAACCTTTGGCAGGCAAGCGTCCTAGTGCTGATTGCTGGCCATTGAACGAATCCTTGCAAGATCGACAAGCCAACTTTTGACAAATTCAGGACAGCATCCATCGCGTCCCTCCATCAGTTAGAGCCGTCCGAGCTAAAACCTGTGAAATCTGAGGGATTGAGCACTGAAGCTATCAGCAAAGGCTGCCGGGGTAACAAGATGTGGAATCAAGGGAGCATATAACAGACGAGTAGGAGGAAACATTGGGTACTTACCTATCTGTCAAACTTGGGTGGGAGACAATCCCTTTCGAAGGAGAAGATATTGTCAGGGTACCTGAACTCTGAGCTTGCAACTTCTGTAGGTATACCAATTTATTGATGTGATGAACGCTATTAGATCGTATGATCTCCCCCGCCGACTACAAGAGAAAACAACATAGGCAACCCCGAGAACCACGGCAGTCTCAGCCAAACTTCTTCTCAAACTTCTTGAACATCCCCGACACGCCCCTCTCCAGCCGCCCGGCGTTCTCCTCCAACCTGCCCCTCGGCTCCGTCTTGGGCTTGTACTTGACGGCGTGCTCCCCCTCGGTCGGCTGCCAGTGCTGCTGGTGCACGCTGTAGGCCTGGTTCTGCGCCCCCGCCCCCGCCGCCGGCTGCTGCTGCTGCTGGCCCTGGCTGGCAGCGTAGTTGTACGAGCTGTACCCGCCGGCCGGCGGAGGCGGCGGCGGCGGCAGGCCAGGAGACGTGACGGGCGGCGTGGGCGTGTGGTGGGTCGGCATGCCCGGCTGCTGATGCGCCGGCACACCGGGACTGCCCGGGTACCCGGCGCCGAACGGACTGGCAAGACCCGGGCTCGGCAGCCCGTGGACCGGCATCGTCGCCGCGCGCACCAGACCCGGGTGGGTGTGGCCCTGCCCGAATCCGGGGGGCGGCAGACCGGGGCTGGTGACGCTGTGCTGCGGCGGGGCCGGGAACGACGGGGCCCCGGGAGGCGAGTGCATCGACGGCGGCGGGGGTATGCCGGGGCTGAGCGGACCCAGCCCGGTCGGCACCAGGCCCGGGCTGAAGGGCGTGGTCGCGTCGTAGGCAAGCGTCTGGTGCAGCGGGTTCATGCCGCCGTCCTCGGGCGGCGGGGTCTTCTCGCGGTGCTGGATCGACTCCGGCGCGGCCGGCGCGGCGGGGTTGTAGGCGATGGGCGCGAAGTTGTGCGGCGGCGAGCCGCCGGAGCCTCCCGAGACGGCAGACATCGGAGGCGGCGCGAAAGAGGGCGCGCCGCCGTTCGCCTGCTGAGGCTTCTGCGCAGCAGCCGTGTCGGAGATGGCCGCCTGTTCGAGCTTCTGCACGACGGAGCTCATGTCGCTCGCCTGCCTTGGCGGCGGCGGGCCCGGCTCGTCCAGGACCTCGACCTGGGCCGGCGGCAAGACTCGGCGAATGCCATTGACGAACTGGAGCGCATCCTGCTGCGTCCAGAAGTAGATGTCGAGCGATTCTAGCTTGTAGTGGTACTTGCTCTGGTTCTGGGGGTCAAAGGTCGGCAGGTGCCACTCCTCTTGGTTTGGAACGTCCCCGATCGTGACAGAGACCATGCATGTCTGCTTGTAAGAGTAGCGGATCTGGGTTTTGTCAAGAACTGTCCCGCAGAATTCATCAGTAAAGAGGTTGTCGAGAGGAGAATTGGCGCAAGAGAGCGTCGCATACAGCCGTCAAAGGCATCCTGGTCATCAGTCCCGGGTTGGTTCGCGATCTCTACACGCGCCCGGCGGTTGTTTGCATCCTCAAACAAGTAGATGTACGAGCCCTTGTCAAATCGATGATGACGAGGCTTGTCCGTGGGCTGGCCGTAGAAATAATGAACATCCCCGAATCTGGAAAGAACGAAGCCAAAGTCAGTTGGGCCGCCATGACAGTCTGGCTACCTCCCGGCTTTGGGAGAGAATGAGGGGCAGTGGCACATACAGAGTAGCTACGTTCTCCTCACCCGGCCGGACTGCCATTGTCGCAGGCCAGGAAGCTTGGGAATAGGGTCCGGATGGGGGCTAGGGAGACGGGAGGTCTACAGAGACAATACGAGCAGATCTTGCTGCTCTTTCAAAACGATTTGACCGAGAAAACAGACACAAACACAATGACCAGAGGAGAAGGATGCGACGACAACTTTTCGCGCATCACGTCCTCCCTACCTTTTTGTTCGGGAGCTTGCGCATCGCATCACTTTCTCCCGCTTGGGCACGGCGGGCCCAAGCAGCAAGCAGGGGTCTCAAGCCCCGAGCAAGAGGCACGGCAGCTAATAACCGGCATGTGGTACACAGGATGACAGGCAGGCCTACCAAACAGCAAATCATCAAAGGGGAAAGTGGTGATATCCCGGTCGGTGATGCAAGCTGCAGACCAGAGACACACAAGAAAGTGGTCGAGACAGCTTGGGCCGGCGCTTAGAGGAGGCCAATCAGAGCGCCGGAGTCCCCTCGAGAACAAAGACAAGCAAGACCAGGTGGGGGGGGAGAGCCCGGCCCACTATAGGTACGTACCGACGGACCGTCAGAGGCAGCTGGCCAGGCTCTGGAAATTTTTGGAGGATCGGAACATCCCGACAAATCTTCAAAAGACAAAGACAGTTGCAGCGCATGACATTGACGGCATACCTCAAGGCGGGAGAAGCTTGTTCGATCGACTTCCCGTGATAATCGGACCGGCTGCCCTTGAGCTACTCCAGAGGTATGACACCGAGGGTCCTCAGCGCGACAATCGTGACGATCACAGTTGCTAATCTCAAGCTTTGCAGCTCCGGCACCCCAGGGACACGCGATACACCCATCTTCTTCACGACGAACCGCAGGCACCCGGCCGATAGAGAGATCTCGGCGGGAGTACTCCCCCTTCACGGGACGACCATCGATACCCTATTCTCTCTCCCCCTAATTGCCCTCCTCCGCATCCCCCTTTCAAGATGGGCATCCACGCCATCGCCGACGCCTGCGCCCACCTCCAGAACGCCTCGCGCGCACGGCTCGGCCTCACCTCGATCCCCAACTCCAAGTACAATCTCAACTTCGCCATGGCCCTGCACCGCGCGGGCTTCATCTCGGGCGTCACGCGCGCGGGCCCCCACCCGCCGCCGCCCCAGGCCCTGACCTCGGCCGAGTCGGAGCCCGTCACCGCCGCCAACGTCGCCACGCGGCGCCTCTGGCTCGGCCTCAAGTACTGGAACAACGAGCCCGTCATGCGCAACCTCAAGGCCGTCAGCAAGCCGAGCCGGCTCGTCACGCTGAAGCTGCAGGAGCTCGAGCGCGTCGCCAGGGGGTTTCCCGCCGGCTACGTCAAGGGCCTGACGCTCGGGGAGAGCTTGTTTGTCAGCACCGACCGCGGGGTGCTGGAGGTCCGGGAGGCGATCGAGAAGAAGGCTGGCGGTGTCGTTCTGTGCAGAGTGTCATGATTGTACGGCTCTAGTCGGGGCGAAAAGGAGCCGCCCCGAGAGTGCGCCTGATGGGTGAGAGCTTGTACAAGCAGGAGTTTAGAGACCAGGCCAACTTGCACCATCAAAGGCGGCATGGCATGTACGAAAAGCAGGCGGAGAGCGAATGCCCTACGAGAGTGTAGGCAGTGCTGCGCGCCAAGACGTTACCAACTGTATATATTTGTATAATTACATCCATTGTGGCAGTAGGAATGAAATAAGATCACATCGTCTCATATTGCCGCGGACTTTGCGTCCTTCAACCGTAATACTCTGCCTCTTGCTGTGCATGTGAACTCGACTCAGAACTGGATTGGACATGTTTCCTGTTACTTCGTACAAATTGCACAATTCTTTGTGTGAGAACCGGATCTGTCCATTGAGATCGTTTAGTGCCTCGGCTGCTGTGTGCCATCTCTTTGTCTTGGTCGGTAGCGACGGACTTCGTATCTAGTCCTAGTTCAGGACTCAGCTGAACGCCACGCCGCACAAACACAAACACAACCATGCATGAAGCCTTGTTGAGACTCGTACACAATGAAACACCAGTCCATACAACTGGTAAAGAGCAGCCTGGTATTTAACAAAAGCACGATCTCTGCGCAGCCTCCGACATTCTACTCGGTCCTCTCACGGCCCCGCCCCGGACCACACCGGCCCAAGATGAAAGCCTTCATCAAGAGCCTGCTCTCGCCGCCCGAAGAACCAGTCACGCCCAGGGTCCAGATCCTCTCGGACCTGCACCTCGAGATCAGCAAGCAGTACACCACCTACACCTTCCCCGTCACGGCGCCCTTCCTCCTGCTGGCCGGCGACATCGGCTGCCTGGACCACTACGACGCCTACCTCGCCTTCCTGCAGGCCCAGGTCGCCCGCTACCGGCGCGTCTTCCTCGTGCTGGGCAACCACGAGTTCTACGGCCTCAGCTACGAGAAGGGCGTCGCCGAGGCGCAGCGCCTCGCCGCCGAGCCCTCCATCGCGGCCTCCTTCACGCTGCTGCACCGCACGCGCTGGGACGACCCGTCCTCGCCGCTGACCATCCTCGGCTGCACGCTGTGGTCCGCCGTGAGCCCGGAGCAGGCCGACCGCGTGCGCCTCGCCGTCAGCGACTTTGCGCGCATCGGCGGCGGCTGGAGCGTCGAGCGGCACAACGCCGCGCACGCGGCCGAGGCCCGCTGGCTGCGCGAGCAGGTCGCCGTCCTGGGCGTCGTGCCGCCGCAAGGGCAACCGCCCAGGCGCATCCTCGTCGCCACGCACCACGCGCCCTTCCTCGAGGGGTCGGCGGCGCCGCAGTACCGCGACAGCGTCTTCTCGTCGGCGTTCGCGACGGACCTCGTCTCGGCGCGGGCGCGGCAGCAGTGGCGGGGGGTCCGGGTGTGGGCCTTTGGCCACACGCACCACACGGTCGACATGGTGCAGGGCGGGATCAGGGTCGTGGCGAACCAGCGGGGGTACGTCTTCCCCGGGGAGAAGCCTCGCCGGAGGTCGACCGCCGAGAAGCTGTCGGCCAAGCAGGCGGTCGAGTTTAATTCCGGGTTCGCGGTCAGCCTGTAGGTCTGCAGCTTCGGTGGCACCCTCTTGATTACATTTTCTGGCGGTGTTGGATGATCCGTTTGGGTCATAGGGAACGGCTGCTTGGTGCATAAGCGATGGAGATAACTTGTTGTGTTTTTGTTGTTGCTCTATCATCAAGGGGTCTATCATCTCCATACTGTGCTTGATGGACTTTGTGATCATCATCGATACCTTTTTCACTGTCTTAGCCTAGTTCGGTCTATTTAGCACAGAGTATGAAGTCGGACATGGAGATCAATGTGGAAGAATGGTTTCCAGTCTGAACCAAAGCACGAATACCGCATGACAAGGTTGGTGTGATGTGTGGAAGGCCAGACGTCGCTCAATGCTTGCATGCAGCAAATTACAAATACTTACTACATGATCCTGACCAGGATACGAAGTAGTAATTCTTCTGACCTCAAATTCGGGGCAAAAGAAGAATGACTGCTTCTATTTGTTTCTTCATACTTGTCTGGTGGCTTGCCGCCCTTTTGTCGTGTTAGTCCAAATTAGGAAATTTTCATCGACTCTGACAAAGCCTTCTCCTGCCCACTGCCAACTAACAACTCGGTTCAACGAGTAGCGGAATTTGACGAATTTGTCTTTTATTTTTTGGAATTCGTGCGACCAACCGTGATGTTTCAATTCACTTCGATATCCTGCAGGATGTCGAGATAGACTTCGCACTAGAATGCGCCTCTCTCGTGAGCCATGACGAGGGAGTCTGAGTAATTGAACAATGCTTACGCAGCATGAGTACACCTCCGTAGCCGCAGACATCGTCAGTCTTGAAGGTGGCCGACATGGCCTCAACTCATGAAAATGAGTACGTGATTGTAGTATATAAACAGCCTTGATGCCCATTGTCGGTGCGCTACAAGATCATGATCACACAGTCGTTAGCCACCTCAGCAACCTCTGCAGACAGAACATAGACACTCACTTCTCGGACAAACACTACAAGTAAACCAAACCTACTTCTGCCCATCGCCCCCTTCTCGAACAAGATGGCCACCCAAGTCTCCTACGTCAAGGCCGACGGCGTCAACGTCTTCTACCGCCACGCCGGCGACCCTTCGGCCCCGACCGTCCTCCTCCTGCACGGCTTCCCCTCCTCGTCGCACATGTTCCGCAACCTCATCCCCATCCTCGCCGGACTGGGCTACCGCGTCATCGCCCCGGACCTCCCCAGCTTCGGCTTCACCGACGTCCCCGCCGAGCGCGCCTACGCCTACACCTTCGCCTCCCTGGCCGACACCCTCGCCGCCTTCGTCGCGGCCCTGGACCTCGGCCGCTACGCCGTCTACATCTTTGACTACGGCGCCCCCGTCGGCCTGCGCCTCGCCGCCAACACCACCACTTCCCCTCCCTCCTCCCGGGCCGCCGTCGCGGCCATCGTCTCGCAGAACGGCAACGCCTACGCCGAGGGCCTCGACGCCCCCTTCTGGGACCCCCTCAAGCAGTACTGGGCCTCGGGCGCCGCCCGGGACCGCGACGCCCTGCGCCCGGCCCTCGAGATGGCCACCACGCGCGCGCAGTACGAGGTCGGCTCGCCGCGCCCGGCCGCGGTGCCGCCCGAGTCCTACTGGCTCGACCAGGCGCTCATGGACCTGCGGCCCGGCAACAACAACAAGGACGTCCAGCTCGACCTGCTGTACGACTACCGCACCAACCTGGCCCTGTACCCGCGCTTCCAGGAGTACCTGCGCGAGTCCCGCGTGCCGGTGCTGGCGGCCTGGGGCAGGAACGACTTCATCTTCCCGCCCGCCGGCGCCGAGGCCTTTGCGCGCGACGTCGAGAGGTTCGAGCTCAAGTGGCTGGACGCTGGGCACTTTGCGCTCGAGACCAACGAGCGGGAGATGGCGGGGTATATGCACGAGTTCTTCCAAAAGTACAAGGTCTTTGAATAGGTAGAGTGTACGACAAGAAAAAGGGAGGCGAGGAGGATACCTCTCCGTATGCAGAGCAATAATTTGCAGAAATGTGTAGCTCTTCAAAATGATCCACTGTCCACGAAATGCGCCGTGCCTGTGCATAATAGATATTTTACCGGGTAGAACATATATCCCTTACTCGTCGTCTTCCTCCTCGTCTTCCATGTCCCCATCCTCGCTGTCAACCTCCAAGACACCTTCCTCATCCTCAAATTCATCTTCCTCCTCATCATCCTCCAACTGGTCAGCCTGCTCGGCCTCCTTTTCCTCTTTCCGTTTCCTCTCGTCCTCCTTCCTCGCCTCCTGCATCATCTTGGCCTTCTCTGCCCTCAGCTTTCTCTGTGACACGACAAAGGCGCCGACCGGCGTCTTCTCCCACTCAAAGTCCTTGAGGAAGGCATCGACCTGCGCACGGTCCTTGGGCGCAAAGTCGACCCGGGCGCGCTTCTCCTCGATGAACCGACTATTGGCTTCCAGCTTCTGGATGAGCAACGTCAGGCTGGAGTTGAGCTTGCCATTCTTGTTACCAGACGCCTTCTTCTTCGCGTCCTTGAGCCAGCGCTTGAGCATGATGATGACAGGAAGCGAGAACTCGGGGAAGGCGATGTTGGTAGACCAGAGGACAAAGTATTCAGACAGCAGCTCCACGACTTGCTCGCCAACGCCGTCCTGGTAGATGCGTGTCCTGAGGTACGACTTGGGCGCCCGGTAGGCGACGCTAAAGTCAAGCGGCTTCAGCGAGGCTGCCTTGGGCGGCTTCTTCATCTCCGCCGAGTTAAGAACCTCGATGAGAGCCGACGCCAGAGGGATATAAGTGCCAGTAGCCCGGGAAACTCGGAGCAGCGACCGGATGAGGTGGAATCTAAGCGGGAAGTAGGTGGCAGTAGGGATGAGACGCATGGCACCGAGGGTGACTTGCACCAAGGGGTAGATGAGCAGCTTCAGCTGACTCTCCTTGCCGGCCTCGGCCTCCTTCAGAGGGCTGCAATGCTCGGCTAGCACGCATGACCAGAAGTCCAAAGAGTGCACATATTGCCAGTTGTACACCGTTCTGAAAGAGTCATTCTGGTTGTGCGCGATGCTGTTGCGAAGGTGGATGGCGAGTTGCCGGATGAAAGAAAAGGCAGTTGTGTAGCCAAGGCCCTGGTCAATGCCCCACAGCTCGGCCGCCGAGTTCTTCATCAAGTTGACGCCCTGGATGGTGTTGATGTTGGTAGCACGGCAGCCCTCAATGAGACCTTGGTAGACAGCCTTGAGAAGAGCCTCCCTGACTCCCTTGTCGCCTATGACCATCAATCTTCGCAGCACAAGGAAGGCAGTGATCCTCAAGGATTCGCTGCTCGCTGGCTGAGCCCAGAAACCCACAATAGCCTTGATGACGTGCTTCAGGAGCTTGCGGAAAGAAAGGAGATAGGGCAGCAGGGGCAGAATGGCGTTGATAGCGAGCTTAAGGTCGCCGTCGTCCGTAAGCGTGCCGAGAAGACGAAGGATAGAAGTCGTGTATGTCCTCATCATAATGGAGAGGGTTTTGAACTTCTTGCCTGTCGTAGCGACGTAAACCTTGTGAGCTGCTGACTCCTTGACGGGAACATGGTGCTCAAAAATCTCCGGTATCCGCTTCAGAGCTAGGAGAACAATGGCATCACGGACATCCGGGCTCAGGATGGTATATTTCTGCCTCTTGTCGTCATCGGCATCATCCGCGCCCTGGTCGCCTGGCCGCTTGGAGTAGGCAGCACTCCGGAAGGCCAGAACAACTTCTCTAGCCGCCCGCAGAGAATGAGTCTCTGCCATGGATTGCTTCCACCTCGTGATCATGGCAAGTGTGAGCTCGTTGTCCTCTACCGCTTCCTCTGCAACCTTCTTCTCCTTCTTGCGTTTCTTTTTGGGTTGCTCTTCCTCGCCTTCGCTATTGCTGAGCTCGTCGATCTCGGCGAGGTCAGCATTCTCGTCAAACTCGAGAGCTTCGGGGTCGTTCTCCTTGAGGTACTTGTAGAACTCGGGATCCTTCTCTGCCAGCGCGTCCATTGCGCTCTTGGTCATGCCAACGCTGTCTTCATCATCCTCCGCAGCGTCGCCTGCCTCGCTGTCGCTTGCTACAGGCGCCTCGTCTGCAGAGAAGTCTTCATCGTCGCCAGAGTCGGATTCTGACTCTTGTTCAGCTTGAGCCTTGGCCTGGTCTCGCTTCCGCTTTCCAAGCTTGCCGTCGCCCTTCTTGCCCGCAGGCTTGTTCTTGTCGATAATCTCGAAGCCGCCCTTGAAGAAGTCGTCGACACTCATCTCGGCAACCTTGGCGCCGGCATTCTTGCCATTGATCTTTGGGGCGTCATCCTCGCCGTCCTTCTTCCCTTTGAAGAATTCGTCGTCCTTGGCTCGCTTGGCCTGCTTCTTCGCCTTGATCTGGACGCGCTGCTTGATCTTGGCGCCCTCTTTTCTTCGTTCGAGTGTACTTTTCAGGTGCTTCTTCTCAAACTTCTTAGTCGCCTTCAGGTTCTTCTTTGAGGTGGCCATGGTGGGCAGCAATTGGGCGGCCGAACCAGTTTCTGGAATCGCTCGAAGAGTTGGATCGCAAAAAGTTCCTAGCTTTCTGATAGACCCTGGACTTTTTTCCCAGGGAAAATTTCTTAGTCTTATCGGAGGTCTTATCAGGGACACCTCTAAGCCTCTTACAGCACAGCTCCAGGCGGTGAGACCTGTTCTGCCAAGACGGGGGTGGGTGCTGGCCATTGGTGGGGTAAGTCACGGAAGCCTAGGTAGGTTCGCCATGTACTTAGGTGTATTCACCACAACCAAGCTCACTGTGTCTGCCTCAAGCAACAGACATCACAATGCGATTGGGATCCCACCACCCAAGATGATACCACGGCAGGCCTACGCGCCAACTCCACACAGCTATGTACCCAATACGACACTATCAGCGACGATCAACCTCGATGAGGTGAGGACGACAGCTGTATCTGGTCCCCATGGTTACTAACCGGGTTCACACCAACGACAGGAAGTCAAGCTGGCGGAAACCCGCGCAGAGCGCGACCTGCAAGACTCGCTTGCGGAGATCTTCAGCATCATCGTGACCATCGACGAGCTCGAGAAGGCATTCCTGAAAGATGCGATCCCCGAAGCCGACTACACAGAGATCTGCGAGCGGTCCTTGAAGCAGTACAAGTCGCTCCTCGCAGACGAGACGGTCGCAAAGGCATTTGGCGGCCTGGAAGAGTTCAAGGCCGAGTGGGACGTACGTACAAGGCTGGAGCCGCCGCTCTCCTCGGGGTCAGTATCAAGACAACGGCTGACCTATTGTGTAGCTGGAGGTGCCCCGCGCAACGGAGCGCATCCGCGTCGGCATGCCGTCTACCGCCGTGACGGCCTCTGCAGGTGCGGCGCCGACACCCACTGCGGGCGGTGGCACGAGCGGGACGTTGATCCTGGAAGCGACGCAGGACTTTATCACGTTCTTGGATGCCCTGAGGCTGGGCTTGCTGGCCAAGGATCAGCTACACCCGCTCCTGACGGACGTCATCCAGTCGGTCAACAAAGTTACCGACCGAGACTTTGAGAGCAGGGGCAAGATCGTACAGTGGCTCATCACCCTCAATCAGATGAAGGCAACCGAAGAGCTGAGCGAGGCGCAAGCCAGGGAGCTTGAATTGGACATCAACTCGGCGTATCAGGGCTTCAAGAATACCCTCTCATAGACCGTAGCATAGTATGGTGGATCATGATTATTGTTCATTTTCGTCTTCGGTGGGTGAATCAGTCGAGATACTATACCAGGAACGTCCAGAAACTGGGATAGACGAATTCCTCCTCGAATATCCTCCTCACCTGCTCCAGCACGAATCTTTCCACCTTGCCCACGTTCTTGAGGCTCTGCTTCCCTCCCTCGCGCTGCCCAATCTCGCTTTCCACCTGTATCTCCTGTAGTAGCCCGCCCATCTTCCCATGGCCTCCAGAGCTATGCCCATCAGCATCCCCCTCCCCGAGACTATCCGCCCCGACGGCAGCTACCGCATCTTCCGGGCTTAAAAAGCAGAAATGTACCCTCTTCCGTATGTACGCCAGGACCCCGACGCCATCGAACGTGAGCCCAGTGATGCTCAGGCGTAGCGGTATCCCCACGAAGCTCGGCATGGGGTAGTCGAGTAGTATTTCCGCCGTCAGCAAAAGCTTGACGTCCCCGGCGTACCGTATTCTAAAGACGGCCTGCATGTCCTCGACCCTCCGCTCGCGGAACCTCTTCCGCTCCTGACCTTCCAGGCCCTCCGCCGCCGCACCGTCCTCGCCCTCCTCGTCCTCGATGGCCGACTCCAGGTCCCGCGTCGGCGGCCTCGACGTGTTTGCCGACGTAGGCGCCAGGGTCGACACGCTGTGCTTCTCCCTGAGCGAGGGGAACGCGCCGGTCGGCACCGCGTTGGGCGGTATCGTCGGCGCCAGGCCCCGGGGGCTGAAGTCGCCGACGGAGATGGAGCTCGTGGACGGGTTGCGGCTGTGGCTCGGCGGGTGGTGTCGCCGCTGCTGCTGCTCCTGCGGGCCGTGGCCATGCCCATGGCCGCCGCCGCCGCCGGCGGACTCGAGCCAGCCGCTGCCCAGGTGCGCGCCCGCCACGGCGGCCAGCGGCGTCTGCGTCCCCGACAGGCCGGACGTGAGGTGCGAGTGGAAGTAGCTCAGGTTCGACGTGCCGCCGGGGATCCCCGGCGTCGACACGCCCAGGTACGGGCTGCCGAGGTCGTGCGCCGCCGCCGGCGTCCCGCCCGCCCGCAGGTCGCCCGTCCGGATGTGCGGCGGCAGGTGGCGCGCGTCGTGGGCGAGCCCCGCGGCCGCGGCCTCGGCCCTCCTCCGCCGGTCGGCCGCCGCCCTCACCTCGTCGGGCACGACGGCGTCCTCGTCCTCGAAGCCGCTGCCGCCCTCGTCGTAGTCGTCGTCGTCCTCGTCGTCGTCGACGGCCTCATTCTCCTCGTAGAAATCGGGCAGCGGGTCCGTGAGGTCCTTGAGCTCGAGCTCGGGCGGGATGGAGCCGAACTGGAAGTCGTGGACGGTGACCGACTTGATGAAGCGCGGCAGGGGCACGGACTGGAACTTTGTGTGGATGAAGTCGCGGATGCTGTGGGCCAGCGCCTCGCCGTCCGGGCCGGTGGTCAGCGTCTCCCAATTGAGGTCAATAGACATATGTGCTCGTCAATCGGCATATGAGGGATCACTGAATGTGGGCAGTCTTGGCTGTTCGATTCTCCTTTGGGGGCGCCGCCAAGTTGTAATGTTCAGCTCAGATGCATTGGTTCAGTGAGATGGTGTGAAATCATTTGATCTCGGATGAGAGGTAAGGCAGGCACTAGCTCCACCACCACACCCAGAAGTTGTGACAACTCCACGAAACATCACAATAGACACTATACCCATCCAAGTTAATGGAGAATTCCCATATTGTAACATATTCTAGTCAGTCAATATTCAAATGCTAATCTTTCTTCTTAAGCCACGAGCGAGATGGTGAGAAGCGCTCAGTTGCTCTTATCACAGCTGGGAACAGCTCATGGGCATACTTATAAACTGCATTACTTCTTCTAAGTTACAGCTTCCTCATTTCATGATACTTTCTCGTCTATGCAACCCTTGCTGAGACTCCTGGTCAACTTGTTCAGGTGAAAGCAGAGTGACATCGTAGGAGCAGCGAAAACGACAACTCAACACAATGCCCGTGTTCTGTAGAGACAGTGCCGTTTCCCACTTGTAAAAACACTTATGATCATATAACGGCTCGACCGCTTCCCAATGGCTCGATTGCCTTCCCCGGTGCGGGGCCCAAAGGCCGGAATCGATCCGGGATATCTTATTTGTGATCATTTCATATTTGCTTTCTTTTCACCTGGGTTCCCTGTTCTTTCCCCCTTTTCTCTTCCTTTACTGCTCTATAGTCTGAAGAGTCAAGAGTGACAAGGAGCATACGAGATATGCTTTGTAGCTATGACTTGGTTTGCTATCTGTGTTGGCTGAGTAGATTGGTCTGCAAAGAGCCATAAAGCCAGATAAAGCCTGGGCAAGGCTTGTAGCCTACACCTTGAGCACCTTTGAGAATTGCAGATTGAATATACCTCACTGAGTTGATTATTACCAAGCAGCATCTCGTTTGCCAGACCTGCATCCACCCACCGAAGCTGCCGAGATGAGAAATTTGGAGCGCTGAAGGGCGCCAGGCGGGCCCCCACGTTGCTGCAGAGCTTCAGTGGGCGAGGCCAGCCAGCCAGGCGGAGCCACGCCCGCCAATCTCCAAGTCGGATCCACGATCCCCGGCAGACGGCATTGGGCCCCCGTAACCCCCTGGCGGAATTGCTGAAGACGGCAAAAGTGCTCTGGTCTTGTGATGGCTTTTGGAGATTTGCATTTTCCTTTTCTCCTCCAGGGACCCTGCAAGCTGCTCGTTTGGATAGAAGAGGCAGCACAAATCTCCAATTGCTCTCAATCATATTCGCTGGAATCAATCCATAGGAAAGTCTCTCAATTGCACGCCAGAAGAAGCTTCATCAACAGCAAAGCAACCTGCACGATAGTTTTTGACGATCCTTTTTTCGATACCAAGGTAGCGAGTGTATCACGCACCTAAGCTCTTTGGAACTCCACCACCCAGAAGCTACAGCTCCACCCACAACTCGTTCAGCCTCCCCTGACATCATTGCACTGAGAGAGCTGTTCTCTCTCTCTTTCTTTTCAGAAGCAACGAAACTTCCTCTCAGCTACAAAGCCGCGCTCTGGTTGAGAGATACGCTCTTCTATCTTTCATCTCTCACCTGGCTGATAGACTTATTTTCTCCTCCACTCACTCGCTCACGCATCTTATCTCATCACATCACCGCCCTGGCCTCTCACTCATTCCCTTACTCTCACCACAAACCGCACCTTTCATTTCCACCCCCCTAGACAGCCACAATGTTGAGATGGTAAGCTCCTCAAACCACACACTGCAGTGCCTCACACAGCAGAAGGGGCTAGGTCGCTAACCCCCGACATCAAAGGTACCAAGCCCGCCTGGCCGCCCGGCCCCTGCTCACCCAGAGCGTCACCACCGCCATCCTCTTCGCCACGGGCGACATCGTCGCCCAGCAGGCCGTCGAGAAGAAGGGCATCGAGAAGCACGAGCTCGCCCGCACCGCGCGCATGGCCCTCTACGGCGGAAGTAAGCCTTTCCTTTCTCTCCCTGCTCCCTTCCCTCCACTCCGTACCATTCATTCGCCCTTTGGCGAAACACACACACACACACACACACACACACACACACACACACTCACACTTGCGCAGCCGTCTTCGGCCCCGCCGCCACGACCTGGTTCGCCTTCCTCCAGCGCAACGTCAACCTGCGCTCCCCCAACGCCACCATCCTCGCGCGCGTCGCCCTCGACCAGGGCGTCTTCGCCCCCACCTTCATCGGCATCTTCCTGTCCTCCATGGCCGTCCTCGAGGGCTCCTCGCCCAGGGAGAAGCTCGACAAGAGCTACATGTCCGCCCTGACCACCAACTGGATGATCTGGCCCTTTGTGCAGATGGTCAACTTTCGCTTCATGCCCCTCGAGCACCGCGTCCTGTTTGTCAACATTGTCAGCATCGGCTGGAACTCGTACCTGAGCTACCTCAACAGCGCCAAGTGAAGACGGACGTGGAGAGAGAAGGACGTGCGTGGAGGGAAATTGAAGCTCGATGATATTGGGCTTCCATCTGGTTGGTTGGATGAAACTATGATGCAGCAACAAGTTGGATGCTCATCTAGCGTGCATTTGTTGGACTCTGGCTTATAGACCTTTCAGCATATCGCGAATCTGCATGGGGCATCTCTGGGGATTCTGGATCGTTGTTCCAGTCTTGGTTGTACGCACGGCTCATTGCTATTTTCCTCAGGGGCTTAGACACGACAAGAGCTACTCCGTAAAGCGACTGCATGCATGCGTTGTTGCGCAGGTCTCTTCATCTAAAAAAAAGTTGTGTGTTTTGTAATCATCTACCAGAAAGCCGATTTTTATATTCCGGAAGGCCGTTGGCCGTTGTGTCTTGTGTAACATTGTATCATGCTCATCACGCCTCATTACAGCAGTTCTCATAACCCATAGAAAACCCCGAAAACCAAATTGTCACCTCCATCCGGGGGGACCTTTTACTCCAACTCCAGAACCGCTGGAGCAACAATGGGCTTGCCCTGGAACTTATCCAGGCCCTCTCCACCCTGTGTATATAAAGTCAGTCAGTATTGGCTACTCTCATCATATCTACACAAGCCGAGGAGGGAGAGAAAAAAAACTCACGTAGCTGATCAGCGGCGACACCTCGATGCCCGCGTCCGGGTCCTCGCTCGTCACCTGCGCGCCCGCGGCCTCGACCCAGCGCTTGCCCTGCGCCATGATGTCGCGCCTGCTCGTGTCCGGGTCGTCCTCGCCCGTGCCCGCCGCGTTCTTGAGCGGCGAGAACTCGTCCTCGCGGCGCACCTCCATGCACGCGAAGCGCTCCGGCTCGAGCATCGGGAACACGTCAAACACAAACTGCTCGAGCTTGATGCCGTTGGGCTTGTCGGGCTTGACCGTCTCGCCCGACGCCGACGACGTGTCGGCGTAGGGGATCTTCTTGCGCGCCACGTGGTGCGGCAGCCTGTGCGCCCACCGCGGGATGCTCTCGAGGAAGCCGAAGCTGTAGTAGTGGTTGACGATGTTGGCCGCGCGGAACTTGAGCACCCCGGCTTGCTTGGGGTCCTGGGCCTCGGCCGTGGCCCTGTCGATCTCCGAGTACTCGACCACGTCCGGGCGGCCGTTCTTCTGCAGGATCAGGCCGACCGACTCGGTGGCGTTGCGCTTGCGCACGACCTTGGTGGCGATGTCGACCTTCTTGGCGGCGGCGAAGCCGATGAAGACCGGGTCGGCGACCTTGACGAGGCAGTTGTCGACGCAGTAGGCGTGGATGTGCTCGACGCCGCGCCTCTTCATGTCGTCGAGGACGCCCGAGACCACGAGCGCCTGGTAGATGCCGCCGTTGCCGTCGGGCGCCACGGCCACCCTGCCCTTGCTCTCGAGCAGGATCTTGCCCTCGTTGGAGACGCAGGGCAGCACGCCCTGCTCGAAGATGACGACGTTGTCCCTGTCCAGGCCAAAGTACTTGTTCTCGGCAAAGTACTGCTCCGTGGGCGCCCGCGTGGGCCCGCTGGTCATGACGTACCAGGGCACGACGACCTTGCGGCCCGACTTGAGCCCCGCGAGCTCCTGGACCTTGCGGATCCGCTCGGCCTGGATCTGGAAGAGCGACTTGCGGCTCGGCAGGCCGATGTCGAAGCAGCCCTTGGGCGCGGAGCTGCCCAGCCGCGTGCCCTGCCCGCCGGCCATGAGGACCACGCCGACCTTGTTCTGACCGATCAGGCCGAGGCCGGCGTCGTACCAGGCGTCGATGTCCGACTTTTGCGAGTCGAGGATGCTGGCGGTGGCCGACTCGGGGAGGGGCTCGAGGACGGTCTCGCCGCCTTCCGCCTTGGGCGGGTTCAGCGCCTTGTCGGTGATCTCGTTGATGCGGGCGGGGTCGAAGCCGGAGAGCTGCTCGAACAGCTGGGCCTTTTGCTCGGTGGGGAGGGCGTCGTAGAAGGTGAAGACCTGCTCCTGCCCGGCCTTGGCGTACTTGTCCTTGAGCTCCTGCAGCCGCTCGGCGGAGGGCTCTGCGGCCGGGGCACCGCTGCCACCGCCGATGTTGAGGGCCTTCTTGATGGCGTCCATCTTTGGTGCTTCTCTCTGTACAAGGCCGATGTGTCTCTCGCAAGGTAGTAGAGGAGGTCTGGAGCTCGAATTGGTCCCTTTGCAAGCAGAAGAACTCTTGGGTATCACAATAGAGGAAAGGAAGAAAAAAGAAGATTTAGCAGTCTGGGGAGAGAAACAAAGAAATCCTGACGACTGCCGAGCATCTTTATGGATACGGGCAGCTTTCCCTGTTTGTCCCCAAATATAGCACCAATTGAAGCCCCTCCCTCTAACACGCGAAGCGGTGTCTCAGCTGCCCCGCCAACTAAGCCACCGCCCGCCGCCAGGGGCTTCGCTGCTCCAGGCCTCCACAGCTAGGGGTTCTGCAGGCTCCAGTGCTGACCTGGTAGGTACCTAGTGTTCAGTGGTCTCTCTCGACTGACGTAAGGCGGGACTAGGTACACCGGCAGTGGCCGGGTGGGAGCTTTGGTTTGCTGGCAGAGTTTATGCAACCGCCACCTCCTATTCGCTCGCTGAGCTCGGGGCTGGCCTTCACCTCGCCTAGCACGCCGTGTGGGAAGGTTGAGTGGCTCGAGAGTGGGTGGAGCTCATTGTCTTTCAACACGAGCTGCAGTGGCGATCTCCGGTTGTGAGACCCCGGACAGCATTGAGTTGGGCGGTATGAACAAACTTGCGAGTTGGCTCGATATATTTCTTTTTCATGATGGATCTGAAATATGCGAAATCATCTTCGAAGAAAACCGGTGCTGAGATCTCTCATTGGATAATGTAGCCTACGTAGTTAGGTAATCGGGCTAGGTGTATCTCACATGTGGCGATGATTGCTTTTTCTGTCGACTCAGCTGGTTGGCAGCCTCGCTTTTGACTCAAAACTCGAACGTTTCCATAAGAAAACGCACGGCCCCTACATGCTTCTCCAAACCACCTTACTATACAGAACCGAACCTCTCATCCCCTGTTGTAAGAAACCATGACCAAATCCGAGTTCTTTGACGAAGACCCCTCTGCGCCAAAGGCGAGTTTCCAAGGGCAACTCTCCATCCAAGACTTCATGTTCAAAGCCTCACAATCAGGCTCATCATCAACACAACCCTCCTCGAGAACAACCAGGACCTCAACAGCAGGGACCATGCTCACCCGCCGCAGCCCCCGTCTCGCGACTCCCGTCAAAGCCCTCTCAACACCAGCCTCCCCCTCCCCGTCCCCGTCCCCTTCCCTCAAGCGCAAGTCCTCCACCTCCACCTCCGCATCCGCATCCCCCTCCAAGACGCCCAACAAGAAGAAGAAAAAGTCCAGGTCGCAAGGCTACGCCCCGCCCTCCACCTACGCCCACCTCCCGCCCCTGGCCGACGTCCTGGCGCCCAACCTCCTCGTCCTCTTCGTCGGGCTGAACCCGGGCGTGCAGACCGCGCGGACGGGCCACGCCTACGCCCACCCGTCCAACCTCTTCTGGAAGCTGCTGCACTCGTCGGGCATCACGCCCACGCCCGCGCCCTGCCGCGCCGACGAGGACCGCACCCTGCCGGCGCGCTTCGCCTGCGGCAGCACCAACATCGTCGCCCGCCCGAGCCGCAGCGGCGCCGAGCTGGCGCGGTCCGAGCTCGACGCCGGGGTCTCGGTCCTCGAGGCCAAGATCCGCCGCTGGCGGCCCGAGGTCGCCTGCATCGTGGGCAAGAGCATCTGGGAGAGCGTGTGGCGCGTGCGCCGCGGCGGCGGGCGGCGGGCGCCCACCAAGGCCGAGTTCCGGTACGGGTGGCAGGACGAGCGGGAGAACATGGGCCGGGTGCAGACCACCCGCGGGGTGCTGGGCGGCGGTGACGGCGGCGACGACGACGACGACGAGGCGGCCGATGTGGCGGAGGGGGTCGTGGTAGACCCGAACTGGAAGGGGGCGCGGGTGTTTGTGGCCAGCAGCACGAGCGGGCTGGCTGCCTCGCTGTCGCCGGCGGAGAAGGAGAGGATATGGCGGGAGCTCGGGGAGTGGGTGGAGAAGAGGAGGGAGGAGAAGGGCATCAAGAAGGAGGATCTGGTCTGAGAGAAGAGCCAAGTCACCATGCCATTATGAATGAACTAGATCTTCGAGATATCTCGGGCACGAACTTTATGAGGAACCAGATCCGGGAAACGGTTGTGTTTCATTCATTCCTCGGGAGAGTAACACACTCATTCTATCTATTCGAAAGTGATATCGTCAAAAAAGGTCATTATTCGGTCTAATCGCCTCGTGGCAATATCAAGCGACGCAGCGGACGTGCACACGTGCACTCGTCGTCAGCGGAATGCCACCCCCGAACGCCTTCCAGAAAAAGGATATTCCCCAAACACCACTCCCCACTACTGCAAAAGCATGTTCAAGAAATGAAGTAGTAAAAGTACAACAAAAGTCAAGGGTATAGCAATCGTGAATGCGGGACAGCAACCCCTTCCTTCCAAGAAAACAGCCTGTTAAGCGAGCTCTGAAGAGCAAACCGACGCATGCTCTCTCCCTTACAACAGGAAGACGGTAGCACAGACGGTAGCTAGGACCGGCCAGTAGCCAGCATGCTGCAACAGGACCTTGAGGCCCTCGGAGCCGTTGGTGCCGCTGCCGTCGTCGTCGTCGTCGTCGCCATCAGGAGACTCTGTACCTCCTGCGGCAGTCGTGCCGTTGGGCAGCGTGCCATTTATCAGGATGGTCTCAGTCCCGTTGACATTGCCAAGCGCAACGACGGATGAGTTCATGGCATTGATCGAGCCGTTGCCAATGAGCTCGTTCACGACAGTAGTCGTGTTGGCGTTCTCCTCGCAGCTGCACTCGACGGTCTCGTCGCACGCGCAGGCCACGGGCTTGGTCTCGTTCTTGCCGCTCGACTGGTTGTGGTACGTGTGCGGGTTGTGGTAGGGATAGTAGTAGACCGGGTGGTACCAGATACCAGGCCAGAAGGCCAGGGCTGCGGCACCACCAAGAGCGGCACCACCGAGTGCAAACGGGACAACTGAGCCCCGGGTCTGACCAGCACGGTAGGGGACAGACGCGCCGCCACTATAGGCGTTGCCACCGCCGTAGGCAGGCCGGGGTCCACTGCCGGTGGTCGTGCGACCGCCGGTGCCAGAGCTCGGTGAGCCAAGGCCGGTCCGACCACTACCAGTTCGTCCGCCGCTGTCAGTCAGGTTAGCGAGATTGCCACAGGTTTATCAGAACAACACGAGATGAAATTGGGGAAAGGGAGGTGCATACGATCCACCGCGAGAGCCTGAACCGGAGCCAGAACTTGAACCGGATGAGCCAGAGGAACCAGTTCTTCCACCGGAAGACGAAGAACCTCCTCTACTATAATGATAGAAGATCATGTTTTAGCCCATCCGTTCCGTATAGTTGTGGACGTCCAGTTCTCGCGACCCCCGTTTGTACGGTTGTGGTATGCGGTCCCTCGGGACAGGTGTAGTGTTGCAAGGGGCATAAATCCAAATCTTACCTTCCACCAGAAGAGCCGCCGCCACGGGAGCCTCCGCCGGATGATCCTCCTCCTCTACCACCGCCGCCGCCGCCACCTTTCCGCTTGACCAAGTCCTCGAACTTGATGTTGTCGCGCTCGACGATGGGTTGGGGTACGGAGATGGAGATGTCTGCTAGCGCGTCGTCGATAGCGGCGCTGTGGATGGGCTGGGCAGCAACTGCCAGACAGGCCAAGAAGGCACTCGGCTTCATCGTGATATCGCTATGCAATAGGCAAGGACAAACAGTAGTCGAGACAAAGTGATGAGTGGCGTTGGTCTTGTGTCACTCTAGAGCTGTGGAGGTGAACAGTTAGCCAAGGTCAAGACCGGTGGGGGGCTGACAGTCAGATATATAAATGCAGACCTTGGGAATCTCTTCGGTGAGAGCTGGGTGACGGTCGGTATTTGATAGGCGCACTTGTGTCTTGCAAGGTTGAAAAGAGAGGCGGGTCTTGGAATGTAGAACTGTATGTGTGGGGATAGCATGGCTTTGTACTTGTAGTAGGTATGAGTCCGGCAGTGGGCTGTGCTGGAGATTAAACCAGTCTTGCCAGTGTTCTGGGGCAAGTGGACGCCAATTGGCAAACCAGAGGGTCAAAGAATCATACATAGTGACAAAGAGGGAGCGCAATGGTGGGAACGGCCGAGTGGTATGAATTGTGCCGGCGTGTTTGCCAAGAGGTTAGGTTTAGGATGTGGCGGCTGGACACAGGACCAAAGCGGACCAGAGTGCGATGACATTATCACCGAGCCGCCCCCCAGGATGTTGGGTCAGCCGGAGGATCAAATGTGTCAGTGACTTCACCACTTCACCACCTGCAGCGCAATGGGTCCACCACCCACACTACCTAGGTAGCCCCTAGGGTCGTCCAATCAAGTACAGTACCACTGTCGCCCTGGGAGCCTGGGTACAAGTACAGAGAAGTGCCAGGCCAGAAAATCGAACTGAGGATGGCGATCATTCAAACGCTCGGCCTGTCGGGAAAAGAAAGATAGAGAATGACATCTTAATGTCTTGGCAATTTGCTTCCTTTCTTGATACACACATATTGACATGCTACCAACAAGTAAAAACTGGTGCTCATCACCCCGTCACCCCGTCACCCCTAGCATCGCATGTGTACAATGACACAACCAACAACACTTCAAGCCAACCAAGGGATTCCAAATGACGTTGTAGTGTACCTAGGTACCTGTCTGGGTACATTTTAGGTTGGTGTGCTGAGCCACCACGAGTGGCCACTAGGCCCAACCCCAGAAAAGGATCTCCATTGAGGTGTGTGTTTGACACTGTTTGTACCTACAGGGTGCCCTTCGCTAATGAAGCCCGCTCCGGGATAATGCAGAGACTATTTGGGCCGTCTTACCCGTGCACAAGTCAACCCACATCGGGATACGCTCTGCGTTGTTGTCGTACTGAGCCGAATTGCTGTTGTTCGTGCTTAGTTACTACTACTTGTACCTACAATAGTTTTGTGCTTGAGCCTGTTCTGTGCCTGGCAACAGCCTGGAGGGAGGACTGATATCTCCCCCGCCACCGCTGACACTTCCCACCTCACTGCAAGGCCGTTTCTGTGTAACCAGGCCTCTCTGAGGCCGGCCATCAGGGAGGAGCAGAAATAGCAACGTCATCATTATTTTTGACAGCAGGAGTGCCATACTCACTCAAGTGGCTATACGTACAACAGTAGAATGTCTGGTGATCTGTTTGCAAAAGCAGTTGCCTGCCCGCGCCCTCTTCACTGTCAATAGTACATCTATGCAAATGCGAGGCGCTGTTCATCTCGGAACCGGGGGAGCCGGCAGTTCTGTGTTGGTGTACATAACATAACGTTACTCCCTACAAAGGAACAGAGTGATGGCAACGCGTGGCCTAAAAGCTTATACGCGCCTCCCGCCGTGGACTAGCCTCAGTGAGAAGTCGGCCGTGGCTCTGGATAGGATCACCAGACCGCAAGTGAGGCAGTGAAGCCTGTCTAGTAGTCTAGTAAGTCTCCGTGGGAAAAAAGCTTTTGGATCTCCTTCTAGAAGAAATCTAGGTTCGAACAAAGTCGAAACATCTCTGGTTGCGTGTGCGCTGGACAAGCGTGCGTATGCAAGCCTACCCCATATTATAAGGCTGTGCAACCACAAACTAACCAAGTAAGGAGTGTTCTGAGTCCCCCACCAAACCACCTCCATCATCACGAATCTCCCTCCAGTCCCCAGCTCTGCTATCGCCCACGTTCGATCTGGTTACCTCATTGTCTGCCTCGCCCTCTGTGCCACTTGCATTCCCGTCTTTCGTCCGGTTTGGGCACCCCTAGATCGTACCACCACCTCTGGGAACCACTCCTTTGAGCTGTTCGAAAGATAGGTATCTCGGGTGGTCGGCTGAGCAGGGGCTCGCAGGATATGGTAGAGCAGCAATAAGCACACGCCACTCTACGGCACAGCTTGCAAGTACTTGCAATCACATCACCATTGCTCGACTTGACCAAGGGCCCTTGCAAACTAGTTGACAACCTCATCTTTGTCTCCGACCGACGCACAGCCCCACCCCGGCCCCCGATACCCGGGCCGTGCCCAACCCTGCCCGCCCGCTGCTCCGTGTTTTGCCTTACAGTCGCTGATCCAGCCTCGGCCCCCGTCTATCGCTGCCCTAAAAGTATGGCCGATCCCTCAGCCTCAGACAGAGATCTGCTCGAGCGGCTGAATGCCCTCAAGCCAACCAGCGTCACGCTGGATGCCTCGCAAAAGTGCGCTTACCCACTCAAATTCCGTCCCGCCAGCATGAGGCACTGACAACCATCCCACAGCTCCCTCGGTATACCCATCCCAGGTAGCGCGGCGGTGCCGTCGTCCCAGCCCGCCTCCAGGGAAGATGCACTCACGGCGAGGCTGCGCAGCCTCCGGCTAGGCAGTAGCTCGCCCTCGCCCAGCCCGTCCAAGGAAGCTGCGTCTGCTGCTAGTCCGAGGGCCAAGACGCAAAGTCCGGATGTAGCCACGACGCCTTGCAAGAATGCTGCTGCTACTGCTGCTGCCCGGCCGCTAACTTCCGTACCCGCCAGTCTTGATCATGATGAAGACAAGGACCCCCTGCACATGGACGACGAGGAGGTCCTCAACGACTTCCTCGAGGGCCTGAGCGGCGACGAGGACTTTGGCCCCGCGAGCGCCGCGGCGGCAGCTGAGCCCGAGGACGAGGCGGACAAGGTGGCCGCCCTGCTCGAAAGCCTCGGCAGAGAAGCAAGCAGGGACCGGGACCCAGCGACGCCGGGCAAGGCGGACAAGCCCAGGGACGACGACGATGACGATTCCGAGGGCGAGGAGATGCAGAGCGAAGTCAGCAGGGTCCTGGCCCGAGCCGCCGATGAGGCCGAGCTAGACCGCATATCCCGCGAGCAAGACGGTGGTGCTCCCGACCGTGATGCAGCAGGTGGAGACGAACAGACCGAGGAACCCGCAGCCTCCCCTCCCCAACCTACGGCTGCCAAACTCAATAGCAATCCCCAGTCACCCCCAGAAGACCCCTTCTCCCTCCCCAGCGTCCCCTCCACCCTGCCCCCTCCTCCTCCCACCGACGCAGACGCAGACCACCAGTCCTTCGAGTCCTCCATCGCCGCCCGCATGGCCGCCCTCCAGGGCGTCGCCCCCGACGACGACGGCGGCACCAACACCCTCGGCCTGCCCTCGGCCCCGACCTTCGCGCCCGACGCCCGCCCGCCCTCGACCGCCTACCGCCGCACGACGCCGGCGGGCCGGCAGGCGTACACGGACGAGGACGAGCGCGCGTGGTGCGTCGTGTGCCTCGAGGACGCGGCGGTGCGGTGCCTCGGCTGCGGCGGCGACGTCTACTGCGCGCGCTGCTTCCGCGACATGCACGTCGGCCCCGCGGCCGGCTACGACGAGCGCGGCCACAGGTCCGTCCGGTTCGAGAGAGGCCCCCGGGGTTCGAGGTAGTACGTCGTTAGTACTTTGTTTATAAGAATACTTTTTTTTTCTAAGTGTGTAGCATAGCGAGAGGCAGGGCAGGCATCAGCGTGGTCATACGCCCTGGCGGGCGTTTGTCTGATGTGTATTCATATATGGATTGGAACTTTGCGTGTATTCATTGTCTTTTCCGAGGTAAAGGAGCGTGATACAACGATGAAAGTAAATAATAAGCGACGTAAAACGGGGAGAAAACGAGGTACACATTTCATGTTCGCGCAAGCAACGCCGCCCTTATCCTCCCGATTCTTGTTACCAGATGCCTCCCGAGCATCGACCGTCCTGTAACATGCCAGCCATCCTGCCCATTCCGTGGAGATATGGAGGGGAAGAAAAAAAGAAAGATACATGAAAGCGCAAGTAGGAAGTTGCAATCTGCCCTCGGGGTATAAATGCTATCCTCCAGTGACAACCACTTTCGTTCGTGGCCCATTCCTCTTATTCCTGTTGGTCGCCTCTCCCCCGAATATCCTGCCACGTCGCTCCGAAGCGCCTGGTCGTCGCCCCGAGCAGGCTCTCCTCCTCGTCCGCCTCGGCCTCCTCATCGATCTGGCTCAGGTCCAGTTTCGGCGTGCGGAAGAGCGCCGTCAGGAAGACGACGAGGAACACGCCGAGGAAGGCGAACTGCGCCCAAAAGTCGACGGCGCCGAAGACGGGCCAGTTGAGCGTGACGCGGTTGAGGAAGGTCGACATGACGGAGGGGGTGCACACGTCCTTGGCAGCCGCCTCCTCGAGCACCTCGGAGCACGGGCGCACGAGGTCTAGGTGGCCCGTGCAGTCAGGCTGCTCGCCGGGGTGCCGCGGGGGGTTCACGCAGAAGGTCTGCGTGCCGTAGATGGCGTACTGCGGGGCCACCAGCATGGTGATGGCGTAGTTGATAGCAAGGATGATCAGGGCCAGCATGACGGTGGCGATCAGAAGCGCCTGGGGTGCGGTACGCCCCTTGCGGATCTGGAAGATGCGCACCCACAGGAAGCGGATGCCGATGGCGGCGATGCCCGAGATGGAGCTGCTGAAGAAGAACAGGATGAGCAGGGCGATGAGGACGTAGTCGACGGGGAACGCCTTGGCGGCCTTGACGAAGATCCAGTTGATGGGCTGGAAGACGTTGATGTGGCCGAGGATGTAGCCGCAGTGCTGCTTGCAAATCGAGTTGGCCGCCTTGTCGATGCCCGTGATGAGCATGGACACCCAAATCAGGACGGCCACCAGCAGGAGCAGAATGCCGCCGAGGAGCTTGATGGGTCTCAGAACGGCACATATCTTGGTCCAGGCCTTGAAGACCCAGCTGTGTCCCTCGCCACGGGCCTCGGCGGCCAGACGCTCCCGCCTGACAAGCGTGCGCTCCTCGCGCCTGAGCTGCTCCAGCTCGCGCCGGTCCTTGGGCGCCATGCCATCGGGTCGGCCGTTGTTCCGTAGCTCGAGTTGGCGCTGCCTTTCGCGGTTCTGCTCCAGCGCCGAAGCCGTCGTCTCTGAGAGTTGCGGTGCTGAGATCGAAGGAGCAGACTTGATAAAAGACACGGGAAGCAGCGCAAGGCCGGCGCCGGTATACAAGACGTAGAGAAGGGTGCCCAGGGTGACGAGGAGCCCCACCGCAAACGTCAGTGCCTTCTCGCCGTTGTTCTCCGAAAGAAGCTTCTTGAAGTAGTCGAGGTCCAGATGTCTGCCTTTATCGCCACTGGCGCGGGGCACAAAGAAGCCGACGAGGAACAGGATGATGACCAGCACCAGGAAGATGATGGTGTATTTGGTTGCGCTCCAGAGTCGGCTGCTGGTGCTCCTAGTGCCCTCCTCCTCCTCGACCTCGTCGTATTCCTCGTACCAGAAGTATGTAAAGGGGATGACAAGGAGGCACAGGATCGCGTCGAAGCTGTAGAGTGAATAGTAGACAATCTTGAGAGTGAGCAGGATGTTGTTGACGCGCTCAGGTGTCGCCCAGTCCTTCTTGGCGCCGAGGGTGGCCGAGGTGGTCGACGAGACAAGGGCTATGTCGACAGGAAGAAGGAAGACTGTGGCCAGGAGCGCAGTCAAGCTGACGATGGACACGATGCTGACGACTGCGGATCGATCCCTGGGGGTCTGGTAGGTAAATGTCGTGATCATTGCGGCCACTACAGCCAGAGCTATAGCGACCGCGTAAGTGATCCAGATCAGATTTGCCTGCACATAGCCCGCCATGTTGAATTTTGGCGCATGTGAAGTTGACTGATCCGGTGGTGGTGATCGCTCCAAAGCGGGCGGTCTCAAGTCGTCGGCGTGCGAAGAAAAGGGTAGTCCGGCAGGCCTTCGGCTCTCACGGCTGCTGTCTTAGTCTGGTCGCAGCCCTTTTGTATGCTGTCGTTCTGGCGGCGTTTGGTCTTTTGACTTTCTAGCTTGGAATGCTGGAGAATGGCATGCCGCTCTCCTCTACAGACCCAAAGATGGTTTGATCTTAGTTTGTTGTGTTTCGCAGGGGGGTGGGATGGTGCACCTATGTCTCGCGGGAGTCGATCCAGCATGCCTTGAATTGAAGCTACCCGGATATGTGACGACATGGTCCTGTAATTACCACCTGAGGGATGGAGCTGCAAGTGTTGCTCCACTGCCACTGTCCCCCCATCTACCCATCAACTGACCACTGACACGCCTGTATTTGGCTGGACATTCTAGCTTGCAGCTCTGGTGGGCCACCTGCAGTGCCCCGCCAATCAGGTCCACGTTCCATCAACAAAGGCACAAAGCCTGGACCCGACATTCTAGCCTCGCGATCCAAAGAACCCTGGCAAGCACTACCTATCCGGAAAGAGTAGCATTGGACTACAATTCAACAACTTTGAAGGATACTTCAATCGCGTCTCTCTTCTCCGGCCCGAGTGCAATGTTCGCGGCTCGAGCATGAGCGCGCCAGCAGGAACACGATGCAGTGTTATACAGAGCTGACGCCGCCCACGGCCGTCACCCATTCCCTGGCGCTGCCTCTGATATCCGCCAAAGCGAACAACCTGGTCGTCGCAAAGTCGAGCCTTCTTCAGATCTTCACGACAAAGACGGTCGCTGCCGAGGTTGACCCTCCCCGGGACCCCAATGTCGCCAACAAGGGCGGCGCCGACCAACCTACGATCCAGTACGACAGTCGGATAAACGACGACGACGGGCTCGAAGCCTCCTTCCTCGGCGGTGATGCTGTTCTGCTCAAGTCAGACCGGGCGAACAATACGAAACTAGTCCTCGTCTCCGAGATCTCTCTATCGGGAACTGTGACGGGCCTGGCGCGCGTCAAGACGTTACGTCCAACCAAATCGGGAGGCGAAGCGCTCCTCATAGCCTTCAAAGACGCCAAGTTGAGTCTCGTCGAGTGGGACCCCGAGCGATACGCACTATCCACAACCTCCATCCACTACTACGAACAAGACGAGCTCCAGGGCAGCCCTTGGGCAGCGCCTCTGAGCGACTATGTCAACTTTCTCGCGGCCGATCCCGGCAGCCGCTGCGCCGCGCTTAGATTCGGCGCCAGAAACCTGGCGATTCTCCCCTTCAGACAGAAAGACGAGGACATTGATATGGATGACTGGGATGAAGAGCTGGATGGGCCGCGGCAGGTCAAGGAGCAGCCATCGGCCGTCGTCAATGGAACTAGCAACATAGAAGAGACACCATATTCACCTTCATTTGTTCTACGGCTGCCCAATCTTGACCCCGCGCTCCTTCATCCCGTGCATCTAGCCTTCCTGCATGAGTATAGAGAGCCCACCTTTGGCGTTCTCTCATCGACCCAGGCACCGTCATCTGTACTTGGCCGGAAGGACCACCTTTCTTACATGGTCTTCACACTAGATCTGTCACAAAAGGCATCGACCACGATTCTCTCCGTCAGCGGGCTCCCCCAGGACTTGTTCCGCATCATTGCCGTCCCTTCCCCTGTCGGAGGCGCGCTTCTGGTCGGCGCCAACGAGCTGATACACATCGACCAATCTGGAAAGGCAAACGGCGCCGCGGTCAACCACTTCACCAGGCAGACTACTTCCTTCAGCTTGGCAGATCAGTCGGATCTCGATCTCCGGCTCGAAGGGTGTGTTATTGAAGTACTCTCCAACGAAGGGGAGCTTCTCATGAGCCTGAGGGACGGTCGGCTGGCACTCATCACGATCCGCGTTGACGGTAGAACCGTCTCTGGTCTCAATGTGCGACTGATCACCCCGGAGTGTGGAGGTGAGATATTACCATCGGGTGCCGCCACAATCTCTCGGCTCGGCCGAAGTGCCATGTTTGTCGGTAGCGAGACGGGCGATTCTCTCGTCGTTGGCTGGACGCGAAAGCAGGGCCAGACATCGAGGCGGAAACCTAGAGTTGATGAGACGATTGACGAGGAGGCCGAGGACGACTTCCTCGACGAAGATGATGAGGATGACCTCTATGGCGATGAGCCAGTCGCAAAAACGCCTAGTGGTGCGGGTACCGGTGGTACTGGTGGCGAGCTTGTCTTCCGCATTCACGATCGGTTGATCAGCGTTGCGCCGATACGAGACATCACCTACGGCAAAGTCTTCACTGGACAGACTGAGGAGGAGCCACAACCTGGAGAGAGCGACAATGTCCATCTACAGCTCGTTGCGGCTGTTGGACGAGGCAAAGCGGGTGCGCTTGCGACCATGAACAGGGACATCCATCCCATTAGTATAGGGAGGTTTGAGTTTCCGGAAGCTCGTGGGCTGTGGACCATGTGCGCTTCTAAACCGATACCAAAGTCGATCCAAGGAGAAAAGAGTGGCACCACTGTCGGCAACGAGTACGAGTCTCCCGCTCAGCATGATAAGTTCATGATAGTGGCGAAGGAGGATGTAGATGGGTTCGAGACATCTGATGTGTATGCTCTGACCGCTGCGGGGTTCGAGACGCTGAGCGGAACCGAGTTCGAGCCTGCCGCCGGCTTCACCATCGAGGCCGGCACTATGGGAAGACACACAAGGATAGTTCAAGTCTTGAAGTCGGAAGTCCGATGCTATGATGGAGGTGAGGAACAAGAATCACAAGCAACTAAGGAAACACGACATACAGACTAACATTGTGCGTGGTAGATTTCGGACTGGCTCAGATTCTACCGATGATTGACGAGGAAACCGGCGCTGAGCCCCGGGTCATCAGTGCGAGCATTGCAGACCCTTATCTCCTGCTCATCAGGGACGATTCCAGTGCCGTTGTTGCAGCGCTTAATAAGGACAACGAGCTGGAAGAACTGGACAGGGGCGACAAGATCTTAGTCTCCACAAAGTGGTTGACTGGATGTCTTTATACTGACTCCCAGGGCGTCTTTTCCAAGGTGGATAGCAACCAGGGGAAAGAATCCGAGAATGTCATGATGTTCCTGCTCAGCGCCACAGGATCTTTCTATGTAGGTCAAACCCTCTAACGATTGCGATGCATCGCTAATCCAAATCCAGGTTTATGCACTTCCCAACCTAGCAGAGCCCGTCTATGTCACCGAAGGTCTCTGCTATGTCCCCCCGACCCTCGCTATAGACTTTGTCGCCAGGAGAGGCATGCCAAAGGAAATCATTACAGAGATACTCGTAGCAGACCTCGGCGACACAATCGCCAAGCATCCTTACCTTGTTGTAAGTCCTTCGAGGAATGTCACTTTCTAAACACAACACGACGCTAACGATCCCAAGCTTCGGCATGCCAATGATGACTTTTCCATCTACCAACCCATCCGCCGGTCGGAGCTGACAGGGGCGCTATCCGCCTCCCTAAGGTTCCAGAAGCTGCAGAACACAACCTTTGCCAAGAGCCCTGAAGTTGCGGCGGAAGATGACGCTTCCAATCAGCGGAGAAATATGCCGCTCCGCGCCTGCGCCAACCTTGCCGGCTACAGCACCGTGTTCCTCCCAGGAGCATCCCCAAGCTTCATCATGAAGAGCGCCAAATCAACGCCCAAGGTTGTCCGTCTAGGCGGCTCTGGGGTTCGAGCTCTGAGCACCTTCCACACCGAGGGCTGCGAGCGTGGTTTCATATACGCCGACTCTGAAGGCATCGCCAGGGTCAGCCAGATCCCAGATGACTGCAGCTTTGCCGAGAGCGGGCTCTGCATCAAGAAGATCCCGCTCGACATTGACGTCGGCGCCGTCGCGTACCACCCGCCCACCGAGGTGTACGCGGCGGCCTGCAGCACTTGGGAACCATTTGAGCTGCCCAAGGACGATAGCCACCATCACGAGTGGGCCAAGGAGTCCATCACGATGAAGCCCCTGGTTGAGCGCGGCGCCCTCAAGCTCGTCAGCCCCGTCAACTGGTCCGTCATAGATACGGTGGAGATGGAGCCCTACGAGATCATCCTGTGCGTCAAGACGCTGAACCTCGAGGTGTCAGAGTCTACCAACGAACGCAAGCAGTTGATCACAGTCGGCACCGGCGTCTCTCGTGGCGAGGACTTGCCCATCCGAGGGCGCATTCTCGTCTACGACGTCGCCAGCGTCATCCCCGAGCCTGGTAGGCCCGAAACCAACAAGAAGCTCAAGCTGGTCGCTAAGGAAGACATCCCGCGTGGCGCCATCACCGCCATCTCGGAGATTGGCACCCAGGGCCTCATGCTCGTTGCACAGGGGCAGAAGTGCATGGTTCGAGGCCTGAAGGAGGACGGGACCCTACTCCCGGTCGCCTTTATGGACATGAACTGCTACGTCACTGCCGCCAAGGAGTTGCCGGGCACGGGCCTGTGTCTTATGGCTGACGCCTTCAAAGGCGTCTGGTTCACGGGCTACACGGAGGAGCCCTACAAGATGATGCTCTTTGGCAAGAGCTCCTCGCGCCTCGAGGTCCTCAACGTCGACTTCTTGCCCGACGGACGCGATCTGTCTATCATTGCCGCCGATGCAGACGGCAACATCCATGTGCTCAAATTCGACCCTGAGCGTAAGTTAAAACTTCTTGTCCCGAACCATGTTTGTGCAGCCAGCTGACAATCGAGGCCATGACAGACCCCAAATCCCTCCAAGGCCACCTCCTTATCCACCGCACGACCTTCTCGACCGGCGCTCACACCCCCTCGCACTCTCTCCTCCTCCCGTCCACGGCCGTTACCACCGTCCTGCAGAGCCAGCAACTCCAGGCCGACGCCATGGACACCTCCGCCGACGGAGGCGGGCCCCTGCCGCCCCCGCAGCACCTCCTCCTCGCCTCGGGGGACACGGGCGCCCTGGCCGCCCTGTACCCGCTCCCCGAGGCCACGTACCGGCGCCTCTCGTCCCTGGCCTCCCAGCTGGCCAACTCGCTCCCGCACGCCGCGGGGCTCAACCCCAAGGCCCACCGCGCGCCGTCCTCGTCGGCCAGCCAGGCCGCGGGCGTCGACGCCGGCGGCGCGGGCCGCACCGTCGTCGACGGGTCCATGCTCGCGCGCTGGGCGGAGCTGGGGTCCGGGAGGAGGGCCGAGGTCGCCGGCCGGGCGGGCTACGGCGACGCGCTCGAGGTCCGGGCCGAGCTCGAGATGGTGCTCGGGTGGGGACGGATGGAGTACTTTTGAGGAGGGAAAGAAAGAAAGAAAAAAAAGGAAAAGGGGTTGAGCTCTTTCTTTGCTTTTTCGTATATCTATAGTCCCGCGTGCTCTGCGGGTTAGAAAGAGGATGGGGTGGGTGGTGAGGGCCCTGGTGCTCTCTTGGTAGAGAGGGATGGCAGTTGTCCAGTCTCTTATACCAATTTATTCATTGAGAGTATAGTCGTCGAGACGGCCAGGAGGACAAGATTGGGGTTTTGGTGACTCACTTGATCTTGTATTGTAGTTGTAGCACTTTGTATCTATCTGTATATGTACAGCAGAAGGCTTGTCCTCGTCCCAAACTCTCCAATACACCTTGACAAAGACACACGATGAAAAGTAAAAAAACATAGTGCTCGCCAAGAGCGGTCCTTACACCCGCTGTGTTATGAGCAGCCTCAGACAGTTCAAATATCAACTATGTTTCATTATTGGGCAGAACGCTTCACATAGTCATGATAATGTATTGAGTTGTCATGTAGGGTATCTCTATCGTCGAGTTCATAATACTGCAAACAGGTGTGCCTCTCTCTAGAAGTGAGTGGGCAAGTCGCCAGTCACCCACCGTACATAACTCTCTCCTCTGTTGCGTCACCTGCAGGGCCGTCATCAGCAGTCCTGCCGCTGCTGCCGCTGCTGTCAATGTTGCTTAGGGTCGTCGGGGAACTCTATTCACCACCTCCGTTGCCCTCAAACCTCGCCCGGGAGCCCAGGGACTGCGGTACTCCGAACTGATGCCAGCAATTTGGCGCTTGAAGGATATATCTGAACGCGTTGGGCCATTAGTAAAGACTCTTGCACACCATGCAGATCTCTTAGAAAGTGCTTACCGAGCCATCGCCTCTCTGAATCGGGACTTGTACTCCTTTGGACTTGTGACTGTTGGTTTGTTGCGGCCACCACCGGCGAATCCTCGGTCCTTGATCCAGCTCTCAAGCTTCTTGTCCCACGTGTACGTTCGAATGCAGTCAATGATGCCCACGACGAGTTCCCTGCGGGTCTCGTCCACCGCGATCATCAACGAGTAGTCCATGACGTTCTGCCGCGCCAGGAAAAGCGTGTCATTCCACACAGAAGCTCGAAGCAACTTCTTGGAGTGCTCGCGTGCGAAGAGCGGAGACTCATAGATGTACTCGACCATGTTCTCGTCCAAAAGAACCTCGTCCTGCACGCCGGTCGACTGGATCTTGCGATTCCGCATGGAGCCCTTGAGGTCGAACTTTCGCGTCTCTGAACGGTCGTAGAACAGGTTCTCCATCACGAGCAGATCAAGCTTAATTTCTGTGCCCGTGACAGGATTCTTGATGATGACCTGGAAGAAGCCTACCATCTTGGCAATCACCGAGGGGAGCTCATGGAAGAGTGCCTCTGCCATGATCTCGAAATACGCTGGTGCGAAGCGGAGGAAGGCTGATGTCTCAATTGGAGATAGTGACTGGAGGGAGACGTCAGCATTGATAGGCAAATGGGAGCAAGGCTTGTACGTACCTTCATTACCAGCCGGTCGTCCAGCGTCTTCAAGAAGACAGACTTTGTCTTGCCGCCCTTTGAGTCCCACTTAAGGCAGCGAGACAAGGATTCGATGATCCTGTCAGCGATGCCACACTTGCGACGAAGTGCATCAAACTGCTCGGCGTAGAATATCTTGCAGAGCATCCTTGCGGAGCCTTCGATGAACTGATACTTGAGGTGTGTTCCGGTGGCCCGCAACAAGCTCTTTTCCAACTCCGTCTCGTCGATCGTAGCATCATCGAGGTCAGAAATGCCAGAGGTATCCTCTCCAATCTCGGGTGTGCGTCTCTTCCATTTCCGGCGAATGTCCGCGAGCTTGGCCTGGTAGTCTTCAGAGCCAAGAGCAAAGGCAATGAGGGAGCTCGGCTCGTCTTCGCGGACAATGACATCAGAGTCAATAAAGATGTGATCAGTGGCATTCAGCGGGTATTCTAGCGGAGGCCATCCGCTGGCCGACCGTTCGGCCCAGAAGTTCGTGAGCATCTTCATCAAGTTAGACTTCTTGTCCTTCTGTAGCTCCTGGGGCACTTCGCCGCTCGGCTCCAAATGTTCTGCAATGGTCTCGACATCAGGCAGTATGTCTTCCAGTGACTGTTCAGTGTCACTCTCGTGCTCATCATCAGAGCTCACACGGCTCTCTGCTTGTTTGACGTTGTCGATGTCTTCCGCCGTCTGAGACGGAGGCTCAGATGTTAGATTTTGATCAGAATCAGGCAACGTAGCGGATGACTCCACGGAGGGAACATTGTCGGCCAAGGAGGCATTGTGCTTGGACTTCTGACCATCGCCGTCGCGTTCGTGCAAATGTTCTTCGTCGGGGCCAGGCTCTTGAACAGCCTGATCAACGTCTTGATAGACTTCAACGATGGCCTTTGTCGTTGTCCGAGGCAGAAAGGCGCGCTGGTGGTTCATTTTTGCAGCCCGTTGTTTCCTGTCTCTCATCCGCTCCTTCTCAAACTCTCTGCTGAGCTGCTCGAAGTGCTTTGCGAGAGTCGAGACCTTGGACTCCTTTTTCTTGTGCACGTATCGGGGTATGGACGACTGGCCAGCCTTTCTCTGGGTCTTCAACGCCCCTAAACCGATGCGCTCGGGAAACCTCTTGTCAATCTTGCTTGTACCATCGGCGGCTACTTTATGTAGATCAGGCCCGATACCTCCCTCAGCAGCCTTGAGATCTCTTCCTAAAGCTGTCTTCCCAATGCTGGACTGCGTTCGAGGGAGCGTGCCAACAGGCTGAGAAATCGCACGCACCATGGGCGGAGACACGGTCGAACCAGCTCTACGGGAGGGACCGCGCTCCGGGACCGGTAGTCTCGTTGGCTCTGGATGCCGCTCTGATGTTGTCTCTGCGCTAACGTTTTCTGTAGCGGGTTGGACTCTGTGCTCCTTCTTCAGCTGCTCGACCTTCTCCGAGAGCGAAGGCTGCGAAGTCATGGGAGACGGCGCTGGAAGCTGCTGGCCCTCGAGCAAAGGGCTTGGGGATGCTCCCAGGGGAGATTGTGGTGCATTAAGAGTTGGGCCGCTTGGTGACAGAATGGTGTCTGCAGCGCCCGGAGGAACAAGAGCATTCTTAGCGAGTGAAGGGGACTGGGGAGTAGCCAAGTCCAGCGGTTCCACACGCCCAAGAATGTTTGCTGCTTCGTTCGATCCATCCCTCGCCACGCCCGGCGTTTTCGGGGCATCGGTAGAAATGGTGATGGGCGTCACACCCGCAGGAGTAGCTTCGTCCATCGGGGTTTGCGGCATTGTCTTCTCGTTCATATCAGACACAGAGGCCTGAGAAGTAGGCACAGTGGACTTTTCTTCAGATTCTGAGCCGAAGGAGACAACAGAAGACCCATCAATCGTAGTGAGGGACTCCTTGGACTCGTTGTCTGTGAACATTTTCTTCAGCTGAATCATAGTGAGCTGCCTGACATCCTTGTCCGAGAGGAAGTCTGCCTCAAATTTGGCGAATGCAGAATCCCAATCAGCCACCCGCTCAAGCATCTCCCGGAGCACTGCGTTGAGTGGGATGATTTCGTAGTACTTGGACGTCATGTAAGCATCCTGGAGGGCGCGAACCATGACCGGCTGCTCGTCCTGAGCTTTCTTGGTCAGCCTGTCGACCTCGGCTTTGCAAGCATCTGTCTTCTCCGGAAGTACGCTGTCGATCCTGATACTCTTCAGCCTGGCCTTGACTGAGTTCATGAAGCGATTCCAGCGATCTTCGGACTTGGTAAAGGTCTCGTTCTTCAAGCGCAGATCGTGGTCAACCTTCCAGGTGATACGCGCTCGCGGTACCACAATCTCCAGGAGGTCGATAGGGTCATAATGTATCCGGACAGACATGCCATGATAGTTGAAGTAACGGATGTGATCTCTCTGGTTGTCATGTGGACAATTAGTAGAGTGGTGCATATGTAGTCCCTTACTCCAGAAGGACAATTCGAGGTATTTGCCAAAGGAATACTTCCACGAGCTCTGAGACATGGCTTGCAGGCCCATCTCTCGCTTGCACTGTTTGCAGTACGTCCACATGAAGATATCGTCACTGTTGGGTTCAATCCCGCCAGGTATGGGAGAGTCCTCGACAAATATCGTTATGCGTGCCTCATCGTGTACATAAGTTCTGTGATGTTGATGCATTGGCCGATCGCAACCATTGGCATGGCATGTCTCGTCCGCGCTTTCGCACAAATCCTCGATGTATTGGCCGAGTGTACAATCAGGATCCATGTTGCCGTTAGGGTCTGGATGTTCGACATAGAAGCTGATGGCAATCAGCCCCGGCTCGGCGCAAGGTATCTTGGTGTCGGTGCAGACCATAGAGTATAGAACCACTATGTTCTGGTGAGAGTAGGGGTCAAACAGATCAAGATTTCCCTGGATGTAGTTCTCCCACTGTCGGGTCTGGGTCTGGTAATTGTGCAAGGCCCTGTCATACTCGGCATCGTGTACTGCGTGAAGGACCTCCATAATCTGCCGAGGCGCTCTCTGCCCGATTTCATGTACCATCTCTGGACGTATTAGTTGGAAGCGTCGCGGTTTGGACTTTTCATTCTCAGCATGTTCCTCAACAATGTCTTGATCTCGGAGACGTTTGAGATACACTAGTCGCCTCTCCTGCTCGCGGGCTTTCATGAGCAGATACGGCTGTGTGAATTTGACAAATGGAGAGGCGGACAGGATCTTTGTTTCGTACTTGGCAACCATGTCGCTGTAGAAAGTTGGTGCAGGCACATCTTCAGGAACCTGGCTCTCCGGAGGGGCTTGTGCCTGCGGCTCGGCTGGAGGACCCGACCCTATAGGTAGCTCTCCCAAGCTCTGCGATGTCGGCTCCTGGCAGACGCCATCGGCTTGATCCGAAGGACTCCCCTCGCTAGACTGAGAAAGCACAGGGCTATCATTCTGTTGAGAGGAAGGATTGGCAGCACTAGACTCATCTTCGGCCGGGGCTTCTGAGTCTGCAGTGCCATTCTCCGTATGTTGTGATCCCGGGATCATTGCATCGTCTTCCCCAGGAATACTCATTACCTCATCGCGCATGAGGCATGATTCGAGCTTGAGGTTATACACCACATACACCATGAATTCGGTGATTCTCTTCATGCGAGACAATAGACGCGTCGGTGCACCCCGCAAGGCGATGGTACACCCCAGGCTCTCGTCACAGCCGGACACGAAGATGTAAGTCTTCTTCCGCCCCGGGAAATCGCTGTTCACGAATGTCTTGACTTCAAACCCACTGCACGTACCCACGTTCGTTGGCAGCGCAAGCATGTCTAGCGACGAGATGATCTCTGCCTTGGTACACCTTGAAACGGCTTCTATCACTGCAGATTTGACATTGTAGGCGACAGCGATGTTGGCTTCAGATAGAAATTGTAACGCCACGCCCGAGATGCTTCTTTCAGCGAGCAGGACTTGCGGCCGGAGCGCGATGATTCTGTTGACCACTAGCCGAAGATACTCTTTCTCCTGTTCGATGACTGGCTGCAGGCTCATGAAGTGTTGCTGTTGATGCCGTTGATATTCGATCGGAAAGGTGACAATGACGATACGGGGATTGATGATGCTTCTGGGCATGCTCTTGAGTGCCAGGTTCTTGGTGAATATGACGCCAGAAACGTAACTAGTGTCTCCAGGTTTGCCGCCCGGTATCTTTTTCAGCTTCACATAATGGCGAATGTCCATGGCATCGCCTTCGCGACTATCCGGGTCAACATCATCGGAACACTTCAGAAGGATGGGAATAAGCGCCTTCTCCCATGCAAGGGGGTTGGGCACGCCTGCATCCTCAAGCAGTTGGATGAAAAGCTTCTTGACATGGTCCAGACTCGCGGATCCAAGTTTCCTATCGGAGGCCTTATCCTCCTTGATAGAGTTGCTTCTGGTCAACTTGGTCGCTTCGACCACGTCGGAAAGGTCGAGATGACCAAGAGCATCGGTCGAGTTGGTCGGGCCTTTGAAAGCAGCAGACTTCGGCCGCGGCGAGCGAAGGTGGTGCTGACTGGCACTGGTGGTGCTCATGTTTCTTCGTCTGTTTGGACGAGCGTGACCCATAGCTCCTGTCAGGCCTCCGCCGTCATCAAGTCCACGAGTCGTGAAGCTGAGACCACTTATACTCTTTTCACCTTGTCGAAGACGATGTTTTCTGCCAGCACTGAGAAACGGACCGAAGTTGGACTTGTCTGGATCAAGGCTCGACGGAGTTAGGTCATTGCTGGCCATCGTAGCGAATATGCTCATCTGTTCGTCTCCACTAGACTCATCAGACATGTAGGGCGCCAACTCGGGGTCGATGATGTTGTCGTCGTGGAAGGCAGGGAGCTTCGACTTTTTGCGCATCTCTTCAGATATCGCGCTGCGAAATGGTGCCCGTTCTTCAGCGGTTGTCTTGAATCTGCCGAGGAAGTTGTGCTTAGAATGATGGCGTTTATGACCTGAGGACATGGGCCTCCCAGAGGTAAGAGATTTCAGAGATCTAGAAGAACCTGGACGACTGAGCTGAGGCGCATCAATCTCCAAGATGGCCGAGTGTCGATTGGAAGGATCGCCAAGCCTGCGGGTCGCCGGGATGGCCATCATCGGCGTCGTTGTAGTGCGATTATTACCTGCATCGTCCGTCCTCTCCGAATCATCGTCGAACCTCAGCCGAGACGTCGCGGTTCCAGGCCGGGCAGTGTTGGAGCGGAAAATTGCAGGAAGATACGTGTCATCTCCAGAATCGTCCGAACCGCTTTCGTATCTACGGTTGATAATGTTCAGGCAGGTCTTGCAGACTCTGAGGTTTCCTGTGACGCCAAACTTCTGCCCCGAGATGGTTGACGTGCATTTGGAATCGAATATGCAGCCGCAGGTGCGGCAGTGGTGTTTTCGACGAAATGCGGAAAACGGATCACCACACAAAAAGCATTCTTTGCAAGTCTCGTCGGCCATCCAAAATTCTTTGCTCAGAACCTGGTTCCGCATAATCTCAAGGCGTGCGTTGACCATTTCGGGTGCGCCCTCATCCGTTGTCGTACCGGGTATCCTGAACTTGCCCGACCTGAGCTGCTCTGGCTTTTCGTCGTGAGCGAAAGAGTCATGGTAGACGGAGTTGTGAGCAGACGTGCTAATCGGACTTGGCTCGGCTGTGCCAGGATCCATCGACGATGATCTGGAGTGAGTCCCAGCAGACGTGCCTGCTTTGCTTATCCGATCTATCACGGTGGGCCTCCGGAGGGCCTCCGCTGACGCAAGGCGCGATGCGGAAGAGGACGCCATGAGCTCCGAAGAGGTACCGGTCAACGCAATTGCAGGGGTAGAGCTTTTGGCAGGGCTCAGAGGTGTGTCAGGACTGCCATCAACACTGATACTATCATCCCTTCTAGCGCGTTTCGGCTGGAGTAATTTGGCGTTATACCCACCACTCGGTACTTCTGCCACGTCATGTAGACTGGAGCTTGCCGAAAGGTTGGCGGACTGTACACCATCGGTCGGCGTACCAAGACTCCTCCGGGCTGCACCTCGTTGGGTGTGCTCGTCAACAACGCGGTCGGTCTTGATGGAGGATACCCGAGAACCCTCTTTGAAAGCACCGACCGAAACAGACGCAACAGCAGGATCGGCCACGGTAGAGGTCGAAAGCTTCGCCATCTTAGGCAGGTTCTGACTACTGGCAGATGTTGTTTTCGAGCCGGTTGCCACTGTTGAGGATGATGCCCTAGAGGACTGAGTAACCTGTTGATGATTTTCAACAGGGAGAAGCCCAGCTGAATGCGCGCCGCTCGGTGTATCTGATGATGGCGCTGAGGCGAATGTAGATGTCGTCAAGGCGGTGTCGCTTCTGGGAAGTGAAGCCATCGAACCTTTAGTAGAATCATTCGTGGTCGTGGCAAGAGGTGTAAGTGGCTTCTTGGACGACGATGCTGGAGTTTCGCCCTCCTGCCCATCTTGAGGAGGCCCCTTGCCAGCCACGCCGACAGCCTCCTTGAACCTGCTGTATAGTCCACTCAAACCTTGCTGCACAATATCTGTGGCGCTACCTTTTGTTTCGGCAACGGCAACTGTGGAAGGAGGAGGCCCGAAGTCGTTGAACGTCGTCAGAACATCAGACTGACTTGCAGAGGTGTGGATCTTGTCGAGAGCCTGTGCTAGCTGCTCCTTGTCGAGCTGTGAGGTTGCTGAGATGCTCCTCATTGAATCTCTCCGGGACCTCAAACCTAATGGGGTAGATAGGCTGGCTGGCGAGAGCGGCTGCTCCCTGGAGGTATTACTTTGAGCCATCTTGTCGGGACCCCAACCCCACGATCAGTGTGGTCGATCGGGAGCTTCGAGGTACTGTTGAGACCAAAGTTTCGCTTGCATGGGACACATGATAGTGTCGCCAGCCGTATTCAGAGTTGCGTCACCATCGGTAAGGCGCATGCAATCATTCTAGTGTGCAGTTGTTTGGCGTTGCAGGTCGGTATCGGAGCAGGGTCTTTCTGAGGAAGACAGCGTCGGAAGCAGTCCTAGAATTAGAGGTTGCCGTTCTCGGAACTAGCCGGTTGAGAGGCAAGGGCACTTTTTGAATAGAAGGCGAGTGGTGTGGTCACCTCCTACACGGGCTTCTTGCTATGCTTGGCGACCAGCGTCTCGTTGTGATGGGTGTGTCGTGGAGCGACGTGAATTTCGTGCTGTAAACTGGAGGTTAGGTAGGTAGGATCCGCTCCAGGGCGATGATGTCGTCAAACAGCCCTTTGGGGGTGACCACTACGGAGCTACAGCTCTGAAATCCGGGACAGGCAGCCGTCGATATGCGCCCCAGTAGACCTTGGTGGGTGCATCATCCAATCACTTGAGACCTACCCTCCCCTATGACACAGGTAGTGCGGGGCCAATGTTAGTGCCTGCAGCGATCTTTGCTGGGTCCAAAGTTGGTGCGTGGGTTCCAGATGTTTAAATGGTCTCGATGGTGTCGCGTCACCATGAATCCCCGCTAGGGTCCAGACGCGTTTCTTGGACCACCTAACTACCTAAAGGCGCCTTTATTTACTTTGACTTTAGACTTCCAGCAGAAAGCATCCACCCAGTGGCACTTTGCATGAACGACCTGATTCTTCATGGAATAATCGACTCCGACCGTCCCATCTACTACCCAAAGGGTGTTCCGTGAGGCCCCCAGGCAGCACTAGGCGGGTGCAACTATCAAGGCTGTCTGCATCATGGCGACGATTAATGGGTACAGTGCTGGGACGTTTGACGAGCCACGCCCATCCTTCATGGCAACGAACAAGATCAGCCGCAACCTCGTGCGCATTCCTAAAAAGCAACGCAGCATATTGGGCCAGCCCTCTGCATGGGTAGACAATCAACGGAATGGCTCTCCGGACATATTCAACCTCCCGGATGAGGTCCTGGAGGGGTTGAAACGATTCGAAGACTCAAGATCAAAGCACACACCTGCCCAAAAACCGCAGATTTCTCGAGCGAGTGGCCCGAAGCCATCTCAAGACGACGGTCTTTTGAAACATGCAACTCCAAAAATAACGGACGGACCTGCGAGTAAGGTCTCAGAAGCCCCTTCAGCTTATATACCTATGCCAGAGCAAAACAACCATGGTGGCGACAGCGACGAGGACAGTGAGGAGAGTGACAGCAACAAGGACAATGGCGACAATGAGGAAGATGCCGAGTCAGCTCACACCTGGGAATCGTCTCCTGCAAGAGTGATCATACCACATACGGAGACTCGGAAGCGGGCATCGCCGGAGGACTCGCCCTCGCACGAGAGACCCGCTCCTCTGAGTCCTGGACGAATGGGCCAGAACTTTGCTTGCGAGGAATTCGAGTCTGAGTCGGACGAGGAAGATGAAGGAGAGAACGCAGCAGCACACAAAGAGACCCTCAAAGGAATCCGCCATGCGCCTCAGCCAACTTCTGCGCTTGACCCGACACCCCCATCTGCGCAGGTCATACCCTGTACTTATCATGAGCGAAGCAGTCCGCCTGGCCGGCCGACCAAGAAACGACGGAAGATGAAGGTACTAGACCTTAACGTTCCGGTGCTCACTACGAAGAGATCGCCAGACCACCCGGCACACCTGAGGTTGATACCAAACACGCGGGTCGAAGATGTGAAAAGCTCGAATGGAAACTCGCAATCTTCCGTCATTGCAGAAACAAGCCAAGAGCAAGACCACCATGACGACATCGTGGTCTCGGCAACAGTTCGGCCCAATTCAACGCCAAGCGCTATGCAAGTGCCTAAAGAAGTGGAAACCATATCATCGTCACCTGAAGAAGGACCAGAGCCCGCTACTCAAGCATCACAGTATGCCTCCGGTGAGGTTATCCATCTGCCGCCGTTCGAGTCCTTCCAACACCACTATCATGCATATACGGGATCTCTCAATGATTTTGTCCGGGCTTGTTTCTATGTACGCGCCCTACAAAACTGGAAGGCCTTGCCAGTGTTTCTATACGACGACTTCATCCGCGCTTTCACCGAGGGCTACATTCCATACGTCAACAGTCCTGAGCAGTCTTCTCAGGGCCTCTCTGCGATCCCTTTGACAGGCATCAAGTGGTACAATGGCAATGTCGAGAAACCACTCTTCAATGATCGGCTGATCGACAAGAGTAATCTGGACAGAATCTTGGACATATACAGAGAGGAGGTCGATGAGCTGAAGGAGAGCATGGGCTTACCTGTGGAAGCGGAGGAGCTCGCCGACGCAGAAGATGTACTGTCTGTGGATAACCAGAGAGGTTCAGCGAGCAGGGACATGGAGGCTTCCAGCGATCAGGACAACAACGCCCGAGAGGAGGTTGACGAGCCTGAAGGGTGTCAGCCAACACAAGACGAAGATCTGTTGGACGACGAGGATACTCGGATGCAAATGGAGGAGCAAGATCAAGACGAGGAGATGGCGGAGTACAGGCGCTATGCGAATGACCTACATGCCACCGTATACAAGCAACAAGACCGCCAGACGCCAATTCCAAGGCCCGATGGACGGCAGGATATGGAGGAGACACCACGCAGTGCGCCAGGCTATAGACAAGGTGTCCAGGTTATCAGCGGGGTGCGTCATGAAACCTTGGCGGATGCCGCTGCTGCGCCTTCACGGCCAGTGATGCATAAGCGCCCGCCATCAACGGCCAGGGAGTCAGTCGTATCGGCCACCATCCCCAGCTCCTCCCGAACGGTGCCCCCGTCAAGCAGCTCCAAAGCTCCACGTCTAAGTCCCGCGGAGAGGAGCAAGAAATGGAAGAAGTTTCTTGCAAAACGCAAGAGTGGTTCGGCCCCGTCGAGTGCTAGAAGCAGCTTTGGCCAGCCCTAGGAGTTTGAGTTTATATGATACCCTCGAGCGTTATGATACTACGATGATACAACAAAGTCTTGTTTCAAGAGCTCTGCACTGAAATTGTAATTAATTTTGTATTTTTTCAAGGAAAAATGAGACCCAGTCGGGTTCTTCAGGGGGAAAGCTGGGTATCTTGAATCGACATCGCAAGGATGTCGGCTACAGTATCATACATCTTGTCCGTCTCGCTATCGGTGACCGTTATTGTGCAGACTCCTTTTCCTTTTGCCTCACCTCCTCCTCGGGTGTCATCGTGCGAAGCTGCAGCGCATGAATGCCGTCTGCCTGTGCCATCTCGTCCTTGAGGAGTGCGTATATCATCCGGTGTCTCGCGGGATGCATCTTGGACTTGAAGGACTCGGAGGTGATGACCAGTCGGAAATGCGTTTCTTGGGACGTGCTCCCCCTCATAGCCTTGTGGTGCGCATGAAGGTGGGAGTCGTTGTGTATCTCAAGGCGCGAAGGCTGCAGGGAAGCAGTGATCTGAATCGCGCGAGGTAAAGGTGTTAGTTAGCCAGTCCGTGAAGCAACGGCGGGATGCGGCGGCATGTCACATCTCTGAGGCGCACCTTTTCTCGAATGGCATCCTCCATCGGAGTCCGAGATGCCATGGTGGCAAGGGTTCGCCGTGCGACGGAGGGGACTACTGTAAGCCGTCGGAGCATGAGGTTCTAGAAAATCGGCGTGCTGAGCAGGTCGGATACCAATCCTCACACTGGAAAGGTTGAACAGTCGAGCTAGATGGTAGGATGGATGCAAGCAGTTCAACCATGGGTCGACACGGAAAAAGTGGGCTGCCAGCTACAGCTCCTCCAATCAACGTGCACGTATTAACTTCATTGCAAACATCAGATGAAAACTCCAAGCAAAACATTCAATTAGAGATTGCGTACTCGTGTCAAAACCACCAAGAGATGCATGAGTTGAAGATATCAAACATAAAAAAGAAAGAACACCAGAAGATTGGAGCATTGAGATGATCAACAAAAAGAAAATCATCAAGAGGATGCTAGGTCTCCCAATCGGAGAATCGAACTCCGGTCTCAGCCGTGACAAGGCTGCATACTAGCCACTATACTAATTGGGATTGGGATTACGTAGACAATTTAGCTATATATACCCTCTGCGGTCAGCCATTCAAAGGATACTTACCGAAGCAGTTTGTTTTGGAGCACTGAGTCTTCATCAGAGGATCATAAGAGCTCTACATCTTTTGCAATTGTTACATTCTTATCACGGTAAGGGATGAGAATTACTCGGGGCCCCACGGACGGCATGACAGTCCGCACCATTGCCTCTTCTGAAATCAACCTCAAGGCGGCCTGCCCCTTTCTCAGCCTGGCAGCAACAGAGCTAACAGTGCTAAGCAAGATTTACATGCAGTACCGGAACAGCCGATGGGCATTGCGCATCTAGGGACAGCAGAGTAAGTAGCGCACATCGTCAAGCACTGCGTTACCCATAACATTCTCAAGTACTGTTTCTTAACATGTATACATCTTCCTTCATTCCTTATCCCTTCCTTTACTTTCCTGCTTACCAGAGTAAATATCTAAAGGTAGATGGAAGTTCGTATATGCTCAAGTCAGACGTCCTTCACACGCACCTATGGGTACGGGCTGTACCCGTACCAGTACTTGAGACCACTCCCGCATATATGTAGAGGTGGTGGCTTTCACCTACAAGTACCCATTTAGAGCAGGGATTATTAAGTAATCCAGCGGTATTGCACCAGTCTCAATAGAATATAGAGATATTCGGACTAGTTTGGATTATTGACGACCAGTGTTTCGATCACCAAGAATCACTGTTCCATTCTGACTAGTTAATTTGCTGTGTCCTGTCAGATTGAACTGTACCCTAGGGTTATTATGTTTGTATTAGATGGGAATTAGACTGGAACAAGTAGATTTAAGCCAGTTGAGAAACACGGACTCCCTGCCATTGAGCGTCGCCGGATGGTCTCTCTCTAACCAGAGCTGAGCATGGCATCTGCAAACTTTCAGTGTTGAGCGTGGTTGTTCTTCCTTCCAAGAACCATCTGGCTCCTACTCATAAATGCAGGCTATGGACATCCAATACCTTGCGTTCTCTTGCGTTCTATAGTAAAACCAGCCCTGTAGTTATGCAGGACAGCAGGTCAAGATGGCGCCACTGCAATCGAGGAATTCTACCATTGACGGTAACCAAAAGTATTACCTCCCCAGAGAAGTGTATTCCTGCTCCGCCCGGTGCCTCTTGATGGCCCAGAAGTCAAGGCAAGACTCGGGCTACAAAAATATTTGCTGGTTCTCAGAGATACAAGACGCCAAGGGAACGGAGGGGATCTATATAGGCACGACGAGGGACAGGCACAGTTGACACACACATACACTATGATAAAGTAGACATGCCTAGGCCACGTATCAGCGTCTTCTTCGCTATTTTCAGAGGATGCGGGGAGTTATTGTAATAACTATAGGTAAAAAAAAATCAAATAAAAAAAGAAGAATTCAGATGACTGAATAGATGCTAGACTCCCAATCGGAGAATCGAACTCCGGTCTCAGCCGTGACAAGGCTGCATACTAGCCACTATACTAATTGGGATTGGAGATTATTTTGTGCTATTTTGCTACATACACGTAAAACTCTAATCCAGTACGAGGTGTATCGACTCGCCGTTTAAGATAGAGCCAGGCAGGCGCCTTAAGGAACAGCTCCCCCAACGGTTGGGGTGCCCTGAAGAGGGCCCGCAAAGTCGCGCCACAGGGGACTTTGTGCCCAATCATACCAGTCAATTCGTCGAAATCTGGTAATTTGGCAGGAACTATAGAGACCCTGTGGTTCCAAGTTCAGGTACCTTCGTATTGGAGGCTTGTTTTGCCGGCCGGTCGCAAAACTGGTCAAAGTTTTGACAGCTGCATGTTTTCGTCTTTAAGTAAATGCCGTCACGGAAGCAGGAGATTCTGGACTCGCCACACTCTCACCAGATCCCCGTCCGTAGCATCCAGGGCCAATATCGCAATCCGCCCGCTCTGGCTTGGGATACACAGCAGCATCAGATCTTTTTCTTGATGGGACGCCCATCAACGGGACCGGCGGCGCGGCACTCAATCAACCTCCTAGCCGCTGCTCCATCGGCCCTAGATCGCTCCCTCCGGTAATATTTTCTTGCCGATGCACGACAGGCATTCCCACATTAATGCCACACCTACGGGTTTACCCTTTCGGTCACTGCCCTTATATAATCTGTTGCATCTCTTAAATGCTTGGGATGCGGTCCCTTCGTACACCGCTCTTGCTGTCCTCTTCTTTGCTTCGCGTCTGGCCTTCAGCTCCTGTTTCTGCTATTTCTGCTCCTGTCTGCACCACCACCTGCCCCTATTTCGCGACCCGGACCTCGGCAGCCAAATTTGGCACCCGTTCACTGAGAATGGCGTCCACCATTCCCCGGTTGCCGGTTTTTGAGGCCCTGCAGAAGCATGACCCCGAGTCCACGGCCGTCATTCATTCCGTGTCTGGCCGGAGTTTCAAGTACGGCGAATTGCTTGGGGACGTCTGCCGGACGAGGAACCGCCTGCTCGAGGCCGCGGGCAAGAGCGATATTGGTGGCGAACGCGTCGCTTTCCTCGTCGAGAACAGCTACGACTATGTAGGTAAGCGGCATATCGAGTACCCTGGTGGCTCCGCATGGAGAACCATCGTGACTCCCCGGCCAATTGCTAATGCGCTGGTCTAGTGACGTTGCTGGCCATCCTCGCGGCGCGTTCGATTGCTGTGCCGCTATCACCGGCCTTCCCCGCGCCGGAGCTCCAGTACATCCTTGACCACAGCGAGGCTGCGTTGCTGCTGTCATCAGCCAAGTTCAGCTCCAAAGCCAAGGAAGTCTTGGCGCTGAATCTGGCCTCCAAGCCGGTTCATCTGGAACTGTCCAAGCACCAAGGTGGGGGTAGTCATGAGCAGGTCACTCTGGAAGGGGACGGGGCGGGTGCAGCTGGCATGATGCTGTACACGTCCGGTACTACGAACAGGCCGGTCCGTTCAACCTTCTTTGCACCCCTCATTTCAAACACTGACAACGAAGATTAGAAAGGTGTTCTGCTTCCACAAAGAGTCATGACCGCCCAGGCGCAATCCCTATTAGATGCGTGGGAATATTCACCATCAGATCATCTCCTTCATGTCCTCCCACTGCACCATATTCACGGCACAATCAACGCCATCTTCGCTCCGCTTTTCGCCGGTAGCACGGTCGAGTTCATGTTCCCTTTTAACGCAGACGCAGTCTGGCACCGTCTTGCCGCACCGTTCCTGACAGAGTCCAAGCCGCACACCAATGGGACCAATGGAGTCAACGGTGTCCATGGTACGACCGATGTGAATGTGAATGGGATCAACGGTGTGCACAAGACAGCAAACGGTGACCATTCGGCGAAGAGAGTCACAGCAAAGAAGAACCCCATAAGTTTCTTCACGGTCGTCCCTACTGTTTACAGCCGACTGCTAAGCACCCACCGGTTCTTGCCCTTGGATGTTCAGGAGGCTGGACGAAAGGCCGTTTCGCCAGAGTACATGCGCCTGAGTATCAGCGGCTCGGCGGCACTACCCGCACCCATCAAGAAAGCATGGGCGAAGCTATCCCATGGCAATGTCCTTCTCGAGCGGTACGGTATGACCGAGGTTGGCATGGCTCTGTCTTGCGGTCTTGACTCTGTTGATCGTGTCGACGGCAGCGTGGGATGGCCTCTTCCATCTGTAGAAGCTCGTTTGGTCGACGTGGACACCGGAGATGTCATCCTGCCGGGGCAGGAGCTCACGCCTGATGGCAGGGAGCGCGCTGGAGAGATCCAACTGCGTGGCCCCACCATCTTTGCCGAGTACTGGCGCAACCCTGAAGCCACAAAGAAGGAGTTTGTACCCTCCGACGAGGAGGGCGGCCGGCCTTGGTTCAAGACCGGCGACGTCGCCGTGCGCCGCTCTGTCGAGGGCGCCGGGCAGAGCACTCGCGCCAGCCAGGGCTGGACGCACTCGGGCAAGTCGTCACCCGGGAGCTCGGACATGTATTTTATCCTGGGCCGCAAGAGCGCCGACATCATCAAGTCGGGCGGCGAAAAGGTCTCGGCCCTCGAGGTCGAGCGCGAGCTGCTCTCGCTCCCCGAGGTCGCCGAGGCGGCCGTCTGCGCCGTGCCCTCGGGCAAGTGGGGCCAGAAGGTCGGCTGCGTGCTCATCCTCAACAAGGAGAACCTCGAGCCGTCGGGCGGCAAGTGGACGCCCATGGACATGCGCCGCGCGCTCAAGGGCCGGCTGGCCAACTACAAGATCCCCCAGGTCATGCGGGTGGTCGAGCACATCCCGCGCAACGCCATGGGCAAGATCAACAAGAAGCTGCTCGTGGCCGAGATATTCAGGGACGACCACAGCGGGGATGAGATGTGACCCCCCCGGGGGTGGTGGGCGGCGGCGGGAAGGGGGGACCTAGTTGCACTTGTAGAAAGTAATCAAAAAAGCATTGTGTGTTTGGGGAAGCTTCTTTATGGCTACTTCTTCTTGGCATAGAACGGAACGGAACGGAAACGATTATATAAAGAAAGGGGAAGGGGAAGGGGAAGGGGTGTTGTCTGAAACTGTACCTGTAAAACCATAAATAACATATACCTGCCTCTGTAGCAATCGGCTTCTGTACCCAGATGAGAAATGTATCGCGGAAAACAAAGCAGCACCATAAGAGCATGAATAAATCGCACACTTTGTCCTCGGGAAAAGATCTATCAAATGTTCCACTCGAGATACCTAAAGCTATGCCGAACCGCAGCAACGCCACGCAGCCAGAAATTCACCGCAGGTCTCGGTACCAACACACACATCCACCGCTTCTTTTTAGGAGTAAGAAGAAATCCGGCCGCATGGCTGCTGAATGAGTGCTTTTCTACTCGTCACCCGCCTCACAACGCATAAAATGAAGCCAACATCCGCCGAGGACTGCCTGCCCACGCCCCAAAACACGGTGGTTGATCTATAGAGGTCCGCTCACACAAAAAGTGCGCGCGAAGCCGGGGATTAAAAGGGGGTCGTATGATATGTTAAGGGAGGTTGTCTGCTCGAGCCGCACGAGTCGAGCGCGGGGGAGGGAAAGGAGGGAGAGCTTAGACGACGAACTTGGCCTTGGCGCGGGAGCTGCCGCTGTGCTGGGCATCAGTGTGGCCCGAGAACTCGACGCCTTCAGCGGCGGGCAGCTGCAGAGCCTCCTTGAAACGCTTGCCGATGCCCATGAGGACCTCCTTGCCCTTCTCGGCGGTGCGGCCCTTGCCGCCGGCAACATCGCCGTCGCCCCTGTTAGGGATGCTCTTGCCGATGGTGCGGGTCCAGACGCCGATGCGGAAGAAGGCCTTGCGGACGTTGACGACGACGCCCATGATCTCGCCGTCGTCCTCATCCTCGAGGGTCTCGCCGATGGCGGCGAGCATGGTGTGGAGCCAGAGCTCGTCGATGTTGACATTGCGCTTGTCCTTGAAGGAGTAGGACCACTTGCCGCCGTGCTTGTTCTGGGGGTCCTCCCACTCGGGGCGCACGCCCTCCTTGAAGAGGTGGTAGTCGGACTTCAGGGCGAGCTCAGACACGGGGGAGATGTTGTTCTGTGGGAGGGGTAAATGGTCAGAAACACAGATTCAGGTCTGGGCTTGCCTATCTGCTCACAGCGCGTGGCGGGTCAATCTCTGCTTACATAGATGCCCCAGAACTCCTCGACCGAGTTGAACGTGATGACTTCCTTGAGCAGGTCGTTCCAGTTGTCACCCTGTTTGCGCTGTCAGCATCCATCGCCTGTGTCGAGAGGCCGTCTGGTCCAAATCGTGTTGCGTACCTTGCCACTTGGGGGCTTGGTGAACCAGAGCGTCCACTTGTGTGCTAGCGGGTGCTTGACATTGAAGTTATCCTTGTCATGGAACACCGTGGTCGCGGACGAGGCGTCCTTGGATACGCTCTCGGAGGGAGCATTGCCGCCCTCGGGCGAAATGGGAATTGTGGTCAGGTCGACTTGCGCCATTGTGGAGGTGGTGTAGTCGAAGATCGATCCGCGTGGATGACGGAAGGGTGCGGGTTAGGCAAGCGACGTTGGAGATGCGTCGGTGCGAGGCCCTGGAGAGGGGAAAGATTAGGGCGAAGATACAGGTGGTCTGAGTCCTGGGTGAAGTTGCAAGAGGTGCGGGAGTCAGTCGCAACTGGATCGCGGGGCACACCTAGAGAGGCGGGAATCGAGGTGAAATCCGAAGCGCGCGTGAGCGACGAAAGGGAAGAAGGCCCGGTTGCCAGAGATATTTTCGAAAATGGGGGAGTTGTTAAGGAGAAGGAGGGCAGTGACTTTGCTCCAGGCAGAGTCTCTGTTCAGCCGCGAAATATTACTACGGGGAGTCGAGTGGTTTTGAGAAGGTTCAAAGTCCAAAAGGTCTCAAGCCCAGAGGCAGGATGGCGATGAAGCTGGCTTCAAAATTCATTTGCCCGCTCGCTCACTAGCGGCTGCGCACTGGCCCGAAATTTTTGGGCGAAACACGATGCAGGGGCCACCACCAACAGCGAAAACCATCTCTCGCTTCCGTCTGATCTGTCAGGCTCAGCTTGCGGCCTGGAAAACAAGGCCGCACGCACACCACCTCTTCCTTCGTGCTTTACTCCGTACTTACTTGTACTTGCTCTTTGGGCGGGCAACAGGGGTGGGCAATAAGCTTTGATTGTTTCAACAAACGGACTTGAACTATCTGGAGTAGGTACCTACCTAGGTAGGTATCACTTTGGCATCGTCTCGTCTCGTCTGCTTGCTACAAGTGATTCCCTCCCTAAAAAGGAGGCGGCCTGGCCTTGAGCGAACTTCAGCCTACCTTACCTAGGTAGGCGCAATTGATTCTGCTTGTTCTGCTTCCATCCAACCAACCGTGTTTGCTCCGACATGACGCTCCCGGTTTTCCGTTTCCGGCGACGTTCTGGAAACCACATACAAGCACACCTAGATTCGAACCACATCCCCGACTGGATTCACACAGTTGGTGCCGCCTGATGGTCTATCTGAATGGTCTTTGTTTCTCACGGTGCTTCGTGCAAAACCGAGCCTGTGATTCGCTAAACTATCCAAGAGGAAGGTATGCCAATGCCTATTTGGAGTCGATGCTTTCAGTTCATGATATGAAGACAAAGAAAAGCACCAGTGGACTGCCGATCCTTTGTTCTACACTACCAGAATTTTCTTCTATGATTATCCTGCTTCCTTGTCAGCGCTGGCCTTAGATATAGCTTGGGTTATTGTAGGCTCCCTCCAACAAGACTCAGGATATTTGCCAAAGTATCGTCGTCTCATCTCACTTTTGATCCCTTCTGCTGTGCATGCCCCTGAAAAGCAAATATGGCCACTCAACGCCACATTGAACCGTTCGACACTCCCGAACACGATATGTATGTAAAGAACAAAGCACGTTCAGATATGAGCGCCGCGAAAGAAGCATGCCTCGGCATTCGAGAAAGCGACTGGATGCCGCGTCCAGCAGAGCCATCACCGGAAGCCTTCAAACCGAGATCATTGGACGAACTCCAAGGCTATGTTCCGACTAAACTCGAATTCTTGTTCAAGCACCCAATTCGAGAGCGAACCAACGAGTGGTTCGCAAGCTTGTATCTCAGCTTGCGCTCTCGGGCATACGCGTTTGCAGACTCGAACTTTGGGATGGACCGGGTCACGCAATGGCCGGAAGATAGTCCATGGTGCAAAGGGTTCGCCGAAAGGTTTATCGAGTCTGCCAGCAGGACGGTCTGCAGCGACCCTCTAGTTGGTGGATGGGATTATGCCATCACGGACACTCATGAGAGAAGACTTCTCGTGATGGGGATTCTGTCCAAGGTGTTGATGGATGACGTCTTTGATGTTCTGCTCTTCGGAGCGACAGCGGCGCAAAAGAAGATACTCGATAGCCAGGATGTTGAGTACCTCGACATGGGCGGTGAGATTCCTTTGTCTCAAGCGCATTTCACACCAGGCTGACTTCCCTTCCAGGCTACATTCGATCTGAAGCCCGGGCAAATGAGGTCAGACTCATGCTGAGGCACCGCATCCTTGCTCCGGAGTTCTGGCCCGAGGTAGAAAGATTGGCTCTGCAGACGACCAAGTTGCTCCTGCCCCTGATCAATCTCCAAGGCCAAGCTGCTCCGAAAGGCCCTTTCCCCAGGCTAGTCGAGATATACCAAGAGCTACACAACATTATCGCCGAAGCCGGCTACCTGTCGACCTGCATGGCCTGGTCGCCTTCGATTTTTCAGTTCAGCCTTCCCAACCCAGGACAACCCTGGGATCTCGGCCAGGAACATATTGACTCCACTCCATATAATACTTCCAGGCGCCTGGCCATCAGACACGATCAGAAGACGGAATCTGCGGCAGGAGAAGCGAGCATGGAATCCAATGAGAAATCCAAGCTATCAGCCGACCGGGCAGGAGAAGCGAGCATGGAATCCAGTGAGAAAGTCGAGCTGTCAGCCGACCGGGCAGGAGAAGCGAGCATGGAATCTAGTGAGAAATCCAAGCTATCAGCCGACCGGGCACTCAAAGTCAAGATGGTTTCCTGGCCATTGCTCAGACGCTACAAACCTCTGGGGCTAGTCAACTACGGCGGCGCACAAAAAGGACAAGACGTTGTCACCCTCGGGAAGAGCGATGTCGTCTACTATTGCGGCCTGAACGAGGAGGCCAAGGCATGGGACGCTGGCGAGGGCGAACCCCTGAAGAAACACGTCAGAAGTGCACGTGCTGCATCCTGGGGCAGACGCGCCAAGGTACTGTTTGTCGAGGCCATATTGTTTCTTCTATTCCTGTCGCTGTTCTACCACGGCCCAGAGGAGGTACAGAAGTATCAAGAGTTGCTCGCGCGGGTCATGCCCGGGAACTGGAGGCACGGGGACCCGTATGTCAGACCCAGCGCTCCCGAGGCTGGCTTCACCATGACAAGATGGCATCTTCCCCGCCCGACTTACTGGCCGGATACGAGGCCGGAACTTAAAGCTCCTTAGGCCTGCTCGTGTATTTGATTTCCGTTGGAGTCGTCGGATGAAGAAGTAGTTACTGTAATCGATTGAATTGACTGTCCGGGCAAGAAGTCTCGTGGCAATGAAGAAGGTGAAAATGTCTGAGTCGGCGTACTCCAAAGCTCAATTGATCAGCCTATGGAGTGCTCACTTTCCAAAGCGCACTAGCACGCAGCCAGTCCAGATCGTCTACCCGCCCCGCCAAAATTTTGTTTTATCTCCAGAATTTCTCTCTCCCCAGCACCGCCCGATAAGACATTTTTGCGATTACTCTCCAGCCGTTTTACCAAATTCTGGTCCTCGAGTGCAGGCCATTGTAGAGGGCATGTCAACACCCATTACGCTCTCGGCCAATCCTACATATGTACCTGCTCTTCTCTGCATGATCGCTCGCACCGCTCGCCTCCGCCAGCGAGAATGAACGCCCACGCCCTCCTCACCTCCCAGGGCTGGCGCGGCCACGGCCACACCCTCCACGCCACCGACGACTCGACGGGCCTGGCCAAGCCCATCCTCGTCTCGCGCAAGGACAACAAGCTCGGCGTCGGCAAGAAGGAGCACGCCACGGCCGACCAGTGGTGGCTCAACGCCTTTGACCAGCAGCTCCAGGGCCTCGACACGTCCAAGCCGGGCGTCGTCGTGCAGACCGTGACCAACGGGCGCCTCAACGCTATCGCGACGGCGGGCGCGGGGAAATACAAGGGGTGGGCGAGCCTGTACACGTCGTTTGTGAGCGGCGGCCTGCTGGAGGGGACGATCAAGGTCAAGGAGTCCTCCAGGAGCGGCAGCAGCAGTAGTGGTAGCGGGACGGAGACGACGGCGACGCCCGAGGTAGAGGACGGCGCACCGGCGGTGAGAAAAGAGAGCAGAGAGGAGAGAAGGGCGAGGAAAGAGGCTAGGAGGAAACGGAAAGCCGAGAGAGCTACGCGAAGAGTTGAGAGGGCCGCTCGGAGGGCGGCAAAGGCCGAGGCAAAGCTAGCAAAGGGAAAGGAGAGCGAGGTCGAGACCAAGGCAGAAAGGAGAGCTCGGAGGGAAGAGAGGAGGAAAAGAAAAGAGGAGAAAAGGCGTGCAAAGGGAGATACGGGATGAAAGATGATCACCCAGAGAGATCCTCCTACTCTTCTACCCCCTATCAGGTCTTGGAGTCATCATCTCTTCTTTTCCCGGACGCCAGTCGGCAAACAGTATCCCGGAGGCAAGGCAGAAAGGCGATGACGGCGCATTTCAACGATGTAGACAAGACTCAAGGGGTATATAGTCTTCACTGGCTGCCATAGGTCACAGCTCCGGCTGTTTCGGGAGACTGCCTGGCTTGCCAGAGAGCAGCCACGGCCTCTTATCCCAAAAGTCGTCCTTAATGATATCCAAATGTTCAACCACTACCCGCGCCTTGGACCGCTTCTTCTTGTCCTTCTCAGTCTGGGTTTTGGACTGCTGCACCGGCTCTGCGATGTTGTCGGCCTCCTCTGCGATGTTCCGGCCTTCGATCTCAACGAGCTCGTACTAGAGATCGGTTAGTTGGCGCCACGGAGATGGGCTAGGCCTTCGATACGCACTTCCCGAAACAGAACGCTCCCCTTCTTGTAGATCTCGGGCTCGTTGTTGTAGTTGATCCCAAATTTGGAAAACAGAATCTCGTTTTTATCCGACGAAAACGTGCCCTGCTCTGAAGTTAGCATTGCCGAGGAAACATAATCTGTGGACTCTGAGGATCGCCTACATTCAAGGCCTCGGTAGCCTCTGTTGTACTCATGTTACCCCTTTGGACTAAAGTCCAGAATGTCGTGTTGTAGAGATTATTTATGTGACCTTTGCAGAGAGGTTAGTGCTTGAAAGATGGTCAAGGTACACGATTTGTTGTACAATCAACTTGTCTCCAGCTCATATAATCCCTCAGATTTTGAACGCTGGGGTAGCACACCGCTCGGCCATCGAAACTCGGTAGAGGTGGTGTCAGGGGCGTATCTGGGAAATATGTCGACCAAAGATGGACATAATATGAAGTGAATGTAGATACTACAGTCGTCACAATTTTACTGTTGAATCATCAGTAGCGAATACAAAATAATGCGACAGGGCATTTCCGTACCTTGACCTCCGTTCAAATAAGACCGAGGTCTTGTGAAAAACGAAGCTGCCACTTTTGGTCAGGACGTGAACTATCCCCACGCTCGGTCATGATGCCCACCTGTACTCATCGCTGATACCATAAGCAATAGTGATATCTGGAAGCTCAGTAACTACTGCCTTGGCTGCCGCATTCATGAGGTCGAGAGCTCGTTTGTCGTTGGGCTTCTCGAAGTGATACTTGGCGCACATTCTGGCCCCAATACATTAGTGACCCGACGCTTTATCTGGAAGGTAATTGTGTATTACTTGGTGAAACCTCTCCCATCGAGTCTCACGACGACCCATGTGTTTGGTAGAAGGGCGTCAGGCTGCTCAAATTGCTTGACATATTCATACCTAATACGCACCTGTGAGTCACATGGTCTGTACCTTTTTGAAAAAAGGGCATACATACTTAGAGTTGGCCATGATGAACAGATCATTCTAGATTATGACACGATTGCTGGTTCTTCACCATGTCTGGTCAGCTGAACTCTCTGGCTCCCAAAGCTGGCCAAGACTGCTCAAGGTGAGATGCAATGTATTGAAAAATAGACCCGGCAGTAATGTTGTCCACTCTGGAAACTGTATGAGAAAGTCTTCCGTGTTGAAACTCTGAGTATAAGCGTGGATAATGGTGTGGAAGAAGCTGCTTGGTAGCCAAGTATTGATGCTTGACTCTATGAAAGACAAGCAAACCCCTACCTTATCGAAGAAGAATGATTGCATGTGAAGAACACCAATAAAGGTATGGATAGCGAGAGGCACACTTTATTCCCAGCTCTGACTTGGCGGCACTTTTAGGGGCGCTAGGGGTTTTGTGGGGGGGAGATTTCCAGCCTTGCAGGCCAATATCACCCACTAAACCGCCCAATCGCGGTATCCCTGTCGCTCGCTCACTGTACATCTGCCCTTGATCTCCCCTCTCCCCAATTCCTCAAGGTCGCGATTGTGCATGTGTGCGCGTGCGACTCTTGCGCCGTACACAACTACGGCATCTCATTATGAATCTCCTACTTTCAGATGATTATCTCCTGCAGGACTACCCTGAGAACATCACAAATACTATTCGATCGGGACATTCTACATGCTTACGGTTTAATCGCAACGGCGATTTTCTCGCCTCAGGTCGTGTGGACGGCACGGTGGTGGTTTGGGACCTGGAGACGATGGGAGTTGCGCGCAAGCTGAGGGGACATTCTAAGAGCATCACGTCATTGAGCTGGTCAAGATGTGGCCGGTATCTTCTTTCGGCATGCCAGGGATGGAAGGCGATCCTATGGGACTTGCAGGATGGGAAGAGGTATCGCGAGGTTCGGTTTAGAGGGCCTGTGTACATTGCGGAGCTGCATCCCGTCAACCCGTGCGCCCACCCCTCTCACTCGTCTGTGCTCGTAGTATTGCTGACCCTCTGAGCAGTCACCAGTTTGTCGCCTCCATTTTTGAGGATCAGCCGTTCCTGATCGACGTGACGGACCCCGTCGATGTCAAGCATCCCTTACCTTCGAGACCAAAGCGACCCGAGAGCGATGGTGCTTCACAGAAGGAGAAGTGGGCGAAGGAAGATGCGAAGCAGATGACGACAGTCACCATCTATACTTCGACAGGAGACCACATATTGGCGGGCACCAGTAAAGGCTGGATCAATATTATCGACTCGAGCACTCTTGAAGTCATCTTTTCCAGGAAGGTTTGCACGGGCATTATCACCACCCTGCGGTTGACACAATCCGGAAAAGTCCTTCTTATGAACGCGCAAGATCGAATCATCAGGACCTTGCACGTACCGAACCTAGCTGCGCCAGACTTGGACCCCGACACGATTCAACTACCAGAGGAGCACAAATTCCAGGACGTTGTCAACAAGCTGTCTTGGAACCATGTCACGTTCAGCGCGACGGGAGAATACGTAGCAGCGTCGACGTATAACAACCACGAACTGTACATTTGGGAAAGAGGCCACGGCTCGCTAGTGCGAATGCTCGAAGGGCCCAAGGAGGAACAAGGAGTGATAGAGTGGCATCCCCACAAGGCACTCCTGGCTGCGTGTGGCCTGGAGACTGGTCGCATCAACATCTGGTCCGTAACGAGTCCACAAAAGTGGTCGGCACTGGCACCAGACTTTGTCGAGGTCGAGGAGAACGTCCAATACCAGGAAAAGGAGGACGAATTTGATATCCACCCGCAGGAGGAGCTGACCAAGCGGCGGCTGGACCTAGAGGACGAAAATGTCGATGTCTTGACCGTGGACCGACTGAATCATGATCTCGAGGAGAGCTCATTCCGCATGCCGGTCCTCTATAACCTCGGCGAGTCAGATAGCGAGGAAGAGTTCATCGCGGTTTCGGCTGGAACGATGCGGAGGCGGAGCCCGAGCGAAGCACAGGGAGACGGTGATGGCGCAGAGGACCGGGCCTCGAATAGGAAGACGGCTGCCGGAAGGGGACGAGGAAGGCGGAAAGCAGGCCAGTGAAGGCTCGGAGACAGGACGAGAAGGTTTGGAGCACAGTCTTCTAAAGATGCTAGATACCCTCAAATTTTATTATAAAGCCATTATCGTCGCCAAAGAAAGTGACAGTAGTGCGTCACGTCAAAGAAGGGCCCAGGTGGCTTTGCAAGTGTCCGGTATTTGTATATTGGAATTGAGCCACCTCAGGCCAGTCCCAATTAGTATAGTGGCTAGTATGCAGCCTTGTCACGGCTGAGACCGGAGTTCGATTCTCCGATTGGGAGCACAAGCACACTTGTCTTTTTATCCAATTCTGTAAATCTCCTCATACGGTTATCGGGCGCTGATACCTTGAACTAACCCTTGCATTAAGATATTTTTGAGCAAGGAAAGGGATCCATGTTTTTCGAAGAGTGGAATTCGCTCTGCCCATCGCATTCGTGGTTCAAAAGCGGGAGAATGGCGGCAATATTTTTTGCTTGTTCTAGGCTCTAATTTATAAAAGAGTGGCTCAGCACGCAAAGTAGGTAGAGCAATACCGTTCAGCTGTGAGCCACGCCTGTCTAAGCACTTTGGAAGGGAGTCTCACTCTCTTAAAAGCAAACACCCCGTCACAGACAGCTGTTCGAACAGGACGAAGGAAAGCACAAGGGTCGTGAGAAGCAAAAAGGATCTCCCAATCGGAGAATCGAACTCCGGTCTCAGCCGTGACAAGGCTGCATACTAGCCACTATACTAATTGGGATTTAGGACTGATGGTCGCTGCGCCCGGAACTGCGATCATGATCCTGGTGACAGGTTCACACGAGCACTGCTTCTTGCTTCAACCCTCACTCTATTGACTTTCAATCCTGTATATCTCGTAAATTAAGATCGACAGGAATGTTTAGCTTGATCAGAAATGGTTTTCATGGAACAGATGTCATTCAAGACCTATTATGCATTTCAATCGAGCTGTAGATGAGGGCTCATATCTTCACGATGTCAGCATCAATGAAATGCGACGTACGAAGTACGTGTAGCCAGTCACTTCTTCACCTTCGCAAAATTGGAATATCCCATTCATGGCTGCCCAGCCTATGACTGTCGAAATCGAGCCATGGCTGTTACTGGTCTGAGTGAAGATGATTGTATGAATGGCCAGGAGCTGCTGTTAGCTTTTTGACTCACCCGGGCAGGCAGAGCGAAGGGTGAGAGTGTGGGGGTGATGCCTGGAGCAGGTACAGATCTCTACCCGCGGACGACAAAGGCGGCTCTGTGGAAGGTGGGCTTCTGCAAGGCTGCGCTGAAATACAGGTCTCTGTTAGGTATGTCCAAGTACCCAGCTAGCTCTTTCTTGGGGAGAGGGCAGCTCTAACAATGAAAGGAGTGGCATTGTGGCCGAATCAGGATTAGCGCCATTTGGACGTGGCCAGCCGCCCTTGAATTACGAACTTTTCAGCACTCCTCCCAAGGAAATCTCGCCTCCTTCCAACAATCTCTCCACCCACGACGTCAACAACATCATCGTCGCGCGCGTCGGACATCGCGCATCGAAGGGAAATTGCATCTCCGATACCGTATACGATTTTACGAAGCTTACGAACCGATCAGTTTCGTCGCGGTCGACGAGTCGGCGACACTGGCGAGGGTGAGCAGATAACACGCGCTCCTTGGGGGCCTTGGGGCCAGGATTGGCGCTGGGGAGGACAACAAAGAGACAAAGATCCATCATCATCTGTCTTGACGAGCGGAATCTCATCAACACGTCTCTTTTCTTCGTTTCTCTACATCGACCGCTTGCGCTTTTCGTCATTTTCAGCGCGGCACACGCCCGCGCACTGACACGACCTTCCTCTGGCTTCTTCGCGCTGCCACACCTCACTTTCCTTTGAGATCGAGATCAGGATCACGCCTGTTATTTTTCATCACACAATCACCTGCCAGCATGGCGAACCTTTACTTTGCGCACTCGAGTGCGCCTCTCAAGACGATCCAGGAGATCCAGTTTGGTCTCCTGTCGCCTGAAGAGATCAAGAACATGAGCGTGGCTCATATCGTCTACCCTGAGACAATGGACGAGACGCGAACCAAGCCTCGTGACGGCGGCCTGAACGATCCTCTGCTTGGATCTGTTGATCGCCAGTTCAAGTGCAAGACTTGCACCGAGAACATGTCGGAGTGCCCTGGCCACTTTGGTCACATCGAGCTTGCCAAACCTGTCTTCCACCCGGGCTTCATCAAGAAGGTCAAGAAGGTCCTCGAGACCGTCTGCCACGGTTGCAGCAAAGTGCTGGCTGACAGGGTTAGTAATGGCACATAACACATGGCACATGATGGTTATGGCCTTTTAGATGCTGACATGACTTCATTCCAGAGCGACCCTGATTTTCTCGCAGCCGTCAAGACGAGAGATCCCAAGGTCCGATTCCAGCGCGTCTGGGAGTGTTGCAAGAAGAAGAAGCGCTGCGAGAACGAGGTCAAATCGGAGCAGGATGACGAGTTCGACCCTCTCGGAAAATCCAACAAAGAGGCTCCGCATAGCCACGGCGGCTGTGGAAATCCCCAGCCTGCTGTGCGTCAGAATGGTCTGCAGCTCTTTGCCCACACCGAGTCTGTCCAGGAAGAAGGTGGGAAGGTCAAGGACAAGAAGCAGATTACTCCGGAAGCTGCACACAACATTCTTCGTCGTATCACTGAGAGCGATCTCCGTGATATGGGCCTGAACGTCGACTACGCGCGCCCCGAGTGGATGATCATCACCGTCCTTCCCGTTCCTCCCCCTCCTGTCCGGCCCAGTATCTCCATGGACGGTACTGGCACGGGTCTTCGGAACGAGGACGACTTGACCTACAAGCTTGGTGATGTCATCCGCGCCAACGCGAATGTACGACAAGCTCTGCAGGAGGGATCCCCTGCTCATATCGCCTCCGACTTTGAGCAGCTCCTGCAGTATCACGTTGCAACTTACATGGATAACGATATTGCCGCCATTCCCCGTGCGTTGCAAAAGAGTGGCCGCCCTGTCAAAGCTATCCGTGCCCGTCTCAAGGGTAAGGAGGGTCGTCTTCGTGGAAACTTGATGGGAAAGCGTGTGGACTTCTCCGCACGTACTGTCATCACTGGCGATGCAAACATCTCTCTGGACGAAGTCGGTGTCCCCCGCAGCATCGCTCGCACGCTGACATATCCGGAAACTGTCACGCCATACAACATTGGCCGACTTCACCAGCTTGTCCAGAATGGACCCAACGAGCATCCCGGTGCCAAGTATGTCATTCGCTCCGACGGAACCAGGATCGACCTGCGGCACCATCGCCGCGCTGGCCAGATCTCCCTCGAGTACGGTTGGAAGGTCGAGCGCCACCTGATCGATGGCGACTACATCATCTTCAACCGTCAACCTTCTCTTCACAAGGAATCCATGATGGGTCACCGCGTCCGCGTTATGCCCTACTCCACCTTCCGACTGAACTTGTCAGTCACATCCCCTTACAACGCTGATTTCGACGGTGACGAAATGAACCTGCACGTACCCCAGACCGAGGAGACTCGTGCCGAGGTCAGGGAGCTGTGCATGGTTCCCCTCAACATTGTGTCTCCGCAGCGTAATGGTCCTTTGATGGGTATCGTTCAGGATACTCTCGCCGGAGCTTACAAGATCTGCCGTCGTGACGTTTTCCTCACCAAGGAGCAGGTCATGAACATCATGCTCTGGGTCCCTGAGTGGGACGGCGAAATCCCGCGACCTGCTATTCTGAAGCCCAGACCCCGTTGGACGGGTAAGCAAATTATCAGTTTGATTATCCCCGAGACGGTCAGTCTGCAGCAGGGCAAGGATGCCTCCCCGTTGACCGACGATGGAATCTGCATCCAAGGTGGCCAGCTGTTGTATGGCTTGTTGACCAAGAAGATCATTGGTGCAGCAAGTGGTGGTGTTATTCACATCTGCTACAACGAGCTGGGCCCGCAAGGTGCCATGGACTTCCTCAACGGCTGTCAGCGCGTCGTCAACTATTGGCTCCTCCACAATGGTCACAGCATCGGTATCGGTGATACGATCCCTGATAAGGCGACTATTGAGAAGGTTCAAGTACACATTGATGAGCAGAAGGACGAAGTCCGGAAGCTCACCGCTCAAGCCACGGCCAACGAACTCGAAGCGTTGCCTGGTATGAATGTGAGAGAGACTTTTGAGAACAAGGTCTCCAAGGCCTTGAACACTGCTCGTGACAAGGCAGGTACCACTACGGAGCAGAGTCTGAAGGACCTCAACAACGCTGTCACCATGGCGCGTTCCGGTTCCAAGGGCTCCTCCATCAACATTTCTCAGATGACGGCGTTGGTCGGTCAGCAGATTGTTGAGGGCAAGCGCATTCCTTTCGGGTTTAAGTACCGAACGCTCCCTCACTTCACCAAGGACGACTACTCGCCAGAGTCCCGTGGCTTCGTTGAGAACTCGTATCTTCGTGGCCTCACCCCCACCGAGTTCTTCTTCCACGCTATGGCTGGTCGTGAGGGTTTGATCGATACCGCTGTCAAGACAGCTGAGACTGGTTACATCCAACGTCGTCTTGTCAAGGCATTGGAAGATGTCAGCGCCAAATACGATGGCACCGTGCGCAACTCGCTCGGAGACATCATCCAGTTCCTCTACGGAGAAGATGGTCTCGACGCTATGAAGATCGAGAAGCAAAAGGTCGACCACTTCCTCATCTCCGACAAGGCGTTCGAGAAGCGGTACAAGCTCGACGTCATGGATGAGATGTTGCCGTATGACGTCTACGAGTCTCCGGCCGACATTGCTGGCGATGCTGATGCACAACGTCTGCTTGATGCCGAGTACGAGAAGCTGCTTGATGACCGAGCCGAGGTGCGGGTCATCAACAAGCGCAAGAAGGATGAGGACATGATGCAGCTGCCCCTCAACATCATTCGCATCATTGAGACCACGAAGAAGGTGTACGGCATTCGTGACCAGGACCGAAGCAACCTCCGCCCCCAGGATGTCATTCCTCGTGTTCAGGCCATGCTCGACTCCATGGTTATTGTCCGTGGCAACGACGAGACCTCGCTACAGGCTGACCACAGCGCAACCATTTTGTTCAAGGCGCAGCTACGCTCTCGTCTAGCATTCAAGCGAATTACGGTACAAGACCGCCTGAGCAGCATCGCCTTCAACCACATTATCGGTGAGCTTGAGTCTAGATGGGCCAAGGTTATGGTCAACGCAGGCGAGATGGTTGGTGTGCTTGCCGCCCAGTCCATCGGAGAGCCCGCTACCCAGATGACGCTGAACACCTTCCATTTCGCCGGTGTCTCTTCCAAGAACGTCACTCTTGGTGTTCCGCGTCTCAAGGAGATTCTTAATGTCGCGAGCAACATCAAGACTCCTGGTATGGTTGTCTACCTGGACGATGCCGACGGACCGCCCACCCAAGAGCGGGCGAAGGAACTGCGTAGCGTTGTAGAGCACACCAATCTTCGATCGGTCACTGCCATCACTGAGATCTACTACGATCCTGATGTTCGCGCTACAAACATTCCCGATGACATGGATATGATCGAGTCATACTTCCTCATCCCCGACGACGTCGCCACCAATCTTGACCAGCAATCACGCTGGCTGTTGCGCATTACTCTCGACCGACAAAAGATGCTCGACAAGAACCTGAGGGTCGAGGATGTCGCCAACCGCATCAAGGAGGAGTACGCACAGGATGTTGGCGTCATCTTCAGCGATAATAACGCCGAGGAGCAGGTGATCCGTATCAGAGTCGTCCGGCCAGATGATGACAAGGACGATGATAACTCTAGACCCGAGGACGATGTCATGCTGAAGCGACTCGAGGCTCATCTGCTCGACTCGCTCACCCTCCGTGGTGTTCCTGGCATCGAGCGTGCTTTCTTGAACAAGGAGGCACGGCTCGTTGAGGCGGCTGATGGCTCCCTCATTGCAATCAAGGATGACAAGCGATGTGAGGAGTGGTTCCTTGATACTCAAGGTACCTCCCTGCGTGCTGTTCTCGCCGTTGACGGCGTCGACTGCAGGCGCACTACCACGAACGACCTTCACCAGGTTGTGGATGTCTTTGGTATCGAAGGTGCGCGTATGGCGCTGCTCCTTGAGTTGACCCAAGTGCTCGCCTTTGATGGTTCTTACGTCAACCATCGCCATCTGGCCCTTCTGGTGGATGTCATGACCTACCGTGGTTCTATCGCCGCCGTCACTCGTCACGGTATCAACCGTGCGGATACTGGTGCACTGATGAGGTGTTCTTTCGAAGAGACGGTCGAGATTCTGCTCGAGGCCGCCGCCGTCGGTGAGCTTGACGACTGCCGTGGTGTCTCTGAGAACGTGATGTTGGGCCAGCTTGCCCCCATGGGTACCGGCCACTTTGAAGTGCTCCTGGATCCCGCAATGCTTGAGACGGTCATCTCGGATAACTCCCGTATGGGTCTCATGCCTGGCATGACCATCAAGGGTAACCAAGCTGAGGGCGCTGCTACTCCCTATGACACGGGCTCTCCCATGGCGGATTCTGGCTACATGAGTCTGGGATCCCCGACTGCAGGCAACTTCTCGCCCATTGTCGGCGCTGGCAACGCTACGCCCGCTGGCTTCAACACCGAGTATGGTGGCAGCGGCTTCGGCAGCCTGGGTAGCGTCAACCCCTACTCGGGCACATCGCCACGCCCGACTAGCCCTTTCAGCTCGTCCCCCACGTCTCCCTTCAGCAGCGGCTACGGAGGCTACTCACCTTCTTCTCCCTCGGCGGGCTACTCGCCTACCTCCCCACAGCTCGACATCGTTGGTCGCTACGCCGCGTCGCCCAACTTCAGCCCTTCCTCGCCCTCGTTCTCCCCCACCTCCCCGGCGCTCCGCCCCACGAGCCCGTCGAGCCCCAACTACAGCCCGACCTCGCCGAGCTACTCGCCCGCTTCCCCGTCGGCCGGCAAGCACTACAGCCCCACCTCGCCGCAGTTCAACTCGCCGACGAGCCCGTCCTACTCGCCGGCCAGCCCCAACTACAGCCCCACCTCACCCAACCTGCACGGCGCCGCGGGCGCTCTTGGCGGAGCCACCAGTCCCACCTACTCGCCGGCGTCGCCTACGTGGTCGCCGACGTCGCCGGAGGGCTATTCACCCTCGAGCCCCGTCTTCCAGCGATCGCCGGGCCAGATGCAGTCGCCTACTAGCCCGGGCTACTCGCCGACTGTAAGTTCTTTTTTTTTTTTTTTTTTTTTTTTTGAAACTGTCCAACATGTATACAAAAGTATGAGTCAACGCGCAGGAGCTAACATCTGTCCTTCCTTAGTCACCTTCATTCTCACCGAGAACGCCCGGGCGGGCTGCCGGTGGTCAAGATTCGTAGTATGTGTCACTCATGAACTGCGAGGTGGATGAGTCAACTAACATGGTTTGTCTAGCTCGCCAACATCTCCTACGAATGACTAAAGCCTAGTTGAGGCGAAGGAACGACGGATCCCCAACTTCATACGTCACAGGCCAACGAGAGGAAGTTGTTGGAAAGGGACAGTCATCAAAGATGCATCACAAGGGAAAGGACCTGATGCGAATGGGGCGGTTTGCATTCACGGCAGCATATACGCCAATACACACTTCCCAAAACACACCCAAAAAAAAAAGAGCATGAGTCGGTTTTTTCTCCCTTTTCCCACGGACGCCAAAGAGATCCTGGGGGTTTTGTTTGTACAGTATACATGGCAAAGGGGACGAAGGGAAGTGGAGTGAGAGGTTTTTTCATTTACGCAGAATAGGGGGAGGACGGTCCTCGTCCACTATTCGTTTGTCTTTTTTTGGTGGCAAAAGGGAAAGCATCTTTGCGTGCGATCATAAATCAAGACTGACGAAAAACCTTTTGCTTCTTTGACACCTGGCTGTGTCGCCTTTCTGCCCATGCGGGCCAGAGAGAGAAGGGGGAAAGCGGGCCAGGAGGGAGAGAGAGACAAAAAGCAGGGAGACAGATAGCTTCTGAATTGAAACCCTGATTAATTTGTACATGAGAGTATTACGCCGAGCAGAAGTGGCTAACAATTTGCCAACCCAGCTTTCAGCATCCTGGGCGTCTCGGAGATGACTCTTTCGGCACGATTCAGCCTCGAAATGTGACTCTCTTGGGTAGCCCAGCCTGTGACCCAAGAAAGAAAGGGGGTATGTTGGTCATGTTATCCACGAGCATGCCGGCATCGCATGTTTTCTGGGCGATCAATCCTGAATGTACGATTCAGGGATGCAAGACTTCCCAACAGTGTTGGCACTATCGAGCAGCTAAGTGCGAGTTCGGACCAGGCAATGCGGTCTACCGATAGCTTGGTCAACCATGACGACTAGCAAAAAGGCAGATTTCGACTTTCAGGGGCGTCCCCCTGGAGCGATTCGTACTTCCTCGACTGTGACAGGTCTGCGAACGAAGGGGTTCAGGGGCTTGGGCGTGACCCAGGCGATCCTCACCACTGGTTACGGTGCCAAGCCCCCTTTTTCCAAGTGATGCCGAATGACGATGCGGAAAGGCCGGCTTCAAATATCTGTCTGCCTTGGACATCGAGCCCTACCGGCGGCCCGGTATGCGGCCGGGTGGGTCCTTGGGAGAATCCGCCCGTCCGGTCGGGGCTAGGATTCAGGACGGTGAGGACGGCCTCGATGGATAGGGAAGTGGGACGTTGCTATGGCCCCCAGCAACCCCCTTTTGGCTTCTTTGGACCCCAAGGAAGGGGATGCAGATGTAGGGGTGGGTAAGTGATATGGGACACCGAAGCAAGTATCAGTACCCGACGAAGGGGTGGGTAGGCTCGGCAGGCCCGTTTAGACCAGACCTAGTGCGCTTGTTTCTGCATGCATCTAGCCAAGATGGATCAAGGCATGTTTGACTGGTCAGGCACAGAATGAAAGGTCCTAGACGCGGTGCGTAGCTGCAGATCGGGCGGCTAATTGCAGCCTGGAAACGGTCCTGGCACCGAACTCTAGCCAATCGGCGGCCCGCGAGTTGACGGGAAAGGCAAAGCGGCGCCGGGGTTTAGGTGGGGGCCTCTGCCACAAGCGGCAAACCAACGCTTGCTTCGAGTGTTGGCCCGTCTTTCGACCGCCTACGCCTCTGCATGTGGAGAGTGTTGAAGAAGTGTGAGCAGAGCAGGAGATGCCTATTGGCAATCGCAGAGAAGAAGAAAAGCATGTGAATAGTAAGGAGATAGTTGACACTTGCCGGAGCAGCCTGGTGCATGCTATGTACCAGCCAGATCGAATGCCAGTAGCACTAGACCCAGATTTGATTCTAGAGCATCTGTCGCAATGAGCTCTTGTCGGGCACGGAGGCCTCGTAGACCATAGTCAAAATTCGACCTATCAGCTTCGTAAGATTTGATGGTTGTGTGGTTGCTCTGCTTGCTCGAACGGGTTCTCATGCCATGTAACGGTGTTTGTCCATCGGAAACATCGGATATCGGTCAGTGCAGATTTGCTCGTATCTGCAGCATCTCGCTGCTGGCAGCCATCGGTATCTTCGTCGCACGAAACGGAAAACGCGCTATTCTTATGTCAACGCGGCTACCGACAGCTGTCAAACTTTAAAGCAAGACAATCGCCGAGTTTGCTCAGATATATCGGCATACAGGTGGCACAGCATTTCGCAAACCGGGATCTGTGTCTGGGTGGTAGATGTGGTAGATCAGGACGCAGTCGCTGCAGCGAGGTTCTGACGCAATGCCGTGCGGGAGTGTGCAGTGCTGCAGGATCAGCGATTCTGTGGTTGCATCGAGTGCATACATGCCAGCACAGAGAGTGGACAAGGGTTCATGCATGCTGGAGGTACGTCGGCAACGGCTGCCGCAACTCTGTACAACGGATGCACCAGAGCCACCACCAAGACCGCGAGAGCATGCAGCGGGATGCTGGATGGCCGGATTGGCCGGTTCTACCTGTCTATACAGACAAACAAAACGGTGTACAGTGTTGCGCGCATGTGATCGCTAGCGGGTAACCATAGCCTACGGCTGGTCCGGGATGAAGCAGGAGTCCACGGAAGCTGCGTGCCCTTGCCGGGCTGCAGTCATCAAGGGTTGACGGAATCTTTGCTTGCAAAATGCATCGTCTGTAATGATAGCACGCCTGCGAGGGCTATCGACCTTGCGGACAATAGAGAACGGGTCGCCTCGCGGGCCGCCTCTTGAGCCGGATGGTGTCGTCTGAGCATCTTTGCATGTCCCATTGGCCAAAGCGATTTCCGGCTCAATGGCAATCCATGACGATGATCATACTCGTGATCATTAGGGAGATGTGGGTTGGCCTCCAACAAAAGAAGGCAAACGGGTCAGTCGTACGCAAATTTGGTTGTTGGTTGGTTTGTGGTGCATCGAGTGACTCGACCAAACCTCGGAGGAGGTAGCGGTTTGAACAGGTACTTCCCAAGTTGAGTACTCCGCCAAATGGGTTCGTGGTTGCCTTGCCGTGCTTGCCCAGCAAAGAAGGTCAAGTGTGGGCAACACCACCTGCCCCGCTCCTTCTTTACAAGTAGATAGAAACGCTCGATTCCTGGTGCAAGTCGAGAAAAGGAAAGGGAGAAGGACCAAGAGTGCATGCCGTTTGATGCTTCCCTGTTTGGACGAAAAAGGCGACATGCACCCTCTCCCACGATGCCATCTCCAATTGTTCAACTTCAAGCATTTGAACAGGACCTAAATTTGCAAATTTGCAGGCCCATTCATGCCCAGGGAATGTACTTGGGGTACTGTCCTCTAGGCTGTGAACGAATAACGCCTGTCTCGTTGCATCCAGAATGACCTATTTCTTTCCTTTTTTCAGTTTTTCAATTTCTATTTCCCCCGAATGCCAACCAGCCTCGCATTCCGCCCGAGCTTCCCCCTTTTCCCCCAAAGCTTGAACCCCTGTTTGCCCCGTCATCACATGATAAAAGGTACATGCGGAACTCCGTAAGACTGAAACTTGCTAAATCGGACGCCCGTCAATTGGATTGTCTGTAAGCCCTGCCCTATTCGATCTTTGAAAAGGGGGGGGGGGGGGGGGGCCCAAAAA